GATATCCAGGTAGAAAATGAAATTAATTCCTTACAACTTGCAGGTTTTATTCTGGTATTAGGTATGACTTATGGAAACTAGCCTCCAGTATGTATTCGCAGTTTTCTATCTTATCCCCAAGTGACCAAGCCATTTACTTAATGCAATGTGCCTATTTATGTAAACCTCAAGCCGTTACTGTTTCCGCTATATTTCAACGTAGGCAATTTCACAAGCTTAATTAACTCTCTCTTTGAGAGGTCTGAATCTTTTGGGATATGATCTTAGCATTTTGTGAAATGTATGTTTTAAAATCACTATTTGGATTTTAATGCTTTTATGGAAGACACGCGTGTCTCGTAGGCCCTATGTATGGAATCCGAGAAGGGACATTGTCGCTATGTCGCACTGTCGCCCTCTTAAAAACAAGTAAAGTGAGGCAAAATAAACCAAAACGCGACACGCGACATTTAGCCCATTTGTCGCGTTGTCGCGTGTCGCGTTTTGGTTAATTTTGCTTGTATTTGACAGGGCGACAACGCGACAATGCGACAACGCGACAATGTCCCTTCCAGGATTCCATACCTATGGCCTGATATTGCATACTGTTTTTTTATCATGTATGTTACCGTGTATTAAGCAATATGTGACATGCTACTAAAACAATCTTCTTTTTCTTTTTCTCAAATTGCCCGAAGAATGTCTCAAGCACACTTTACGTTGTTTGTTCTATGCTTCGATTATGTATTGATGTTTGCTAAATTTATAGTGTATCGCTGCAGTCACTGGAAGTGATTGTAATTTTGACGCTCTCATAAAAGGTCTAAAATTACAGTATAAAACACTGAAACATACCGGAAAAAATGTAAGTAAAAAAGTAAAATCTCTATGTGCATATTCTTTAACACTTCAATTGTATTAGTAATTATGACATCATTTTTAACCCCAACACCCTGGTATGTCCATCCACGTGACACTGTACACGGAATGTAATTATGACATCATTTTTAACCCCAACACCCTGGTATGTCCATCCACGTGACACTGTACACGGAATGTAATTATGACATCATTTTTAACCCCAACATCCTGGTATGTCCATCCACGTGACACTGTACACGGAATATAATTATGACTATCATATCACGCCCTAACATCCTGGTATGTCCATCCACGTGACACTGTACACGGAATGTAATTATGACTATCATTTTTAACCCCAACACCCTGGTATGTCCATCCACGTGACACTGTACACGGAATGTAATTATGACTATCATTTTTAACCCCAACATCCTGGTATGTCCATCCACGTGACACTGTATACGGAATATAATTATGACTATCATTTTTAACCCCAACATCCTGGTATGTCCATCCACGTGACACTGTACACGGAATATAATTATGACTATCATATTTAACCCCAACACCCTGGTATGTCCTTCCACGTGACACTGTACACGGAATATAATTATGACTATCATATTTAACCCCAACACCCTGGTATGTCCTTCCACGTGACACTGTACACGGAATGTAATTATGACTATCATATTTAACCCCAACACCCTGGTATGTCCTTCCACGTGACACTGTACACGGAATATAATTATGACAATCATTTTTAACCCAAACACCTTGGTATGTCCATCCACGTGACACTGTACACGGAATGTAATTATGACAATCATTTTAACCCCAACACCCTGGTATGTCCATCCACGTGACTCTGTACACGGTATGTAATTATGACCTACCATTTTAACCCTAACACCCTGGTATGTCCATCCACGTGACACTGTACACGGAATGTAATTATGACAATCATTTTAACCCCAACACCCTGGTATGTCCTTCCACGTGACACTGTACACGGAATATAATTATGACTATCATTTTTTAACCCTAACACACCCTGGTATGTCCTTCCACGTGACACTGTACACGGAATAAAATTATGACTATCATTTTAACCAAACACCCTGGTATGTCCATCCACGTGACACTGTACACGGAATGTAATTATGACTATCATTTTAACCCCAACACCCTGGTATGTCCATCCACGTGACCCTATACATGGAATGTAATTATGACATCATTTTTAACCCCAACACCCTGGTATGTCCATCCACGTGACACTGTACACGGAATGTAATTATGACTATCATTTTGAACCCCAACACCCTGGTATGTCCATCCACGTGACACTGTACACGGAATGTAATTATGACCATCATTTTAACCCCAACACCCTGGTATGTCCATCCACGTGACACTGTACACGGAATGTAATTATGACTATCATTTTAACCCCAACACCCTGGTATGTCCATCCACGTGACACTGTACACGGAATGTAATTATGACTATCATTTTTAACCCCAACACCCTGGTATGTCCATCCACGTGACACTGTACAACGGAATGTAATTATGACTATCATTTTTAACCCCAACACCCTGGTATGTCCATCCACGTGACACTGTACACGGAATGTAATTATGACATCATTTTTAACCCCAACATCCTGGTATGTCCATCCACGTGACACTGTACACGGAATGTAATTATGACTATCATTTTAACCCCATCACTTTGGTATGTCCATCCACGTGACACTGTACACGGAATGTAATTATGACTATCATTTTTAACCCCAACACCCTGGTATGTCCATCCACGTGACACTGTACACGGAATGTAATTATGACTATCATTTTAACCCCAACACCCTGGTATGTCCATCCACGTGACACTGTACACTGACAATCATTTTAACCCCAACACACTGGTATGTCCATCCACGTGACACTGTACACGGAATGTAATTATGACTATCATTTTTAACCCCAACACCCTGGTATGTCCATCCACGTGACACTGTACACGGAATGTAATTATGACTATCATTTTTAACCCCAACACCCTGGTATGTCCATCCACGTGATACTGTACATGGACTGTAAAATCGTGGCATTTTATTTTATTGCTAGTAAATGATGCTAAAAAAAATGCTTGACGCTTGCCATGGGAAGTGCCAGTCTAGCTGATATATCACAGTACATTCATTACTTTCTTGCATACCTGTCTGCTTGTGAACAGTTGTGACCAGTGTGCGAAATAGCCACTGGCCCGCTAGCTAGTAGTAAAATCCAGTCGGGCCAGTAAATCTCCACAGTAACTGGCCCGACTGGCTAGTGAATGTTCATGGAGTCATTTTGTAAATATGTATCACTCTCTCCGACTTGTTAAATTAATACATTGTTAAACCATGCAAGATTGTGGCCTGACAGAAACGTTCATCATATTAGCAGCTTAATGATGAAACGCGTGTCTTCTTTCGCGTGTATTTTGTTCAAACTTTTTGGCCTAGCTAGCCCGAGTTAGCAAATTATGGAAACTATTTCGCACACTGGTTGTGACCCTGTCTTATGTTGTAGCTTTGTAAGGAACACTTCAGTTGACATTGCAAAAAAATGCTTCCTTTTGTTTCTTTGTTGTTTAACGCCGAACTCAACAATATTCCAGCTATATGGACCGTGAAAGTCCGGGCTAGAATTGATCTCCAGTAACCCAAGCTTGTCCTAAGAGGCGCCTTATGGGATGGGGTGGTCAGGCTCACTGACTGGGTTGACACATGTAATCGGTTTCCAATTGCGCAGATCGATGCTCATGCTGTTGATCACTGGCTTATCTGGTCCAGACGCAATAATTTGCAGAGCGCCGCCATATAGCTGGAATATGGACGAGTGCGGCGTAAAACTAAACTCATTCACTCACTCTAGCTATATGGGGGTCGGTCTTAAAACAATTCTCACATTGGTGTTGCTTTTTGTTAGTTTGGCTGTTGTTTTACGCTGCACTAAGCAATGTTCCAGCTATATGACGGTGATCTGTAAATAATAAAGCCAGACAAGCCGGTGATCAACATCATGAGCATCGACCTACGCAAGTGGGATACGATGACATGTGTCAACGAATTCAACGAGCCTGACCATATCTGGTCAAGATGCGATCGTTCACTGGCCACATTGCTTGATGAGGCGATAGAGAACACTCAAACACACATATTTTATTGATGTATATTTGGTGAAAGACGTAAGATTCAAAGGGATTGTTTCATTTTCGGGTTTATTTTCATTTTCAACTTGGGAATATACACAATGTAGCGATGTAATAAGTGAAACGTGATAAAGTGGAACACTGTTCTTGCTGTTTAAGTCCAATATAGCCACGCTATCACATCACGAACACCTGGTGTCATAACAGTTACAGCCTCGGTGTTGTGAATCAAATATGAAACGAAAATGAAACGCAATATTCATGCAATATCACGGTGGGGGACTTCAGAGAAGGGCCTTACCTTTTTCAAATGACCAAATAAGTGAACGTCTTCCGTAGGTTAAGAATAACTCCATATTTTAATCGTGCAGGCTTATTTAATGGATAATAGAAAGAGGTTTGTTGCTTACATTAGTGATACCCTACAATTTACATGATAAGTGTTGTCCAAGAAATATACACGATTGTACAAAATAGAGTAAAACATTAAGTGGATGTTGATCAATCTTGATCTTCAAAATGACCAAAGATGTTATAATCAATGTTAATGAATATTATAATCAATGTTAATGAATATTATAATCAATGTTAATGAATATTATAATTATTGTTCATGAATATTATTATCATTGTTCATGAATATTAATCATTGTTCATGAATATTATTATCATTGTTCATGAATATTACAATCATTGTTCATGAATCATTGTTAATTTCGTATGGAGTGAGTGGGAGAGTTGGATTTTACGTTGTCTTTAGAATATTCCAGTTGCATCACGTCGTGCCAACTTAATGGGGCAGAACATCCGAAGTGATGTGGGTTGGAGGCTTACCATATTAGTGAAAGTCACTAAGATGCTTGGAAACATAATCGGGTGCAACCGTTATTCGAACCTACAAACCGTGCCCATGACCAGGATCCCAAGGGACGTTACTCTGCACAACATCGGTATTAGATAGAATGTCTGATACAAAACATGCTGAATATGGCAGCAGACAGAGCAGCGGGTATCAGCAGCCTGGTGTTGCCTTGGTCGTGTGCAGCTCCACGGACGGGGCACCTGGGCTTCTCCTCCTCCTCATTCCCCTCATCCGCCCCTCTGTCGTGCCAGTTCCCACACCGGGGGAAGTGTTTTGGGGGTCGGGGCATTTGGCTCAGTTTCCCCACCTGTATAATGACACCCATCCCGATAGACTGGTGGAAGTCCACGTGGCAGTGCATCAGCCAGAACCCTAGAAACAGAACATTAGATCAGAGTGACAGAACCCTAGAAACAGAATATTAGATCAGAGTGACAGAAATCTAGAAACAGAACATCAAGTCAGACTAACGTTTGTTTGTTTGTTTATTTGTTTAATGCATTTTTTAAATTAAAATATCAGAGTGACATTTTGTATCTACATTTACCTACACCACAATGACATGCGTCATTCAAGTCACCTTATCCCGGGGATTAAAATATCTTCCAAGCCTATCCAATGTTAATTACTATTCGGTGTTCAAATTCTTGTGTAACATATTAAATACAAACAATGAGGATACTCGCCATTTTTCTTTAAAATGTATTTCTACTGTGACATAAATGTATTGTACACCACGTTCCATCGAAATGCAATTGTATTCTAAGCCACGAGGCAGAACTACTGAATAGATATATCTCTTGATCCCGGTCGTCAAATGTCAGGTTGTTGGGATCGGCTCTGACACGTTTTCCCCTGCAATAAGAAGCATTGGGGAATCGGAAATTCCTATTTGCCAGATCCAAATGAAACTTGCTTGGTTCCAAATATTAGCCTGCTAGGATGCGAAAGCGAGTTTTGTAAACCATGACATTCACGTCACTTCTACAGAGCCATAACATTGGTCACTCAAACACTAACATGAACTGAAAACATTTTATTTCCAATACGGGAATTTGAATTGATGTTGGATGCAGGTTAAAGTGAGTGAGTGAGTTTAGTTCTACGCAGCACTCAGCAATATTCTAGCGATATGGCGGCGGTCTGTAAATAATCGAGTCTGGACCAGACAGCCAGTGAACAACAGCATGAGCATCGATCTTCGCAATTGGAAAACGGGACAACTGGGATGACATGTGTCAACCCGGTCAGCGAGCCTGACCACCCAATCCCGTTAGTCGCCACTTACGACAAGCATGGGTTTCTGAAGATGAATATTCTAACCCGGATCTTCACGGGCGGTAACGTGTCTTCCGTGACCACCCGATTCAGTTAATCGGTTTGGACCAGGTTGAATATCAAGCGGATTGGTTTATTTTTAACATTAATTTTGATAACTGTTATAATTCATATTTAGTCTGATTGTGCATCACATATGGGGAGTATCGGGATTCAGGTTGCGCATTTGCAAAATACACAATTACTCGAAATTAATCTGCAAAAAGGGTACCACCTGCCCGATTTTATCAGCCTCAATTCGCTGTACAGAGTTTAGTCCCTTGAGCACACGAGAAACCTGTTATCATGGGTTCGAATCCCAGTTCGCACCGGTTATATTTCTAAACTAACGGGCAAAAGAAACGATACCAAGTCGAAATCACTGATGTTACAAAACGACAAACCACCATTGGGAAAATGGAAAGTGAATTTTAATTTTAATAAGGTGTATGGGCATGTTGCTGTAAAAATACACTTTCCTTTTTCCCAGCCCATGTTGTTATTAAAATGTTTTGCATGACGTCACACTGTAATGACGTCACTAAGCCTTGCTCGTCTGCCCCCTTGGTAACCGACGTCACGATGCATGTCAGTTGTCATCGCCTCGTACAACCTCCTACATAAACTACTCCGTAGCACCCTGCTTCTTAGTTTGCAGTTGCTTCACTCGGCTAACCTCACTGGTGTAAATTTTGTGCGTTTATGTTTTTCGACGCACATAATGTCTCAGTTGGACTCACAATTAAACAGCGATACGGCAACGTTCGCAATGTTTACATTCCCACAATGCATCACTCTCCTACCCTGAGTTCCATGCGGTCAGCCAGCATTGTACCTCTGCCACAGGCCAGAAAGATGTGACGATTCGTCACATCTTACACTGTCCATTAAATATTATGTACATATTTCTTAACTCTTTTATTTTTCATGAGTCTACACATCTAATTAAACATCGTTGTTAGAATTCACTGAGAAAATATCCTAAAACATGTAACACTATTTCGATTTGCGTAGCGATCCTTTGTTTACATGGGTTGTACTGCACCACGTGCTGTCGTTGAAGCCGACGGGGAAGAAACGATGCAGCCAGTTTGATATATAAATACGTACTGTCATAGACCTAACTGTCGCAGTTGTGGAAGAACATATAATTAACAATGTAAAACATTGTAAAGAGCGCGCAGAAAAGCTTGCGTCTCTTGCCAGTCTCTTCTTATTATCAATATGCGCGTTTGTTTACAAACAAGAGAAAAGTCCGGTCACGTGATATGCAAATTAACCTATGGCAGTGATGTTATGCTAAGTCATCGCAACGCCGGAGTGTGACAATGCATGTAAGTTGTAGAATGAATGAATTCACGTGTTTGTTATGAATGAAGAAGTAGTTCCGTCAAAACGTGACCTAATTGAGAGGTCATCGGTTACCCAATCAAATCGTTAGAATCTCAGGTCAAGTCGTTACGACACAGGTCAACGCGGTACGACACTCGTGTGACGTACGAGATTAGTATGCAACTACCCATACGTTGACAGCGTGGGTAATAAACCCATTTATACACTCACTCACCCATCCATTTATACACTCACTCACCCATCCATTTAAACACTCACTCACTCACTCACCCGGGTTATCTGCAAGGAACCTGATGATTGTGTACCCTCCATCGGGCACCGTGACGGTGTCTTTAGCTATGGGAGTTTCTAGATTCCTGTTTATCAGACCAGCTTCATCCATCCTTTTGATCTCCTGTACAGAGGTAGACGTGCCAACCTGAGCAAACAGAGACGGTAATTACAGAGACCGCGTCGCATTGAATGAAAGCTGAACATTTCCTTTAGAAGAGTGATAAAGTCATAAAACGGTTCTGAGTGAGTGAGTGGTTTTGTGGGTGGCGTCTTTGTTTACGTGAGTGGACGAGTGAGTGAGTGAATGAATGAGGAGGTTTGTGGGTGAGTGATTTGTGGGTGGGTCCTTTGCGAGTGAGTGAGTGTATGAATGGATGAATGAATGAGTACTGGCCAAGGATTGTATGACCACCTTTTAAGGAATGGGATTTTGGTCGTTATAGCTGTTTCAAAAATTTGACTTAATAACATCTGAGGGGCGTGGGGCAGCATTTCGGTAATCGCGAATGCCCGGGTTCGATCCCCGACGAGTTAAACCCTCTGTGTTTGCCCCCGCAGTAGCATTACTGAATATGTCTACCATAGCGTAAAGCCAAATTCACTCCAAACTGCCTCATTTCAGAAACAGACTGTCAAACTGACTCACTGGGTGGGTTGCATTTTACACAGCTTTTCAGTGTTTCCAATGCTTCAATTTGCCAGTTGGTTATCGGGGCCTGCTGCCGGCTGCAGGCTTTAAAATCAACAGGCCCTGATTGAAATCTGCAGGCCTATGTTGTTAAAGTCAAACTAATAAAAACAAAATAGACTACACTGTATAGAGTTTCAAACTGTTTCTACAAAATCAATTAGCGAAGCCTATGGCACAGAGAGAAAGTTTTTATTTGTTAAAGACTGGTGTTGACATTACTGTGCGCAAAGCGCTGAAATACCAGGAAGTGAAACTGTAAGTTATCGTAACATCATGGATCATGGATGATTCCAGAACGTTAATAAAGAAGAAAAAAACACAAGGGAAAGATTCCAGTTGATAAAAAGACAGATAATTTACTGAAGGCCTGCAGATATTTGAAACTGCCGGCCCGATACAACAACATCTGGCGCTGGGCCTCTGGGCCGGCGATTATTTCGAACGATGCCGCTCTTACCAGCATCTGCTACAGCACAGAGGGCAACACCAGACCGGTTGACCAGTTACATCGTGAAAGGAATCACGGGCCGTCAACATTACAAACCGACCCGTCGCCGTCATTTGAGAGTGAGTGAGTGAGGTTAGTTTTTTTTGTTTTTTTTTAGTCTTTAGGGAGGCAACTCTGCACAGCAAATTACAGGGCCTTAAACCACTGGACTGTACTCCTTTAACATAAAAGACAGGATTTTCCGGCTAATAATTTTACTAATGACCTATTGCAAGTGAGTGAGCGATTTTAGTTTTACGCCACTTTTAGCAATATTCCAGCAATATCACGGCGGGGGACACCAGAAATGGGACTCACACACTGTACACAAATGGAGAATCGAACCCGGATGCTTTAACCACTAGGCTACCCCCACCGGCCCCGTTAACAAATGATAAAGAGGGTAAGTATGAGACGTGACAATGACGTCACCAATCAACCCCGACTATCCCGTCTCCGCCGTTTACAAATGATAACGAGGGTAGTATGAGACGTGACAATGACGTTACCAATCAACCCCGACTATCCCGTCTCCGCCGTTTACAAATGATAACGAGGGTAGTATGAGACGTGACAATGACGTCACCAATCAACCCCGACTATCCCGTCTCTGCCGTTTACAAATGATAACGAGGGTAGTATGAGACGTGACAATGACGTTACCAATCAACCCCGACTATCCCGTCTCCGCCGTTTACAAATGATAACGAGGGTAGTATGAGACGTGACAATGACGTCACCAATCAACCCCGACTATCCCGTCTCTGCCGTTTACAAATGATAACGAGGGTAGTATGAGACGTGACAATGACGTTACCAATCAACCCCGACTATCCCGTCTCCGCCGTTTACAAATGATAACGAGGATAGTATGAGACGTGACAATGACGTTACACCTGACCTTGTCCATAGCGACAATCCGGAAGTGGTGTCCATGAAGATGCATGGGGTGGTTGGCGTTGAAGGTGACGCCCTCGTCAATCAGCACCATTTCCACGGTGTCGTCCAAGTCCACCCTGAGGACGTATATACACTCACAGTACTTCCTGCTGCAGTTCCTGGTGTTGTGAGGGCCGCAGAACATGTCCTGTAGGGGTGGAGATATCGGATCATGTATATTATGAATAGATACAAGTGGGACTGACTGACTGAGTATGGGTTTACGCCGCTTTTAGCAACATTCCAGGAACATCACGGCGGGGGACACAAGAAATGGGCTTCACACATTGTACCCATGTGGGGAATCGAACCAGGGCCTTCAGTGTGACGAGCGAATGTTTTAACCACTAGGCTAGCCTACGGCCCTACTAGGGGCAAAAGCGATACTTATCGTGTCCTCGTTCTTCATATTGCTGGAATATTGCCAAATGCTGCGTAGACCCACACTCACGCACCCTCGGCGGATGCCATAGTGTAGGCAGGACAAAAGTATTAGAAAAACTCCATGGTGCACCCGACCAGTCTTCCAACCGCTTTCCGAAAGCAACGTTGGTTCGACTCTGCCTAATAAGCATTCTATGCAATTTACAGAGAGCCACGAGCCGCGTGACTTAAGTGCCATTCAATGTTTGAAACGGTCGTAATATATCCCAGTTGTTCTGGAGACCACCTTGTACCATGAGGTAGGTAGGTAGGTAGGTAGATAAGGTTATAGGGAGACCTTGGGCCTTAAAAGGCCTATATGCGCCCAACACTTAACAAACTGTTATATTTTTGTTCAGTTAAATTACGTCGTATTGACTCGTTTTAACGAGGAAGTCTAAAACAGCTCTTTGTATGCAACTATACATTAAATTATCGCCAAGTATTGCGTTCACTGAAGAAGTATTTTGGGTTTTGTTTAGCACAGTTTCGTTAAGAGCCTTACGTGGGTTTTCATGAGCTGGACATTCAATGAGGTAGTGCTGAACTGTCGTGTACAATGAAAAGTGATTAAGAGTGACCCCCTTTGTTGTTGACAGATTCGATGCTTTTTACGATCAGCCTTTGGTCTGATCTATATACTTGTGTGGATTGGATACCTTGCTGATAACAAAGAAGTAATGCCGACACTATTCAGGTTTCAAAAACAAAGACACTGAGTGAGTGAGTGAGTTTACTTTTACGCCGCACTCAGCAATATTCCACCTATATGGCGGCGGGCTGTATACATTTGAGTCTGGACCAGACAATCCAGTAATTAACAGCATGAGCATCAATCTGCACAATTGGGAACCGATGACATCATAGACATTGAACATCTCGTCACTGAAAACCCCCAAATCTCTGTTACTCGTTACGGGACGGTGGGGTAGCTTAGTGGTTAAAGCGTCCGCTCGTCACGCCGATTACCCGGTACCCAACATGGGTACAATGTGTGAAGCCCATTTCCGGTGTCCCCCGCCGTTATATTGCTGGAATATGGCTAAAAGTGGCGTAAAACAATACTCACTCACTCTCTGTTACTTGTTACTACTGACAATAATTTGATCCTTTGTCTTTATGTTGCCTTAACGTGTTTCGCAACTTGAGATGCAATGTGAGATGAGACGCAAGAGTTAACCCCCCTTATACACCTAAGGTGCTAAAACATTCTACACTAAGACAGATGATTGTGGGATAATCCCTTTGTAGTGCTTTTCAGATCTTTCTGTCTTTCTGTCTAAATATAGCACCAGTCCAAATATAGCATACCATTACCTCTCACTGACTATCCCCCTCGTTATGTAGATCGATGCTCATGATGTTGATCACTGGATTGTTGTGTCCAGACCGCCACCATATAGTTGACTAGTGATATTTTACAACAACCAAACGTATCCACGTACACATTGCTACAAAATATAAAACACTGCCACGACACAGTTTTTCTCACCTTGGGTATGTCGCCATACTGTGACAGCAGCGGGGACGGAGGTTGAATATTGGTGATGTGATTCACCTGTGGCAAGTACAGTTTCATATGTCGGCTGACGGCAGCCAAGGGATATAACTCTTCGTGGTTGAACACATAGTTGTCTACCTTGTTGAAGTCCATGGCAACGTAAAACTTCTTATCGGGCACCTGTTTCATGTGGATGGAGTCTGCCTGGGTGGTGTTCAGCCATGACACGGGTGTCATGTCAGGGGTGCCCTTCTTATTCAAGGGGTTCAACAGCTAAAACATAAATAGGAATGGTGTTACATATAGTACAAGGGTTGGTAGGGTGGCCTTGCTGGAAAGTGTTCGCTCGTCACGCCGAAAGGCCGGTTCGATTACTAAATTGGTACAATATAAGTGGCAAATTTATGTTGCCGCTTGAAGTGATAAAGCGGAATATTGCTGAAAGCGGCATAAAATACAACTCACTACGTAACTATGCATCATATATAGTAAGGCACATCCACCAATAATGCCATTCATCATCTTTATATTCAATATCATGAGAACAAGGGTATATAACGTGAAGAATATTTCTTAGATTTATTATTGACTGACAAGTGTTCTTGGTTAGAATATATCAAGTAAATCGGATTGTCTTGTCCTCTGGGTTGGTTTTACATTTTAATTTCTTTACAGACCACGGTAATCTAACTGGAACCCTACTGGGTTAAAACAATAAACAAACAGATGCGTTCTTATACACTCACTCACTCACTCACTCACTCACTCACTCACTCACACCCACCCACCCACCCACCCACCCACTCACTCACTCACTCACTGTACCTACCTTCCCTTCTCTCCGACCACTGTCGTAGTCTGTCGGTTCACTGGGTTCTGTCTTCGTGGCGTTCTCATACCTCAAGATGGCCAGCTGCTTCGTTGACTTGGCACCACAGAGACCCAGTCCTCGAGTTCGAACCCAGTAGTTATCGACATCCTTATCAGCGTGCAATATAAAGTCGTACCTAGCGACATAAACGTACAACCGGATAAACTGTAAGAATATATCACATTGTTGAATACGTATGTTTCTTGGTGACACATCTGGGGCCGTATATATATATATATATAGATTCTTAGTATTTTCGTAGTTTTGGTCTTAGAATTCCTAAAATCGGTCTTACTTACACGTTCGCTCTTAGAGTTATCTATAAACGTTCTTAGACTAACTTTTAGCTAATTCTTAAGAGTAACTCTCAGATAAATTCTACGAGTCGTAACTAAGGACTTTCAGAACTCTCCTCGGCAAAAAATTAAAAAGGTCACAAGGGGAAAACCCGCGTTTATTTTTAGCACAAAAAGGCGAAAGTGCGACGTCGCATACCGCTGTTATGTCCAGTTTACGACAAGAAGACGGTATATTTCCGGGATTGTTTTTATATTGTTCACGGCTGCTGTGTGACGTCTTTGCTTCTGTTCCAGACATTGCCAAGTGTTTTACTATGGTAAGTACATATTTACGGTTATTGTTAAGCTGCAGATTAGGAATGAGCTTTACGGCGCCTTATACAATATGTAGTTATACCACTGTGTGTCAGTCAGTGTGCGAAATCGTTTCTAAATTTTGCTACCCACTCGGGATAGCTATGCCTGAAAGTTGCTAGCCCACAAAATAATTCACTAGCCCGAAATTTGAATGTAGAAACTAAGCAACAGATTACAAACAGGTAAAATACCATTATTCTTGAGGTCATAATCTTGCATGATTTATAAGTGTATTAATAATAAGAAGAAGAATAAAAATAATACTGGAAATTTATGTAGCGCTAAATCCAACCACTAAGTGGGTGCTCAAAGCGCTACAATAATAATACTGTTTGAATAGAGTCAATAGTGCAGTGAAAAGAGATGCGTTTTAAGATGTGATTTGAACGCTGCAAAAGATGGGGACAGTTTTAAGGCGAGGGGCAGTTCATTCCACAGCGATGGAGCACAAACACTGAAAGAACGCTTTCCATAAGAGGCCAGTATATAAGAAGGAGTTTTCAAAAAGAATCTGCTTTCAGATCGTAGTTGTCTGGATGGTTTGTAGGGGGGTTAGCAGTTAACTTAGATATTCTGGTGATATGCCTTTTAGACTCTTGAAGCCAGTGTAATGATTTCAGTATCGGCGTAATGTGAGAGTACTTTGGGGCACGTGTAACGATTCTTGCCGCTACATTTTGGACTTTTTGAAGTCTCCTCAGAGATTCTTTACTGATGCCTAGAAGCAAACTGTTTCCATAGTCCAACCTCGAGAGTACCAAACACTGTACTAATGTCTTGGCTGCATCAAGTGATATCAGATGACGAATTTGACTGATACATCTGAGATGATAAAAACAGGTCTTGAACAAATTGTCAACTTGACAATCCATGGACAACTCGGAGTCAAAATAGACACCAAGGCTTTTTACCCGGGATTATAACTGATTATAACTTAACATATTATAACTTAATAAGTCAGAGAGAGTGATATGTTAAAAAAAGACCCCATGGGAATTTACCAGGCAGTCGGGGCGGTGGGGTAGCCTAGTGGTTAAAGCGGTCCTTCGTCACGCCGAAGACCCGGGTTCGATTCCCCACATGGGTACAATGTGTGAAACCCATTTCAGGTATCCCCCGCTGTGATGTTGCTGGAATATTGCTAAACGCGGCGTAAAAGCAGCCCATGCTTCTCGTAAGAGGCGAATAATGGGATCGGGTGGTCAGGCTCGCTGACTTGGCTGACACATGTCGTCGTATCCCAATTTCGAAGATCGGTGGTGATGCTGTTGATCACTGGATTGTATGACCCAGGCTCGATTATTTGTAGACAGCCGCCATACAGCTGGAATATTGCCGAGTGCGGCGTTAAACAACAAACAAACTAAACCAAAAAAAAACAAAACATCTCCTGATGTAAAAATAGACAAAACGTCTTTCCTTGAGGCATGAGTTATGTGTCCGCAACGAAAGGGAAGGTAACATGTGCCGAATTCAAAACCCCACAGTTCACCATACCGTTCTCCAGCGAAGATGTTGAAGGAGCTGACAACGACGGGTTCGTGTGGTACGCCATCGGTGGCGATCATGATGATGTCGTGGTGGTCAACGGAGACCTGAATGGGGCAGCTCATGATGCCGTTGCTGATAACCCGGAAGCGGAACTTCCGGTACTTTTGAACGTTGAACACCGCGTATGGGGTGTGGACCGTCTCGTTGGTGTCTGAACTCGGAAAGAATCGGAACGCTCCTCGGCCTGTAAACAGAAAGTGTGAGTAAGTGACTTAAATTTTACAATATTCCAGCAATGTCCCGGCGAAGGACACCAAAAATAGGCTTGACACATTGTACCCATGTGGGGAATCGAACCCGGGTCTTCGACGTGACGGGCGAACACTTTAACCACTGTGCTACCCCACCACCCCTGGAAGCAAAATGGAAAGTCTTCCTTAATATATCCTTGATGGGTTCTTTGATATATGTTGCCGGGCAAAATTATAAACCTGTTGCAAGAAAAATGAAAACAAAGGATTTTTTTCTCGCTCGTTATGTATGTCACACTTATTTTTACATATTTTCAGAGTAGGAAAGTTACGATGACTTGCATTTATTTTGGTGAAATACTTTTGTTGGAAGCCTAAAATGTTGATAATGTTTGTAATTTCTATTCCAGATCGGTATGTTCGTTGCCCAGTAACGTATGGATGACGTTTATAACTGCCAGACACTTCGCGATCACAAAAAAACTGGCTCCAGAGTGGAACTGTTAGACAGTTTCGGATTAAATATCGGTCGAAGAGTGAGTGAGTGAGTTGGGGTTTACGACACCTTTAGCAATATTCCATCAATATTCCAGCTGTATCCCAGCAATATCACAGCGGGGAACACAAGAAATGGCCTTCACACATTGTACCCATCTGGGGAATCGAACCCAGGCCTTTCTGTGACTTGCGAACGCTTTAACCACTAGGCCACCCCACTGGTCAAAGAATGAGACCATGTAGATATATATTGATTTGTTTGAGTGGCATTCTAGAAGTTGGTGGCATAGAGATGACAAGACTTAATGGATGATCAACTGTCAAACTAAAGAAGATAGCAGTAATATGGGTTTAAGGAATATATCATCACCGTTGATGAGCATTGATGCAGGTTTGTTGTCGTAGTCGGAGTGGTGGTGGCCGGCAAACCTGTTGATGGTCAGCTCCATAAGCCAATCGTGTACTATCATGGTGTGTTCGGGAAGGTCATGGTCATACAGGTGCGACGCTGGATCACGTGATGGAGGTTCCCGGATGATCAGCGCCCCGAACAGCCCGTCGCAGCGATGAACGCCAGCGTGGCCGTGCCAGTAGTGAGTGCCTCGGTTACCTGCCTTGAACCTTCAGGAAAAACAGTGAGTGAATGAGTTTAGTTTTACGCCACTTTTAGCAATATTTCACCAATATCAAGGCGGGGGACACCAGAAATGGGCTTCACACATTATACCCATGTGGAGAATCAAACCCGGGTCATCGGCGTGACGAGCGAACGCTTTAACCACTAGGCTACCCCACCCCTCAGGGAAAAGAAGAATGATTGTAATTACGTCATTACTTTCGGGTCTTGGTATTAAGACAATTGTCGTAAGAGGCTACTAACGGGATCGGGTGGTCAGGCTCCCTGTCTTGGTTGACACATGTCATCGGTTCCCTATTGTGCAGATCGATGTTCATGCTGTTAAACACTGGATTGTCTTGTCCAGACTCGATTATTTACAGACCGCCGCCATATAGCTGGAATATCGTGTGGCGTAAAACTAAACTCACTCACTGGTATTAAGACAAATGTAATCATTGTAAAATAAAAACTGCATGAGACAGTGTGGTTTTCATGGTGCATGTCTCGTGTTATAGCTATTGTGTCGATCCATCGGTAGCAATTTACCCCGAGGAGCCGCAATTTCCTGTGCAGAGTTGTGTCCCTTGGGCGCGTCAGTCACCGGTGAATGTTGGTTTGCATCCCAGCTCGCCTTGATTATGGTTCTGGGTTTGTCAGCCATGATGGTGGGTGTCACTAACGTGGCACACTTCAGAGACAGACATACATAGGTTTTGCTTTCTTTGTCATTTCCGAACAGTTTATTAATGTATTTAAATTAGTGTATAGCATCGTCGAGAAAGGCTGCAAAGTTATTGATGCGGCGTTCCTGTATACTCGCTGATTCAATTGTCATCATAGGTTAGGGGTAGTCCAGTGGTCACAGCGTTTGTTCGTCACGCCGAAGATCCGGGTTCGATTCCCCACATGGGTACAATGCGTGAAGCCCATTTCTGGTGTCCCCCGCCGTGATATTGCTGGAATATTGCTAAAGCGGCGTAAAACCAAACTCACTCACTCATCATAGGTTAGTATTACAGGTCCGCAAATCTAATGATAAGGGTTCGAGCCAGTCTCTCGACAATTGTAACATTTTTACTAATTCGCTTAGATGTACGGGGGCGGTGGGGTAGCCTTGTGGTTAAACGTTCATTCGCTCGATTCCTCACATAAGTACAAAGTGTTCAGCTTATTTCTGGTGTCCCCCACCGAGATGTTGCAGGATTATTGCTAAAAGCGGCGTAAAACTAAACTCACACACTCAGTTAGATCAACGATATAATGTTCATACAATTCGATGTGTTAATTATTTGGATGATTACAAGATATTGTAAGCATAAATAACCAAAACCTATATAGCTTATTCGTGAACAAGATTGACGTGTTTTGATGCTGTTCATTGCTGTCAAAATCGGACCTTCCATTCAGCTTTTAGCCGAAATTTCTTATGATTAGCTGACTGACTGAGTTTAGTTTCACGCCGCTTTTAGCAATATCCAGCAATATCACGGCAGGGGACAACAGAAATGGGCTTAACACATTGTGCCCATGTGGGGAATCGAACCCGGGCCTTTGGCGTGACGAGCCAACGCTTTAACCACTAGGCTACCCCACCGCCCCTCTTATGATTAGGGTTAGTGTGCGAAGTAGTTTCCAAATTTTGCTAGCCACTCGGGCTAGCTAGGCCTGAAAGTTACTAGCCCACAAAATAATTCACGAGCCCAAAATTTGAAAGAAGACGTGCGTTTCATCATTAAGCTGCTATTATGATGAACGTTTCTATCAGACCATAATCTTGCATGATTTAAAAGTGTATTAATTTAACATGTTGGAGAGAGTGATATATGCTTACAAAATGACCCATGAAAATTCACTAGCCAGTCGGGCCGGTTACTGTTACTAGCCACGGGGTAGCGGGCCAGTGGCTATTTCGCACACTGATTAGGGTATACATTTGGAATTTTCTTTATTTAAATTGTTATGTAGTACAACGTTTTCTCGTACTTGTACTGGAACTTGGAGTGAGCTGTGATGGGGCACTGGGTGATCATACTGACGCCGTCGTGATGCTGATAACCTTTCTGGAGCACGCCGTGCCAGTGGATGGTCGTCCCCTCCGACCCCTCCAGCTTGTTGTGCACGTTGACGATGATCATGTCGTTGTGACACACCTGTAAATGAGAAACTGAGTTTCACGAAAAACACATGCAATGGAGTATGACCAGTTTAGGTATATGCGATTCTACCGGGTACCCATTAACCGTTTGTTGACAACAAAGCCACATGTATAAGGACACACCACATGCGTAAAAATGTGAGGGCTGGACTCAAGCCCAAGAAACTCTCAGGAACCATGCCAGTTACCCATCCAATCATTTTCCGCGACCAATGTTAATGACACGTGAATTACGTGACATCGCACGTGACAACAGCGTTTTGTGGATCTGTAAAGTAACAGTGTTGCTGGGAAACTGGGATCAGCGGAGCAAAACGAGACAGTTTGGAGTGATGAAGACTAATTCTAAACCAGATCCATTCAGTGGGTGTTTCCGAATTGCAAAGATGACAATGTACACATAGATAGGCTCTACCGTAGTAGAGAACGTCTGCCAGTCATGTTATGCTTTGATCCCCGGTCGCGAGATACCAGGAGACGTTTAAGGATTGCATTTGGTGTTACCCTTGGTGCTTGGCATTACGTGGATGATAGATGAACGATTTGGCTCTTTGTCGGTATTCTGTGTCAGGGTACCCGTGAAGATCCGGGTTAGAATATTGATTTCAAGTAACCCATGCTTGTCGTAAGAGGCGACTAACGGGATCGAGTGGTCAAGCTCACTGACTTGGTTGACACATGTCATCGGTTCCCAATTGTACAGATCGATGCTCATGCTGTTGATCACTGGATTGTCTGGTCCAGACTCGATTATTTACAGACCGCCGCCATATAGCTGGGATATTGCTGAGTGCGGCGTAAAACTAAACTCACTCACTCACTGTGTCAGGGTATTGAAACAAATCGGACCAGTAAAGCAGCTGCACACTCCTAACACACACACAGACACATACCTCATGCAAATATCAAGTGCAATAATCTTGAACGAGACGCTAAGCCTATTCCACCTAAACATATACATGTCATTGCACATGGGGATATCTATTGATACATGTTAGGACCCATTTCTTCAAGCGGGCATAACTGCATGTACAGGTATGTTCGCACGTGTTATTGACTTGACTACTGTACATGTATTTGACAAGGTGTGATTATATGAATGCATTGCTATTTGTTGATGTCTTATCAATAAAGATTACGTCTGAGGTCTATTATGTTCGTTTCTTTGTATGTCTTTTTACATATGGTCCGTGGTTCAGATATCCAGAAGTTCGTTTATCCGGACAATTTCAAGAAAAACACAAGTGTCCGAATAAACGGGGCACGAATGTAATACGTTATGACGTCATCACAATGGTAAAACGTCAGAGCCAGTTGCCAAGTGACGTGTCCATTGTTACGTAAACGTCGGTAACGTTGAAGAAGCGTTATCATACGTCAGTGCGCCATACGTCAGAGTTCATACTTGTATAGCGGGTCCAGGCAGCATCCTGTTGGCTGTAATGATGCCTCTTTCGACGCCGTCAGCAGCGACACAGTGCGGCCGGTAGCAGTCGGTGACGTTGTATGGGCAATCGTAGCAGGCTTTGGTCAAGACGTAATAGTATTCTACGGTGAAGTCGTAGGAGCACGTCATAGGTGGCGCTCCCTCCACACACTCACGAACACAAGGGTGGCTTGCATAATCTGTAATACATAAAGTGCATATGACTCCAATTCATTTAATTGACAAACCAAGAATTAGATTTTGAGTTTATGTTTAATTTCCATAAACCAGAAAAATAAGGCTGTGTCCACAACTGCTCAGTTGTTTCCTTATTGAACGATAGTGGCGTGGGCGGGGTTTGTATTGCATTATAGAGGGCTTGTACGTGTCGAGGGGAAACAGACAGATATCATTTACAGTGTTGTGCGTGGAATATCATGAAAAACCCACCAGGTGTTTACCTTTTTTTGTACGTTAGTTACATACATACATGCATACATACATACATGCATACATACATGCATGCATGCATGCATGCATACGCACGCACGCACGCACGCACGCACGCATGCATGCATGCATGCATACATACAGACAGACAGACATACAGACATACATACATACATACATACACACACACATACATACATACATACATACATACATACACACACACACATACATACATACATACACACGCACGCACGCACGCACGCATACATACACACACACACATACATACATACATACATACATACATACATACATACATACACACATACACACACATACATACATACACACACACACACCACACACAATTTATCGATAGAAACAGGATGCTGGTACAACATTCTTAGAGAAAACAGACGCTGTAAACTTTGCGGCTCTCTGTGCTGCTGGGGACGAATTCCATCACATTTTTAAATGTGAAGCTCTTCTCCAACAGCGGATGATGTATATTCCAAATTATTTCTTTGAATGGCCTAATCTGTTTAAACTTAAACAGCTATTTCAAATAATGAAAACAAAACATTTGAAAAACTTTGCTAAATGTTTAAATGCATTGTCAAATGTACCGAAATTGTAAACGAATTGTACTGCAATGATAGCTTATCTAACTATTCTAGTATACAGCATCTTGATTGTATATTTATGTTAAATTCTATATCAATGCATTCTCATGTACCACCGTGGGTGGGTTTTTCGATACTAAAATGTGCTTTTCTGTTCAGTAAACGCGTGAACAAACCTTTGAGGATACCCGATTTCACGCCTGTTCTATAATTGTCATTAGCGTGGATTTGCGCTGGCACTTAACGCAAAACACAAAAAGTAGTAATTAGCCAAGAGATAGATAGATAGATAGATTGATACATAGATATATAAATATTTTATTAACGTCTCGCTTCAACTTGGTACAAAACAGAAAAGTACATACAGGACTATATCACAGTAAAGTGTGTTACCGCGATAAGACATTGGGTCAGCTCTAGACGTAGGGATAGGGGTACTGATCCCCTGGGCCCAGTTGGAGGGTACATGACCTGTCTCATAACACGTAGAAAACAATTTATGAAGATAATCTATACAGATGTCATTTGTCAAAACATCAACTGGAATATTATCGAAACCCGGTGAATTCCCTCTCCTAGCTTGACTACAGCATGAGTATCGATGTACGCAAGTGGGATACGATGACAGGTGTCAACCAAGTCAGAGAGCCTGACCATCCGATCCCGTTAGTCGCTTCTTACGACAAGCATGGGTTACTGAAGATCAATTCTAACCCGGATCTTTACCGGTTAAAGGCAAAATAAGCTACAAATCTGATTTGAGCTTTCTAACGCGTTCTTTTGCCCCGCAGTAGTCTTAACGTGTGTTGGGTGACTCATCGATCACAGCGTGGCGTTCTTCAGTCCAGTGATTTCCGATGATTGATTTCGACCATGAGATACGAAAGCCTACCTATCAAAAGAAGTCATCCAATTTCGGAGCCCTCTCTGCGTCAGAAAGACATTACCTCCAATTGGCCATTAACCCCTAATAATCCCTTAAAGCTTACACGCAACGCAAAACACAACTTTGCAGATTCTGATACCATTCGGTCCGGACTTACAGTAACAAATGATTAAAAATTAAATTCAACTTATAAAGTTGAAAAATAACGCAATGAACAAAAATCCCGTGAAATCGGAATTCAAACGATTTACTAAAAAGTAAATGTGGCTGGCTTAAGATAGGAGTATGGACAACCATCCATGTGTGTTTTATCGGTTCAGGTGGACTGAGAATCGTTTTTTCCCATCACTCCCCGTCAATAGCATCACTCTCACCATTGACACTGTAATTGTGTAAACTCGGTACAGCGTGTTCACTTGCAAACCTGCTGATCTGTACTAATCCTCACCGGCCATGTTTCAAGCTTCAACAACGATGGAGTTTGTTTTGACCCCTTTCATTTAATTTAATGACGATGTTTTGCAGGCCGGGGTCAACGTGATCATTGGCGTATACCACGTCAGTTATACAAGCGAACAAGTTGTTATATATTCTGAACAAAGAGGTCAAGATCATGGCTGCTTTGGGGGCTGTTTTGCGGTTGTTGACTCAGCACAGAATTTCATAAATAATATTCCCATACAATAATATATCACGTGCATCCCATGCTTTAAAGAATCATTCCATATTTTAAAAAGGAGTAAAATGTCGAAATTATTGAGTACAGAATTTCATAAAATACAATTCTCATATAAGAATATATCATGTGCTTCCCATTAGTGCTGGTATTGGCATACAACCTGCGATACGATACATCACGATACTAAAATCTTAGTCACGGCGATATATTGCCAAAGTATTGTTCATTGAAGCTGCGATACGATACGAATCCCAATACCAGGGTATCGATACGATACGTATCACAATACCAGGGTATCGATACGATACGTATCACAATACCAGGGTATCGATACGATACGTATCACAATACCAGGGTATCGATACGATACGAATCCCAATACCAGGGTATCGATACGATACGAATCCCAATACCAGGGTATCGATACGATACGTACCAGGATACTTAAGCCTTTAATTCTAAGACCAACTCTGAAACATTTTAAGATCAAAACAAAACCACTTGAAAGTATTTCGTCAAATTCCGCCAGCGTGTTTCAACGTTCATTCGGAAATGAGATACGTTTATTCACGGACTTTGTGAATGTTAATAAAATGCAAACGCTATGTTTGACACGGTTCCTGACGCAAGAATTTCTGAGAAACTTATGAAGGGAAAATAAGTATACATATATTTTAATCATTAAACAAAAGTGAGTCTTTCTTGACAGATATCGGGATTCGGCAATATTCAAAGTAAAACATCGATGTATCGTGGCCCATTTGAAGTATCGTATCGGGATATACGACTATGTAAAACTTTGTATCGATTCACTGTATCGTCGTATCGATGAATCGTCACACCACTACTTCCAATGCTTCAAAACATCAATCTATATTCAAAATATGAGTAATACGTCGAAATTATTGAGCACAGGATCTCATGAAATAATACCCATTCAAAGTATACAGTATATCATGTGCATTCAATTTCTTTACGAATCGGTCCGTAATTATATTATGAGTAAAATATCGAAAAATTTTGGGATGTGTACATTTAAACCGCACTGGTGATTTTCTGTTAGATCCGGGTTAGAATTGCTCGTCAGTGACCCATGTGAAAGGCGACCAACGAGATCTTGTGGTCAGAGTCGGTGATGTTGGTTGATGCACGTCATCGTAAGCGAACTGCACATATCGCTGCTCACTAAGGTCTGTCACTGGATTGCCTGGCCCAGACTCGATTATACACTCTTAAAAAACACACAGAAATAAACCGCATAAATAATGTTCAGATGAATTTATTGCGTTAGTTTAAGAACAATTAGTTCATGTCATTTCAATGATAAAAAGGTAAAAATGTGAAAATTCACACGTCTACAGACAAAGAGTTCGCAGTTTTTATTGATATGTTTCTGTTTACTTGAGTCCACAAGATGGCGTCGAAGTCGGTGCTTTGCATGGCCACCATTGGCACTTACTGCTCGGCACCGTCTCGGCACAGACTGGATAAGTCGACGAAGTCGCTCTTGTCGATTTGTTCTCCAATCTTTCTGCAATGCAATAGGCAGTTCTAAGTGTCTGAGGCGTATTTTGACGTTGACGTACACATCGATCGAGTTCATCCCATAGGTGTCCTATCGGGTTTAGATCTGGTGATCGGGAAGGACATAGCAAAACAATCACGATAGAATTGGCGAGGTAGCGGACCGTGACGCGTGCTGTATGTGGCGTTGTCTGTCTGTCGGTCCTTAATCGAGCATGTGACGAGCAAGGACTCGTTGATGTACCGATTTGCTGTTAAATTGCCCTGAACCACCACTAAATCAGACCTTTGTGTGCTGGACATGGCACCTTACATCATGACACTGTCTCCACCGAATCTCTCGACCTGTCGATGGCAATTAGGGACAAAAACGTTCATTTCTCCGACGGTAAACACGCTGTCTTCCATCTCGCCGGTGAAGAAGAAATCGTGATTCATCACTGAGCCAGACTCGCCTCCAGTTTCTAAGGTTCTACGACACCGACCCAAGCGATTGCGCCGATGGAAGTCTCACAAACAGGGGCGACAATTGGCCTTCTTGGTCGAATTCCAACTTCACGCACTCGTTTTCTGATAGTTTGGTCGGAAATTCATTTCAAATCAGAGATGCGTTGTGCAGTTTCCAAGGCTGTGGCAAGACGATGACGCAACCCGGATGTAGCTGTCCTGGGCTTGGCTGGTAACTCTTTGACGTCCGATCTTGGGCGGAATTGGTCTGCAGGAACGATCTCAAAGGCGACATGTGGTGCTCTGATGAACGTTGAAATATCGGGAAACTGCAGACTGCGACTCCCCAGCTTCAAGGCGGCCGATGGCGATGTTTCGATTGGCGGCACTCAGTCGTGGTATGATCATTTCTTCTTTTCCAGGCAAAATCGGACGACTAAAAATTAAACACAACGTTTGCCTTTTTATAGTGATCGATACCACGTGCTTTTCCGCTCACTTGCACGTGCATTTTGCTTTGCATGTTTTCTTGGTGACGTTTTGGCGAATACGTCTTCAAAAGCTTCTAAAACAAGGGGGGAAGTTACAATTGCCGCGTTTTAACGCCGAAGTGGTTTACAGTCACACAAAGGTGGCGTTTTGGATTGAAATAGTATATTTGTATTGTTTTTGCCGCAGCTACGTGAGTTCAATATTCTCAAAATCACCTATGCGTTTCTTTTTTTTGAAGAGTGTATATACAACGCCGTCATAAACTTAAACGTTGCTTTGTGAGGCTATGAAAGACATTTGTTTGGTGAACTGTACTAGACCTTAACATAACCCTTCCACGGTCATAACAACACTTCGAAAGCTGATTCAATTGACGATTTCGACTTGATCATAAGCATATGTGAAAGAATCAAATAAACTGACGTACAAAAGAAAGTACACACCTGGCGTTTTGGGATTATTTGAAAAGTGTTGTGATTTTGACTGGCAACTTCGCAATTGGGCTGGATATCTGTGGTGTTTTGGCAACATATTAGGAAAGTCTGTGACTTATATATCACTGTAAAAACTCTTTTCAAAACATTTACGTCGCTCTTTGGAAACTAATCCAAAAGCACAAGGTGTGTACTTTCTTTTCCACGTCAGTTTAGTTGTTATACCAGAGGGAAAAGTGAGCGAATCAAGCCCCACCGATGGCTCCCACCAAGACACATGCACAAGCAAGTACATTATTTTACTGATAGAACAGGTAAGCTGTAACTGCCCAAATCGCATCCCAATCCTAAAGTCTTTCAAACCATGTGGCAGTGACTCGAGCTGGCAAATATCGGGCTGGGTTTACGCATTAAAATGCTCACATCCTCAAGCGCTATTACTAATGCTGACGACGCAGTATTGGAACACTTAATTTGAATATAGCTTCTACTGGACAACACAATGGATTCGCACGAAAACTTTGTTTTACACAAAACTGCAAAGGTTATCAAAACGTCTAGCTGAAAATAGTCGCCTGACGAACACACATATCCAACACATATAAATGAGTGAGTGAGTTTAGTTTTACGCCGCACTCAGCAATATTCCAGCTATATGGTGGCGTTCTGTAAATAATCGAGTCTGGACCACACAATCCAGTGATCAACAGCATGAGCATCGATCTGTGCAATTGGGAACTGATGACATGTGTCAACCCAGTCAGCGAGCCTGACCACCCGGTCCCGTTAGTCGCCTCTTGCGACAAGCATTGGTTACTGAAGGTTCATTCTAACCCGGACCTTCACGGGTCCAACACATATGATGGGTATACCATGTAGGTCAAATGGCGTTAAGTTACATTTCTATCATACACGTAATGCATATCAATTCTATGTGTTTTTTTGTTTTTCCTTTTCAGCCGAAATCAAACACTGCCGAATATGATTTTGCGTTTTGTCTGCAGGCATTTGTTCGAATAACTTAAGGGGCGGTGGGGTAACCAAGTGGTTAAGGCGTTCGCTCGTCACCCTGAAGACCCTGGTTCGATTCCCCACATGGGCACGACAGGTGAAACCCATTTCTGGTGTACCCCGGCGTGATATTGGTGAAACATGAATATGTCGCATTGTCGCGCTTTGGTTAATTTTGCCACATTTTGCTTGTTTTTATGAGGGCGACAACGCGACAATGCAACGACGCGACGATGTCCCTTCTTGAATTCCATACAAACTAGATTTAGTCCGCCGTAAGTATGTATACTGAATCAAACTAGGAACCTCACAACCATATATTAAATACGATATGAAAGAAAGGACACAAGAATGTGGTAAGGAGGTTATCATTTATTATCATTTAGTTAAGGTCAATAGGATGAACAGAGAATAATCACAATGCCCCAAATCGGTTCCATGTGGTTACACAATTTATCAATAAAAGACGTAAACAAAGTGTCAAGTCACAAGAAATTAAATCCGATGTTTGAAACGTTCAGACGCGTGTTTGGCCATCCCGTGCTTTTACAACTGCAAAGCAACGCCTCCTCATGGACTGTCTGATGCGTGTTAACACATTACTGGGGAGTCGATGCCATTGTTCCTGCAAAGCAGCACCAAGATCCTGTTAATTCTGGGGTTGGTTCCTGAGAGTGAGCATACGTCTACTAAGAGCATCCCAGATCTGTTCGATTGGATTGAGATCAGGTGACCTTGTCAGCTAGTCAAGAACGTTGATTCCTGCGTTCTGCAGGTAATTCCTGGTCAACAACTTTTATGGTGGAGTCCGGAAAATTTTCAAATATAAGACAGCTATTGGGTATTAGTAAATGATAAACATGTGTACTATTTATATTTATGTGGCAATTTAGTACAATGATAAAATTTGCAATGCATCGGTCCGTTTCTGACACAAACGGACTGTAGTTGATGGGAACATGTGCGATCGAATGCAAGTGCAATGATAAGATCACGTGACCATTGGCACGTGAACACGTATTAGCACTATTGTGGGTGCACGATGTTCGGATTGACTTAAATGTGCTGTGGTGAGTTTTTTCTTAAGTCGATACTTGGGGATGAATATTATGATATCCGAAAACTGTCTACTATAACAATTGGTGCTTACAAATATGAATAGCTAACTTTTTATTTTGACTCAGTATATGCTTCTTGTTTAAAGCTGCACCCAGCAATATTCAAGCTACATGGCAGCGGTTGGTCAATTATCGAGTCTGGACCAGACAATCCAGTGGTCAGCTGAATGAGCATCGATCTAGTTACGATGACCTAGATACGATTCCATGTGTCAAACCAGTCTTTGAGCTTGAAAACCCGATCCTGTTAGCGCTTCTTACGACAGGCATGGATTTATGGAAACCAATTCTAACCCGGAGGTGAGGTGAGGTGAAATTGGGTTTTACGTCGGGCTTGAGAATATTTCGCTCATATGACGACGTGCATGCGTGTGTATGTGTTTGTGCGGCTGCTTGTACTAGCCCAGACTGAAGCTGGTTTTATAGTGCTAGCCCACTGAGATACCATGCCGCAGTGAAGCATGAATACCCCACTCAGACATATTATACTGACTCCGATCCGACCAGTCCTTGCTGTACCCATTAATGCCAAGCGCCAGGCAGGGGCCAACAAGTACCATATTTTAACGTCTTTTGGTTTGACGCGGTCGGGGATCGAACCCGCAATCTTTCGCTCTCCGGGCGGACGCTCTAACCACTACACCACGGAGGCGGCCTCTAACCCGGATCTTCACGGATAGATACAAGCATGGGTGTCTGAAGAGCAATTTCAACCCGGATCTTCACGGGTCTACTCGGCACTAGCTAAATAATGTAAGTAATCTTGAAGGCGACAGAAACCCTAATTCACACCGCTGGGATGTATATAGATAGAATAAGAGGTGGACCTTACGTTGAATAATAAAATCAGTTAGAGTTTGTTATTTTTTCAAATGAACAATTAATGTACCGATGTATTTTACCAAACACCTGGTACCATCACAATATGATGGTGATGCACAAACACGGCTCATGATAAAGCAGGAATCGTACAATCAACGCAGCCTTAAGCACAGAATACGGAAAGCGTTTGTCATTCATTCATTCATTCATTCATTCATTCATTCATTCATTCATTCAAGACACCATTCGGTTTAACATTTAAAAACGTCTGTATAGTAATACCAATTCCACAACTGCCAACGAACGAAACATAAGGATGAATAAATTCACACCACTCACCCGACAACTCTTTTTCTCCTGAAGTACCACATACGCCAATTAATACCAGAATCAGAACCCCAAACTCGTTGGCCATCATGTCGTATTTTCGTTCACCACCGATTCCACGAACCTCTGACTCGTAGTGAAGCTCTCAAATACCCGAACACCGAGATTATGGACGAGAGGTCAGTTATGTATTCGACCTCTCCAACATTCGGAGACACGGACACAATTCTTTTCATATGAGATCAGTGAGGGATGCTAATCATAGGTCATAAAACCTCTCTGTAAACAGGTCTTTGACCCCCCCAGGCCGGAGCGTCATCTCGGGAGAACGTGTGTCAGCAGTATTCCAGCGGTCAGTACCTAATCGAGTCAGTATAGGTCAGTATAGGTCAGACAATCTAGTGATTGATAATATGAGCATCGATCCACGAAATTAGGATACGATGACATGATAACGACCAAGTCACCAAATTTGACTACACTATGTCTGTATGTATGTATGTATGCATGCATGCATGCATGCATGTCTGTCTGTCTGTATGTATGTATGTATGTATACCTGTCTGTCTGTATGTATGTATGTATGTATGTATGTATGTATGTATGCCTGTCTGTCTGTATGTCTGTCTGTATGTATGTATGCCTGTCTGTCTGTCTGTATGTATGCCTATCTGTCTGTCTGTCTGTCTGTATGTACTCCTGTCTGTATGTATGTATGTATGCCTGTCTGTCTGTCTGTATGTATGCATGTCTGTCTGTCTGTATGTAAATATGCCTGTCTGTCTGTATGTATGTATGTATGTATGCCTGTCTGTCTGTATGTATGTATGTATGTAGGTATGTATGTATCTATGTATGTATGTATGTATGTATGTATGTATGTATGTATGTATGTATGTATGTATGTATCGTTCGTTCGTTTATTCTTTCATTCAACCACTCATTCAATCATCTATATATTCTTTTAGGAATTTATTCGAATTCTTCAGAAACGTCCGTCAAAAGGTATCTATCTACCTACCTACCTACCTATCATTCATTCATTTATTTATTCATTCAATCAATCAATCAATCAATCATTTATTTATTCTTTTAGGCATTTATTCAAATTCTTCAGAAACGTCCAACGTCAAAAGAAGGTATCTATCTGCCTATCATTCATTCATTCATTCATTCATTTATTTGGTAACCCATGCTTGTCGTAAGAGGCGACTAACGGGATGCGCAGATCGATGTTCATGCTATTGATCACTGGATTGTCTGGTCCAGACTGGATTATTTACAGACCGACGCAATATAGCTGGAATATTGCTGAGTGTGGCGTAAAACAAAACACACTCACTCAATCACTCACTTACTTCATTGTCAAATAAAACAGTCAGGTAGGTCAAACTAAAAGGACTTTATTACCAGAGGCATTATGAATATACAACACACATAATTACATATTTGATAGATAATATCTATCTGTCTGTTTGTCGATCTGTTTAGCTGTCTATCTATCTATCTATCTATTTATCTGTCTGTCTGTCTATCTGTTTATCTATCTATTTATCTGTCTGTCTGTCTGTCTATCTGTTTATCTATCTATGTATCTAGGACAATCGAACGACATGATGGGAGGGGTTGGGTGGGGTGGTGTTACATTCTCACACCCTCTATATATCTATACCTTCCACCCATACACTGTATCGATACCCTCTACCTACTCACTGTATCTGTACCATGTATCTGTACCCAGTACCCTGGCCATAATCACCTTTCATGGCTTGATTTACATTACTGCACCTCATCCCAAAACTCCTGGTCGACTTCTTCTGCAAAGTAGCTGGACAACAGTATCGTCAGAGGTCATACAGTGACTCAGAGGACACTTCATTGCCCATGACCAGTGACAACATGGCATGAAGCAATAAAGCTGAAAACACGTTCTGAACAAATCCCAGATGAAAGAACGCTTGATACAAACCTTTGTAAAGACTAAACTCTCACTTCAATGAGTGACAATAGAGGACAAAAGGGTCAGATGGCTAAATAGGTCGGTCAACATGATACCCTGTAAACATCACTGTCACCACTGTGCCAAATACAATCGCCATAAACTACGTAGATCGATGCTCATGATGTCAATCAACGGAACATCTAGTCTATAGACACGATTATCTATAGACTGTCCTCACCTGGTGGCGATGATGAGTCAGCATTACAAAACTGACACAAAGATAAAGACAACTGAACGTATTTTTTAAAAATTTAATAAAATATCATGTTATTATAGAAACATTCCATGCTAGTTCCATCTTAGAATTTACCAAGAACCTTAGTTCCAGCTATGGTGAACTGTCCACTTAAAACATTAGAACTCATGGCCTTCTTCTGATGCGGCTGTTGGCCTCCAACGTAGATGTTCATCTTACCTGCAAACAAACACCAACATAAACTGAGGTACAAAAGAAAGTACACACCTGATGTTTTGGGATTATTTTAAACGTTTGTCGATTGTGATTTATCAATAAACATATTTTTTTACACTATTTGAGAGGCATTCTAGTGAGTGAGTGAGTGAGTTTGGTTTTACACCGCTTTTAGCAATGTTTTTTTATTATTTTAAATAATGTTTAATAGTGATGTTTAAGGCTCAGACATTTATGTCAGTTTATACATCAGATGATAAATGCCCTTGTCCAATAAACTAAATCACTATTCATGTATTACAAAAAATGAGAGTATTTTTTATTTTAATTTAAGAAAACATAGGACTGAAAATACTGTCGCCTTTAAACATTTGTCAATGACGACTTTCGATGCAATTGCTCATCGATTTTACATTATCGCTGTATTGACAAATATTGTTATCGACGCTCTTGCCGTTGATCACAAGATTGTCTGGTCCAGACTCGATAATTTATACACCGCCGTCATATAGCTGGAAGGCTGCTGAGGGCGACGTTAAACAACAAACAGAAGCAAACAAAACATATATCTTTCTGTGTACATGTATCTATATAGTTCCTACAGATGCACTGCATTAGTGAGTGAGAATGGTTTTATGCCGCTTTTAGCAACATTCCAGCAACATCACGGCGGGGGACACCAGAAATGAGCTTCACGCATTGTACTCATGTGGGGAATCGAACCCGGGTCTTCGGCGTGACGAGTGAACGGTTTAACCACCACGCTACCCCACCGAACCTACATACTTTATGCTGGAGTGAGTGAATACACTTTTACGCCGCTTTATTCTAGTAATATCCCGGCCGTCAGCGTGACGAGCGAAAGCTTTAACCACTAGGCTCCCCCACAGTCCCGACTTTATGCTAGCACTAACCTGACAGAACCTTCCATCCATCCTTGTCATTCCATACAGCCAGGTTCTTGTGACTGATTGTAAATTTGAAGGTTGCCTGTGATCCATGCCTAACGTGGACTCGCCCGAAGGCAACCAGTTTGTACTTCGGCATGTTCAGAGAGCTGTCCGTCCAAGACACATATGCCTGGACGATCTGAAAACAACAGAAACGAAGAATAACAGTTTGACTAAATCGACAAAGGGAGGTTTTACGCTGTATCGCATTTCTTGAACAATCTGAAACAATTTAAGGTGGTTTTATATAATATCTGCATCCAAACCCGTGAAGATCCGGGTTAGAATTGGTCTTCAGTAACCCATGCTTGTCGTAAGAGGCGACTAACGGGATCCGGTGGTCGGGTTTGCTGACTGGGTTGACACATGTCATTGTCTCCCAATTGCGTAGATCGATGCCCATGCTGTTGATCACTGGATTGTCTGGTCCAGACTCGTCTATTTACAGACCGCCGCCATATAGCTGGAACATTGCTGAGTGCGGCTTTAAACAACCAATCAACCAACCAACCAATCAACCAATCAGACTGCACCCTCGATTATCAGGAGTATTTTTTTGATAAACATCCTTGGCGACAATAACCATGTTTTGGCCTGTTTTAAAGGTGGTCTCGTTCAACAAGCATATGAATCTGTTCGTACTAATGCCTACTGGTGGTTGAGCAATGATCCCCACTGCCTACTGACCACGCGGTCCTCAGTTCAGTAGTGTCTCACAGGACCGGACAGTGGACCGACAGGTGTGCTACACCAAAAACATCCTCAAAAAGTTGAGACAGGGTGACCAATTTTAAGTCGCGGTCAAGGTTATTGCGGGGATAGCGCGTGTGTGCGTGCATGCGTGCGTGCGTGCGTGCGTGCGTGCGTGCGTGTGAATACTGCTGCTTGTAACAGTGCAGACATGTGATGGGGCTGGGGCTGGGGTTGGGGGGCTGGAGCTGGGGCTGTTTAACAAACAAACCCTTCTTAGATACGTTATACTAATTCCGAGCCTGCAAGTCGTTGTAGTAGATTCTAAGTCATAACCATTTAATGGTTAAATGTGCCAAAGCCTGTTTTAATATACTTAAGCGTTGTCGTAATCTCCTATATTCTTAAAACTCCTTTCAGAGTGTATACTTTTTATCGTATAAATTCATTATGTTTTAAGTTTGTATGCCTATGTTTTACCTTTTAAGTATTCTGTATGTATTTATTTTCATATGATATGTTTATGCATTTTTTAAATATTTTTTATATATATTTCTTTTTTAATTTTAATTTTTAATTATTATGTTTATGGTATATACATATGTATGTGTGTGGGTAAACTTTTAGCATATATACAAGTCTCTCGTAACTATTATAGAGTGGCTCATATATTCCTTACACTGCTATATTTTTCCTATTCTACGTGTACTTTTACTGTATATATGAGGGAGAGCGGAAGGTCGCGGGTTCGATCCCCGACCGCGTCATACCAAAAGACGTTAAAATATGGTACTTGTTGGTCCCTGCCTGGCGCTCGGCATTAATGGGTACAACAAGGACTGGTCGGCTCGGAGTCAGTATAATGTGTCTGAGTGGGGTATTCATGCTTCACTGCGGCATGGTATCTCAGTGGGCTAGCACTATAAAACCAGCTTCAGTCTGGGCTAGTACAAGCAGCCGCACAAACACATATACACGCATGCGCGACGTCATATGAGCGAAATATTCTCAAGCACGACGTTAAACCCAATTTCACCTCACCTCACCTCACCTCACCTCACCTCATCTCACCTCACCTCACCTCACCTCACCTCACCTCACCTCACTGTATATACGAGGTGAGACTCAAATAAACTATCTGTCTGTCTGTCTTGTATTCTCTTAACGACGTGCGCCAGGTATTTACAAGAAGACTTCAGGTAATGTTATGTACAGTCGGGGGCGGAGAGGTAACCATGTGCTTAAAGCGTTTATTATGACAGACCGCCGCCATATAGCTGGAATAGTGCTTGCCTGCGGCGTAAAACTAAACTCATTCACTTTTGTACGGCAGTTTACATAGTCCACATGTTTCCACTGACCTCTTCAGCGTCATAGTGACCGGTATTGTGGACGACGACCTGACCCTTAACGTCGCTGCCTGCGTTGACGTTGTGGTTGTACTGGAGACCCGAGTAATGCCAGGTAGTGTATGAAAGCCCGTATCCGAATGGATACAATGGGTCTCCCTTGAAGTACCAGTAGGTGCGTCCATCCATCGAGTAGTCGAGCATTGGCGGAACCTGGAAGCCCGAGACAAAATTATACGGTTTGACTATGGTCCTTCTTCCAACCGTGAAGTTTAAGTTGTCTTGCCAGTGCATATTTTATGAACATTCATAAAGGTTTTATTTTACAAAATCCTGTAAAGGTTTGGTAATGTTTTCATCATGGTTTAAATTATGCTAGCCCTCTGGAACAAAGAGGGTCTTTTTAAAGCTTATTGATATCTTTTTACGTTGACACACATTTTCATATAACCGTTTCACATGACTGTTTCACATAATACATTTTCACATGATCGTTAACATAACATTTGCAAATGAATGTTTCACATAACATATTTTTACATGAATGTTTCACATAGCATGTTTTCACATGACCGTTTCACATAACGTTTTCAAAGGAATGTTTTACATAACGTCTTTTCAACAGTGAACGTTCCACACGACATATTTTCACATGAATGTTCCACACATAAATGTTTTCACATTAATGCTTCACATAACATGTTTTCACCAATGAATGTTCCACACATAACATGTTTTCACATTAATGCTTCACATAACATGTTTTCACAAATACATGTTTCACATAACATGTTTTCACCAATGAATGTTCCACACATAACATGTTTTCACATTAATGCTTCACATAACATGTTTTCACAAATACATGTTTCACATAACATGTTTTCACCAATGAATGTTCCACACATAACATGTTTTCACATTAATGCTTCACATAACATGTTTTCACAAATACATGTTTCACATAACATGTTTTCACCAATGAATGTTCCACACATAACATGTTTTCACATTAATGCTTCACATAACATGTTTTCACAAATACATGTTTCACATAACATGCTTTCACAAATAAAATGTTTCACATAACATGTTTTCACAAATGAATGTTTCACACATAACATGTTTCACACAACATGTTTTCACATTAATGTTTCACATAACATGCTTTCACAAATAAATGTTTCACATAACATGCTTTCGCATGAATGTTGTACATGTCCCACCTGGCTATCACTGGCGGGCACGGTGTAGGGTAACTTAGCAGAGGGCACTGAGTTGGCGCCATCGTGTGTCAGAATCCTCCGGATAGCCTCCCCTGTTTCTTGATGGGGTAGGAAACAGTCAAGTATCGCGGTCACGTGAGGATTGGATGCGGCAAACGAGACTTCCAGTGGTCCACCATTAAACAAGAGTAGCACGATAGGAGGTGCTGAAGCCCGTTTACCAATAATACTCGGACCACCCTGAACTGAAACAAGAGATTAGATTCCTATTGAAACAAATGCATCATCTGAATTTTCCTGTATAAAAAGTACACTTATTCAGCAATTTCAGGGAGACAACAGGGTTTGCGCGGGCTTGAAAAGGCCTGAAATTTGGACATTTTAACCTAAAAGGCCCTGAATTCATTTTAGCTTTGAAAACGCCCTAACCGCCAGTGACTTACCCTAAAAGGCTCTTTATTTAACATGTCAAGTTACGAATTTTACCGGAAACATACATAATCAAATTTCATCGCAAAGCAAAATTTCCCAGTGAAGCTAAGAATTATTTCCCCTTGATGGTCAGTCCAACATTTGACCAACCTTGTGTGTATTCAGCTACTTGTGAGTTATATGTGTCTCTATAGTTTCTTACAATTGTTGATTGGGTCTTGAAAAGCCCATAAAAGGCCTTAATTTGATGGCCTGACAATCTGTACGAACACCAACAATATATTATTTGTATGTTGCTTAGAGCCACACTTTCCAGATAAGCAGCCAGGTAAAAGATAGTATGGACCTGAAGATCGGATTTGACCAAAACTTTACAAACTTCATTAAAACCTTAATACATACGTTACTAAACCCATAATACATGCAAGTTGAAATCAGTCGCCGAAACAATCAAACATCTTGTGGCCCAAAACAGTATTATACTATAGTAGCCATAACCTATAGTAGCCATAAAAGACACTTTTGTTTGTATACTTCAACCTAGCTTATACTTTCATTTGCTTATATCGCCAATATCCTAAAGTGAACGACTGCCTCTGTAGTAGTCATTAGACGTCCGCCCGGAGAGTTTGATTTAATTTTAGGGACAAAACAAAGACGTAAAATATGGTACTTTTGCTGTATGGCGTTCGGAAAGTAATGGGTACAACAAGGACTGGTCGGCTCGGAGTCAGTATAATGTGTACGTATTCTGCTGTCAGTGTAACATTCTAGAGGGCTAGCACTATAAAACCCTTAAGTCTGGGTTAGTACAAGAGCCGCACATACACACACGCGCATGCACGTCGTCATATGAGCGAAATATTCTCAAGCACGACGTTAAATCCAATTTCACCTCACCTCACCTCACCTCACCTCACCTGAAGTGAACATTTAGAGAGTAGCGCTCGTCCACAACGCGATAGTAGCACTAAGACTGTCGGGGCGGTGGGGTAGCCTAGTGGTTAAAGCGTTAGCTCGTCACGCTGAAGACCCGGGTTCAATTCCCCGCGTGGGTACAACGTGTGAAGCCCATTTCTGGTGTCCCCCAGAATATTGCTGGAATATTGCTAAAAGCGTCGCAAAACTCACTCACTCACAACCACTGTCAAAGGTCTATGTAAAATTGTTGCAGTTGCAATCGTCTTAGCGCTAACATCGCTTTGTTGAACGGAGTCTTGATACTAAAGGAAGTCAGGTTCTGTCGCTGGGCTGATCGAACTTCACGGTAGGTAGGTAGGTAGGTAGGTAGGTGGGTGGGTGGGTGGGTAGGTAGGTAGGTAGGTAGGTAGGAGGTAGGTGGTGGTGGTGGTGGTGGTGGTGAACTAGTTTATATTATAGTCACAGACAATACACTTGTTATTACTGAACAACTTAATCATCAGTTATCTCTGACATAGTTCGTACCATGACTGACAACGGCCTTGAGAAGGTCTAGTTGATGTCCCGGCAAACCTGTACTGTGGCGGTCGTGAGTCTCTCGCTCCAGGGTCTGACCTGAGATAATAAAGTTCACATGAACTGACGTACAAAAGAAAGTACACACTTGTTGCTTTAGGGTTGTTGGTTAAGATATGTGTTCTTTTTGGAAGTACATGCACAGTGTTTGTAACTTGCAATTCATCCCTCCCCACCCCCCACCCCACCCCACAAAAAGAAATATATAAATTAAAGTAAAACAAAAGAGGGAAACAATAAGAATAAATATATAATCTCCTAAAATAGTGTACTTTCTTTCGAACAAACCGCCTCCGTGGTGTAGTGGTAGAGCGTCCGCCCGGAGAGCGGAAGGTCGCAGGTTCGATCCCCGACCGCGTCATACCAAAAGACGTTAAAATATGGTACTTGTTGTTCCCTGCCTGGCGCTCGGAATTAATGGGTACAACAAGGACTGGTCGGCTCGGAGTCAGTATAATGTGTCTGAGTGGGGTATTCATGATTAACTGGTATGGTATCTCAGTGAGCTATCACTATAAAACCAGCTTCAGTCTGGGCTAGTACAAGCAGCCACACATACACACGCATGCACGTCGTCATATGAGGGAAATATTCCGACATAAGTCCGACTTTAAACCCCATTTCACCTCGCCTTCTTTTGTGTGTCAGTTTTCAGACTTGAATATTTCCTAGATTATTTTACAACAAACGTGGTTCTTCTCAGGACTTGTTGTCACTGCCGGTATTATATGTTACACATTGTAAACTTACCACCTCCAAGACAAAGGAAAATTGCATCGACACCATTCAGAGCGTTGACGACGCTGTGGCTGTCGAGGTGTTGGCAGTTCACGTCGTTGCAACCAGAGGCAGTGCTGAAGTGATGGGCTAACTGTTTCAGCCCATCAAGAGCACTCTCCACGTACTTGCCATCTGTCCATGCAGCATAGTCTCCTGTCAGTTCCGTTTTATTGTCAGACATGGGGCCGATGACCTAGGCAGAGGTCAAGGTCATCGTTAGTACGCTACGTTTGATAGAAACTCCATCGCAAACTCATACGGCGGCATACTGGTGTAGTAGTAGTAGTAGCAGCAGCAGCAGCAGTAGTAGCAGCAGCAGTAGTAGTAGTAGTAGTAGTACTAGTAGTAGTAGTAGTAGTAGCAGTAGTAGTAGTAGTAGTAGTAGTAGTAGTAGTAGTAGTAGCGTAGTAGTAGTAGTAGGCTACTACTACTACTAGTAGTAGTACTGACAGTAGTGGCAGCAGCAGCAGGTAGTAGTAGTAGTAGCAGTGGTAGTAGCAGCAGCAGTAGTAGTAGTAGTAGCAGTAGTAGTAGTAGTCGTAGTAGTTGTAGTAGTAGTAGCAGTAGAAGTAGTCGTAGTAGCAGTAGTAGTAGTAGCAGCAGTAGTAGTCGTAGTTGTAGTCATAGTAGTAGTAGTAGCAGTAGTAGTAGTAGGAGTAGTAGTAGCAGTAGAAGTAGTAGTCGTAGTCATAGTAGTAGCAGTAGTAGTAGTAGCAGTAGTAGTAGTCGTAGCAGCAGTATTAGTAGTAGTAGTAGTAGCAGTAGTAGTCGTAGTAGTAGTAGCAGTAGTAGTAGTAGTAGTAGTCGTAGTAGTAGTAGTCATAGTAGTAGAAGCAGTAGTAGTAGTAGTAGTAGCAGTAGTAGTAGTAGTAGTAGTAGTAGTAGTAGTAGTAGTCAGTAGTAGTAGTAGTAGTAGTAGTAGTAGTAGTGAGTAGTAGTAGTAGTAGCAGTAGTCGTAGTAGTAGTAGTAGTGGTAGTAGTAGTAGTCATAGTAGTAGTAGCAGTAGTAGTAGTCGTATTAGTAGTAGTAGTAGTCGTAGTAGTAGTAGTAGTAGCAGTAGTAGCAGCAGCAGCATTAGTAGTAGTAGTAGTAGTAGTAGTAGTAGTAGTAGTAGTAGTAGTAGCAGTAGTAGTAGTAGTAGTAGTAGTCATAGTAGTAGTAGCAGTAGTAGTAGTCGTAGTAGTAGTAGTAGTAGTAGTAGTAGTAGTAGTAGTAGTAGTAGTAGTAGCAGCAGCAGCATTAGTAGTAGTAGTAGTAGTAGTAGTAGTAGTAGTAGTAGTAGTAGTAGAAGTAGTAGATGTAGTAGAAGTAGTATACATCAAGTGTACAGAATGTAAAATCATTAGAACACCATACAGCATCATGGCATTCCAGGCAAAAGTGATATTCATTTATTAGGTATGATACAAAGCGGGCAAAGGCGATCCTCCCTTTTAAGACCTAAATGTCTACAGTACTCTATCATCAAATTGTGGTTTGAGCAACAAAATCTACTTAAGAAAACGTGAAACTGTTTTACACTAACACTATTGATATAAAACTCAAAACCTACACCTTCTTTGGGCCCACAATAGAAATCCAATTTGGAAACAAATGTAATACCAGATGAAGTAGTAGCAGTAGAAATTAACCGTGTCGCCTTAGACGCCAAAGTTCGCTGTCGCTTGGGCAAGCGTTAGAAACCCATTTCGTCCCGATTATGCTCGTAGGTCAGTCTAAGTAAACCTAGGCTCAGTATTATTCGTTACACTGCTATACTGAGTCTAACAAAACCTAGTAGAAGGTCGCGTCAGCTAACCTTTTGGACTGACCAATCAGAACACAGCTTACCAAATCGCGAAAGTTAACATTGGCACATACCGTTTGAACTTGTTTGAGTGGCATTTAGAAGTTGGTGAGATGAACAACGAGGAGATTTCTACGGATCATTTTTGCTTTATAACGGTGTTAGTAGCTACACCGAAACGTCGCTCATATTATATTAAAGAAGTTGTATATCCATAGAACTCTCCTTGTTGTTAATACCGTTTGAACCTTTACCTAAAAACTCGAACGATTCCGAATGCTATTTTCCGCACGATCGCTTCCGAGTGATACACCCATAAGCGTATATACTGCATGTCAAATATCTGTGTTTTATGCGGATTTTCGTTTGTTGATAGATCAGTGTCAGCAGAGACCATATTATAGATTATATGGTCTCTGGTGTCAGCGACCAGGGAAGGGAAAATTCAAAAACCGTTTTGTAAGTCCCGCCGAACCCTAACAAGTAGTCATTGTCTGATTGGTTAAATCCGTTCGGCCGTCTCGCGTTTGATTGGACGGTCATAGGTCGCTCAAAGGTAAGCTGACGCGACCTTCTACAAGTTTTTGTTAGACTCAGTATAGCAGTGTCACGAATAATACTGAGCCTAATTTTACTTAGACAGGCTCGTAAGTAGGCACCATCCTCGTGCCACTGGGTAAATATGAGACCTGCACAATTTTAACATGCTGTGACTCACTGGTACGGCCTTAAAAACGCAACTTTACTCAACTTGTGAACGTCAAATGAGCCTTACTCTTTGCATGTATTGTACACAACACGAGCCGACCCTGTCATCCTCTTCAGAACTAACGACAGTTTGTATTCCTACTGCCTACCATAACATGGTATTTCGACTGTTAACCCAAAAATGCTCGACTCGCTCAGCCCTGCTCCCCCTCCACTGAAGTTACGAAAGCCCAAAACCTCCCCCCTTCCCTTCCTCCCATTTTTTACTTTAACCCAGGGATCTGAGCAGATGTTCCCAAGGTCAGGTCGAAGCACATGTTGCACGGGAATAGTGCCTTTTGTGTGACCTTATCTGATTATCTGAGAGGTCATTGTCTTAGGGCTCCATGCTCGTCCTCTTACGGGAACCAGACCATGTGGTTTGGTTTCTTGGTCGTACAGAGCGACAACTGAACATCGGTCATATATATTCATTTGCTGGAGGAACGTTGTGTAAATATTTAAAACGACAGATCATGTCATCAGACACATATATACACATAGAAAAATGTATTGCAACACCTATGATTAATATCTCCCTTGAAGGTCAATTTATCCAGACATTAAGTTTGCGATGGTTAATGGTAACACATTAATACTATGAAAATATGAGACGCTGCGATCCTGTTTTCCATGGGTTTAAGTCTAATATACCATTCTGGCTATTTTGTTTTTGTACATGCTAGAGAATTCGTACTAGATATAATAGAATGGTCCTCAGTATTAACGATGATGATGATGATGACGATGATGATGACGACGACGATGATGATGACGACGATGATGATGGTGACGACGACGATGATGATAATGATGATGATGACAACGACGATGGTGGTGGTGGTGATGATGGCGTCGATGATGACGACGGCGACGACGATGGTAATGATGATGATGATGACGATAATGATGATGATCACGACGATGATGGTGGTGATGATGAAGTCGATGACGACGACGGCGAGGACGACGACGACGACGATGATGGTGATAATGATGATGATGACGACGACGATGGTGGTGGTGGTGATGATGGCGTCGATGATGACGACGGCGACGACGGCGACGACGATGATGGTGACGATGATGATGACGACGACGATGATGGTGACGACGACGACGATGATAATGATGATGACGACGACGATGGTGGTGGTGGTGATGATGATGAAGTCGATGACGACGACGGCGAGGACGACGACGACGACGACGATGATGATGATGGTGATGATGGTGATGATGACGATGTCGATGACGTGACTAAGCATGTAAGGCACACAATACTCACAGCAATTTTATTCAGTTTATTCCTGATAGGTAGATAGTTGTTTTGATTCTTCAGCAGGACAAAGCTCTTCATGGCTGCCTCGAGGGCAATAGCGATGTGGTCCTTGGTCAACACGTCATTGTTTATGGACAGCTTGCTGTACGGGTTCATGCTGGGAGGGTCGAAATCCCCCAACTTCATTCGTGTGTTGATCAAAGGCTTCATCTGGTCCCGGACAAACGTCTCGGATATTTTGCCTTGCTTGACCGCATCAGCTGCAAACGTGAATGTGCATACAGAAGATCAAGGTTATCGCTTGATAATCAACGGTTATCGCTTCATCAGCAGCGTTTATTTCTTCCTTAGCACGGTTTACGCTTAACCATCAACGGCTATCCCTTTATCATCAACGGTTATGGCTCCATCATCAACTGTTATCGCATCATTATCAGCGGTTATCGCTTCCCCACGGATGGTTATCGCATCATTATCAGCGGTTATCGCTTCTCCATCAACGGTTATCGCATCATCATCAATAGTTATAACTTCTTCAGCAATGGTCATCGCTTCATCAATAGTTATCGCTTCATCAATAATCAGCAGTTATCGCTTCATCATCAACAGTAATATCAACGTTATCATCTTCAACGGTTATCAACGGCTTAATCATCGCGGTTATAGCTTCAATCGCGGTTATCGCTTCATCATCAACGGTTATCGCTTAATCATCAACGGTTATCGCTTCATCTTCAACGGTTATCGCTTCATCAAATGCTTAATCATCAACGGTTGTCGCTTAATCATCAACGGTTATTGCTTCATCTTCAACGGTTATCAATCTCAACGGTTATCGCTTAATCATCAACGGTTATCGCTTGATCATCAACAGTTATCGCTTTATCATCAGCGGTTATTCCTTCCACATCAGCATTTTCCCTGTGTCAGCTTCACTGCTAGGAACATGCATTATATAGACTGACGTACAAAAGAAAGTGTACTCCTAGTGGTTAGGGATAGTTTTTCCAATGATAACGTAAATACGTGTTTTGATTGGAATTTACAAGTTATCAACACTGGTTACATGTTGCCAATACGACACAGATTCTTTTACAGTGTTAAGAGTGGAACATCATGAAAATAATCTCAAAACACTAGTTGTGTACTTTCTTTTATACGTCAGTTCATATTCATCAGGTTCACCGGAAGACAATCAATACTGAATGGAAGCTTTACGGTGCCCCTAACACGTATTTAATATGCAAAATTAGGAGATATTGTTTAAAGGTGAAATTACAGGAACATTTACCTTTGTGGGGCAATGTGTGTGATTTATTATGAATGAATATTTCTGAAGAAGTCAAACGCCTGAACACAACATTGTGAAAGCCATGCAGCACGTATGAATCAGAAGATATATATATCTCTTTATGATTCACCCTATCCCCTATTGGGCCATGTGGTAGCATGGCTGTTAAAGCACTCGTCACGCTTAAGACCCGGGTACAATGTGTGAAGCCCATTTCTGGTGTTCCCCACCGTGATATTGCTGGAATATTCGTAAAAGCGGCGTAAAACTATAACTCACTCACTCACCTTGTCCCCTACGATTCTGACATTGTATACGAGATTCAATACCATCCATTATTATTATTTTTTAATCAACCAATATCATTTAAACCAAATGCAAAGCACTTAGGCTGTCCGTTGTTTTCTTCGTGTTTCCCAGCTCACTTCTTTCTGACGTGGGGGCGGTGGGGTAGCCTAGTGGTTAAAGCGTTGGCTCGTCACGCCGAAGACCCGAGTTCGAATCCCCGCATGGGTACAATATGTGAAGCCCATTTCTGGTGTCCCCGCCGTGATATTGTTGGAATATTGCTAAAAGCGGCGTAAAACCAAACTCAGTCAGTCAGTCTTTCTGACGTGAAAAAAAGATGTGTGAAGCCTTTCCTGGTGTGCCCCGCCGTGATATTGCTGGAATAGTACAAAAGGCGGCGTCATATAACACTCACACTCTCTTACTCACTCACCTAACGTCAGATACACCCTATCAGAGTCTCTCTCCACTTCAATGTTACAACCAGCCTTCAGACAGGCAACGGCGGCCTCCATCTTGGTGTGGAAGTAATGACGCTTTGTGATCATGCTCTTGATCTCGCCCGAGTCAGCTATAATGTAACCGTCAAAGTTCCATTCTCCTCGGAGGATGTCTGTCAGGATCTCCTTGTTGGCACACGCCGGGACGCCGTTGACGCTGTGATGGATATACTAATGGTCAGGTGCAACCAACAAAAATAAACATAATTAAAACACAATTATCATTTATTCATAACATATAATATACAATTCTGATTATGAAAAACAAAACAAATAAAATTAAAAGCGTACAATCGCAAATCAAAACTGCAATATTTTGTACTTGGGTTAACTTCCCAAGAAACGAAGCAGCCGGGATACCGAACCCAGTCAGAGCGGGTGGGCGTGCACTTAAGTGTAACGAAGTCTTTCATTGGCTGGTTCATTTGCCGATACGTTCGGGGCTCTTTGTGTTTGTATAGAGATGTTGGGTTTTGTAAATACATGCTTATTTTTTATGTATAACATTTTGCAATCAACAGACATCATAACATGTTATGTGTACAAGTATCACACCTGCCTGTCTGTGTTAATTATTTCATAATGTGACATAGACGGAACTCAGGTGCACGAGCCATAAATCAATGCGTTTTGTTTATGGTGTACAGCCTGATAGGTGTTAAGTTCAAATTACGTGTGGTTAGTGATCGAAGTTGTGTATTGCATATTGTCATTAGCAGACAGGCAGGCAGACACATAAAACAATAAAACAGACATTCAGTTTTGTCTGTGACAGAGGCATTTCTATATCACAGTTAGACATTCTGACAATGCTAAATAATGGCGTTGCTTTTAAGTATCGAACTGAGAAAGTGACTCGGTAAGAAGAACGTGTGGTGAAATAGTCAAATGACGTTATATAAACAGTTAAATCGGTAATCTACTGTCATAACATATAAAAAGCTCGCGCCTGTGAAATATCAACGAAACATTAGAAAAATAGCTCACATTAAAGCCTACTCCGAGTACTCACCGCCAGCGAAGGTTTTCCGTCTTAAAATGTCAAAAGCCTCACTGGTTGACACATATAGCTAAGTAGATCTAGATCCTTAACAAGGTGCTTTTATGTAACGAGTAGATTATTTACTACTTGTTGTGTACACAACCAGGATTAAACTACTCATACTCACGACCTTATAATTCGGGCATCCCGCTTAAGCTGCGCGAACCATTTTAACCGCGCATGCGCTATGAGCGCAGCGCGGCACAGCTCTTGAAACCACTTACAGCCGGGGTCAATTTAGTGAATCATTTGAACTCCGATTTCGCGGGGTTGAATTTGCATTTTTGGTAATTTGCTACTGTAAGTCCACACAGAAATGTATCAGAATCTGCACAGTTGTGTTTTGCATGTGGCCTTTAATATTGAAATAACCTCAGGACATATTTCATAGGTAAGCTGGATTGCAAATGAGTATCCTTTTATTTTGGGTTTATCGAATCTTTCTTCACATCTAAAAGATGCAGTCACCAGATCACGAAAAGATGATCCTGCCTTGCTAAGGGGTGCAATTCTTAATGCACATCTTAATGAAGCGGCTTATGCTTGCAACAAGACAAAATGTGTCTCGTGTTCTGAAAGGGTTATCATTAATTATTCGTCTAACACAATGATATGACGTCACAATGTAGCCAAAACATACTCACAGGTTATAGGAACAGATCAGGCTGGACGCTCCTGCCTCTACACATCTTCTGAACGGCGGGAGGAAATACGATCTGAAGTCGCGTGTGCTCACCTGGTTCAAGACAAATGGTTCAGGTGAGATCGGTCACTTCGAAGACTAATGCACTTACGAGGGCTAAGTTTCGCAATCACATAAAACTAATTATACTCATCTATTTGTCAACATGATATTCCTTCATACTGACACACGTTTGGATACACGTTTTGGTTAGAACTGATCTTCAGCAACCCATGCTTGTCGTAAGAGGCGACTAACGGGATCGGGTGGTCAGGCTCGTTGATTTGGTTGTCAAATGTTATCGTATCGTATGTTATCGTATCGCTCATGGTGTTAATCACTGGGTTGTATGGTCCAGCCTCGTATATTTACAGACACCCGCCATATAGCTGTAATATTGCCAAGTGCGGCGTTAAACAACAAACAAACAAACAAAAGTTGTAGAGTTTCGTAGAGGTCTTGGTTGTCTAAAAAGCTATGATATGACGTCACCGTCGAAATGGGTACAAGCAAGAGCGTTCGCATGTTTAGGAACAGGTGACGCCATTAGGTGGAAGGTGATGTATGCTGAAGAAGTCCAAAGCTGCACTCTTTGATTGCAAATGTATCAGGAACTGATTTTGCACTGGTACAGTGTCCTGATGGAATTACACACGTGTTCTCAGCTTTCCATGTCTCTTAATCTTACTGTCATCCCGAACTGAAAAAGATGTTCAGTATATGTTCGGTTTATTGTCTGGCCCTTTGGAAGGTTGTCTGACATGATGGCACCCTCTGCAGGCCAGAATATGGAAACCTTCCTTCCCTCTTTCATTCATTCATCCCTTCCTTCATTCATTCATCCCTTCCTTCCTTCCTTCCTTCATTCATTCACCCCTTCCTACATTCATTCATTCATCCCTTCTTTCATTCATTCATTCCTTCCTTCCTTCATTCATCCCTTCCTTCCTTCCTTCCTTCATTCATTTCATTCCTTCTTCCTTCCTTCCATTCATCTCTTCCTTCCTTCCTTCATTCATTCTTCCTTCCTTCATTCTTCCTTCCTTCCTTCCTTCATTCATCCCTTCCTTCCTTCCTTCCTTCATCCATTCCTTCATTCATTCATTCATCCATTCCTTCATTCATCCCTTTCTTTCTTCCTTCCTTCATTTATTCAGACATTCATTCGTATTTATCATCAACTTCCAGTCAAAAGAAGGTATTCACCCGTGTAAAAACAAATAACAAATGTGTATACAATGGTAATATATGTGATACGGCATGATAGTTGGATATATTTTTAACCTTACGCGAGTAGCGTTTCGGCGATTGGTGTGTAACGTTTTGATAACGTTTATAGGAATTAGGTCACATATAACTATTTGGTGTATACTTTCTCTTGTCCAAGAATGCGACCACACCCACATAAGAACCCAAGAATTTGGTTATCTATGTAAATATTTTATCCGATGTGTTCAGATTCCAGCCGTGGAACAGCATGGCATGTACTCACAGTCGGTCACAACAATCCAGATATTTCCAGGCCACAATAAATTGATTAGAAAATGTGCATCCTTGTCCCACTTTCAAACAGCTCATTCTTTTATCGCAAGGTTCGTGGAAATCTCCACGTGTGTTCCCTTCCTTCTGTCTGGGAATACAATCCATGCACAGTCATGCCTAACACACATCAATCAACAATGGTTGATAGATGCACATTCCAGCGAGAATCTAGTGATTGGGGAAAATATATGCTGCCGAAATAGAACAGATACTGGCACAAGTATTTGGATAAATTCAATTAAATTATATGAAAATAAGACAGGAAAAATCAACAACAAAATTAAAAAACCCACAGAAATAAAATAATAAATAAAATAATATAACAAAATTAAACGAAATTAAATATAATAAAAATAAGACAGACAAAAATCAACCAAGTTTGAAGGAAAAATAAACAAAATAATCAACCAAAATTTTAAAAAACACACAAAAAAAATATTTAAAAATATAAAATAATATAATATAACTAAATGAAACAAAATCAAATAAAATAAAAGTAAGACAGAAAAAAATTGCTGAAAATCTAATGATTATTTTCTCGTGGTCTGGAATTTAGTTGCCAAGAGATTCTTTCAAGATAGGGGACAACACAGACAAGGAGATAGGACAACAGTCATAGACAAGGCAATTCTCACCGTGGGGTCATATTCGTGCCTGTTCACTGGCCAGTCTTCAGGGCCTCCCGACAAAATGTAGTGCTTGCACCCAGCACTGGTCCTCAGGTAGCGGTGGTCCTTTCCGTGGAGACCTTTCACGTGGATGTAGCCGAGCTCCCCGACGTGGAAGGGGTCCTCCCCGAAAGTCTCCTGAGATGATAATATGAGTGAGTGAGTGAGTGAGTGAGTGAGGATGATAATATTGATGATTGGCTTGTGGGTGGGTGAGTGAGTGAGTGAACTTATAATTCTTAAAATATGATTTGTGCTCCAGTATAAAGAATGAGTATGGTTTTACGGCGCTTTTTTGCTAAATTCCAACAATACCACGACGGGGGACACCAGAAATGGGCTTTATACCTTGTACACGTGTGGGGAATCAAACCCGGGTATTCAGCGTGACGAGTGGACGCTTTAACCCTGAGGCTATCCCACCGGAATGGAATGATGGCACCAAGGTCAAACATGAGACTACCGAGTCCTTAGTTTACAGTTGAGAGAGTGACACAGGGGTATAAGCATGAGTTCTGTATTAATTCGGTCCTCGCTCCTTATCAAACTAAACTGACGTAAGGTGTCCTGGTGTGGCGTTTCTTTTTTTGTTCAGTATACACAATCCATGACTTTTACCCAAAACAAATCGGTACTGTTTATAATTTACATTCAGTCTAAGATCGGCAACAGATGACGTCAACACAATGCGTGTGTAATTGTGTGTCTTGAATGATGACCTTGTCTGTTATCTGGGTCAATACCAAGGTCGTGAAGTTTTAGCATCACGACTGTTTATTTGGTTGTTTAACAGCACTCAGCAATATTTCATGTAAACTGATTTTCATCCGGGGTGATTTGGCAACACGTACACAATGTTCATGTGCACTTTTAAAACTAAAAAGTTTCCTTGGAAAACAATCCCAAAGCAGCAGGTGTATACTTTCTTTTGTACGTCAGTATATACGACGGCGCTGTGCGTGTAAATGATCCAGGTGTCCAGACAAGCGACAGAGATTTTCATAGCAACTTCCATCGACGTCGGATACTATGATACCAGTTTATCCATACTGACCTACCGGTTAAGTTATGGGCCCTTTTCTACAAACATATTCTGCTGCGGACCCCGTCTGACCCAGCTGTCCAGCTAAGACGAGGTCCACCCAATACCTTCCAAAAGCTTCACAAACCTACTTTTAACTCCAAAAATCAAAACCCGTGAAGGTCCGGGTTAGAATTGATCTTCAACAACCCATGCTTGTCGTAAGAGGCGACTAACGGGATCGGGTGGTCAGGCTCGCTGACTTGGCTGACACATGTCATCGTGTCCCAATTGCGTAGATCGATGCTTATGCTGTTGATCACTGGATTGTCTGGTCCATACTCGATTATTTACAGACCGCCGCCATATAGCTGGAATATTGCTGATTGTGGCGTAAAACTAAACTCACTCACTCTTAACCATCAGGGGGACGGGGTAGTGGGCCAGCCTAGTGGTTAAAGCGTTCGCACTTCACGCCGAAGGCCCCGAAACGATTCCCCACATGGATACCATGCACGAAGCCCATTTCTTTTTCTTTCTTTTTTTTTTCCTTTTTTTTATTTCTGGTGTCATGGGTGGTGGGGTAGCCTAGCGGTTAAAGCGTTCGCTCGTCACACCAAAGACCCAGGTTCGATTCTCCGCTAAAAGCGGCGTGAAACCATTCTCACACACTCACTCTTAACCATCAGGGGTCGCTAGAGATATCCACATGAATGAAAGTGTGTACCTGTCCCCTGCCCCACCGGGGGTCTCTGAAGACGTCGACGTTGGGGCTGAAGCAGCTGATGCCTCTGTGGATGTTGATACGTTCATGGTGCGCCACGAAGTAGTTGTGATAGGCCCGCACTTCAATACTCGTGGCCTCCGCGATCCGGTACACTAGGTCCGCACTGAAGACAAAGTCACGTGATCTCACGAACACTATCATGTGATGTAATTTATCATTTAAAAAGTTCGAGTAACATGTGGATAAAATAGTCGAACACATTTTTTGTTTTGTTTTGTCGTGTAAGCCACACTCTGTCTGTATGACAGCGGCCTGTACACTCGATCGCCGTTGTGTCGAAATTGAAAAGACCTACGGAAATACTTCGAGTTATCTGAGGTACGACATAACCGCAAAATGATGATAAATGCGGAATACGTGGGGACCAAGTTTCTACTTTAAAAATAAATTTCCACCCACCAAACTTCAAACACAACGGTGTTTGACTGGATGGTCGGGTAGGTGAGTGAGTTGGGTTTTACGCCGCTTTTATCAGTATCACAGTACTATCACGGCGGGGAACGCAAGAAAGTGAGTCCCATGTAGAGAATCGCACCGGGGCCTTTGGCGGCCTTGGGTTTCGTTTGTTCGCTTGTTTTGGTGGTTTTTAAAAAAATATTTATGTTGTTTGTTTGGGTTTTTTCTTGGGTTTACTGTTTTGTTTGTTTGCTGTTGTTGTTTTCTTTGAGGGGGGGAGGGGGGGGGGTTATTTTGCTGTCCCCGCCTTGATTTCACCGGAACAGTATGTAAAACAGCATACAATTACTTGTACTGTTGAGGAAAACATATAGAAGCTAACTATTGATTGGTAGCATGAGAAACTTGGTGTAGACAATTCCATGAATACAGCCCAATGAGGTTAAACAACATACGATTCCTTTCATATCACTTAAGTCAACCCGAAGTGGCATGTGTTTCAAGTTAACAAAGAGACTCACTCAAAGGAGGCTCCCAGTCCTATAAACTGAGGAAAGCCGGTAGCGTTCCTCGCGACATCCCCACGGCCGCAGTTGGTCCACCAGGAGTAGTTATCGATTCCCAGGTGTTTGATTGGTGGAGACTCACCTGACGTGTACAGTATCAACATCAGCAACAACACAAAAGACATCATCAACGGACAGTGGGCGTGTTCTTCTTAAACCTTGTGAATCCCAAGTTCCCTACTCCACATGCCCGGGTCGGACTATTGCTGGAATATTGCTGGAATATTGCATCAAGTGGCGTAAAACTCACTCATTCACTAACACCGCTGATTGTCATAAAGTTTTTAAGTCACGCATTGCACCCATGTGGGGAGTTGAGCCCAGGTCTTCGGTGTGACGAGTGAGTGAAAGACTGAATTGGGTCTTACGCCGCCTTTAGTAATATTCCAGCAATATCACGGCGGGGGGCACCAAAAATAGGCATCACACATTGTACATGTGTGGGGAATCGAACCCCGGGCCTTCGGCGTGAACCACAAGACTACCCCACCGCCCCCATAAATTCTTTGAAGATACATGTACATAAATGATGGTTGAGTATTGTGTAACGCCGCCGTTAATGATAGGTTAGTATTATCGCGATATACACGTATATTAGCACACCCAACGTCACATTTGTTGTCCAAGGTGACACTGTACAACCTGGAGAAACGTGAGGGTATGGTGCAGGCAAATCGTTATCAGAGCAGATCTCGGATTCGAACCCACAATCACAGGATCACTCAACCATGTCAGAACCTGTCTAATAGAAGAATAATGAAATAATTAGGATGTCTATGGTGTTTTGGAACCACGTTCAAAATGTTCGTGACTTTTTTTTCTTTTTTTTGCAAATGTTCCGTTGTATTCCTAAAAACAATCCAAAAGCTCAAGGTGTGTACTTTCTTTTGTACGTCAGCATGATTAAGACTTCAGCGGACTCACCGTGACCACTGGCCAATTGGACTTGAATCTCCTCCAAGGTCATACGACCGACGAGGTCATCCACCCGAGCGCTCCAGCCAAGATGGGTATTCTGGTACGGCAGAACGCCATGGACAACGTGAGCTGCTGCCACAGACACGACGATCACGAGTACGGCCGACATCATACGAATCACTGACAACAATTCTTGATCTTCGCAGATGACATAGCTAGGGGATCGGCCAAAGTATGCGTAGAATTTTGGTGTCAGCAGTTCTACATACCATGTACTTAGATAAAGGAGTGGCCAGGACCAATGGGCAGCTCCAGACAGGTTTGATTCAAGTCATACAACCTAATCTTCTAAACCTTAACTTCTAACACAGTATGTTTATCGAACTACCAGATCATGAATTACAGTGACTGACTTTACTTTAAGGCCGCGGGGAACGCCAGAAATGGGTTTCACACATTGGACCCATGTGGGGAATCGAACCCGGGTCTTCGGCGTGACGAGCTGACGCTTTACAACTAGGCTACCCCACCGCCCCTACGTTACTAGGGTTGCATTTGCACGAGATATTCAACATGAAATTAATTAGCATAGAGCATTATAAAAAAACAGTACAGTCATTGGCTTCATACAGGTATCGGAGCTTATAATGTTCACATTTTCCCTGTTCGGTCGATTTTTTCAGTTAAAAATACATACTGATACATACGTTACCAAGATATACGAAACAATGGCTTTAGAGCTTTCCTGACAACTTTTCTTGCTTCAAAATTTAAAAGACGCCATGGCTGTTTAGATTGTTCTTACAGGGAGACGTAGCATGTTTCCGCCATGTTCTTGAATAGACTCGAATCATTTGATACCCTTTAAAAAGGAGAGCTTGTCAGCATTTCACCAGAAACTCCGAGGTAAGTATTTGATATGATGGTTATTACATCATGCCCGAGTTAGTAAATGCCAAAAACATTGACTCCGCTGTGAAGGGTTCATGATTTTCGCCTAGGTCTCTTTACAAGATGTGATACCTACCTTACAAGCAGTAACGAAGGTATCGCCAGTTTCAGTGTCTATTTTAAGGTGTATGTAGTGCATTACGCTGCTGTTATTGAATTATTCTAGTGGAACAAACACAATACATATACATGTAACAATTGTGTTATCTACACTATTGCTAACTGTATATCTAGCTAAACATTCAAATGCATTCAGCATGATCAATGGTAAACTTTCAAATGATAATGATGTTACATAGTTGAAGCTTCTATAAATTCAGAAGTTGATAATTTGACAAATTTAAGACATTTTTTGTGACAAACATTGATTACACATCAGGCTCGTTTCCTGTTGACTGGGTCACGTCCTATTGCGCAACATAGTACAATAACCAGTCCAGAATGTTTAGACCAATTCATTTAACTGGATACATAAATATTAATCAGTATTATTTGATACATCTAAGCACTTGTATACTGCAACACTACGCTCCTTCTAATCCTTGCAAACACGTTATGCAGCGTGCTCTGTCGTACAGCGAGCTCTGACAAACGGAAACCTGGAAATCGTGGAAATCTCAAAACGAAGCTCTCCCGCTAGAAAAGGTTGGCGGTCTGGTACGGACTTGATATTATATCAATCATATTGTGCGTTACAGAACTACACTGAATAAGCGCAAAAAACACATAACTGGTGTAACAAGTGAGCCAGATGCATTGTGAATCATTTTACGACCTCATCAAACAGGCGCAGTCTGTGACGTCTTAGTTCAGGTCATTCTTCCTACACCTCGCCATAAAATATAGAAATACGATGTTATTAAAATTAAAATTAAAATTAACTTGTAAATACCATTTTCTTATGAAACAAGGAATTGGAATTCAGTGTAACCATAATTGTTTGTGATGTCTATTTTCACTTTCACGCGAGAAAATTCGGATCGGCTGAAAAGTAGGTCATTGTCTGAATAGGTTAATGAGACTCGTGTTTCGGTTTGAGTAACGTAAGTATCTGTTACGTTGATACATACGTTATATGCCTTTTTCTCTTTGCAGGATGGGTAAAACAAGAGCAGTATTTCAAAGGGCTTATAGAGAGCGACAAAAGGCGAAAGGTGCTGAGTTTCTACAGACAGAGAGATTGAGAGTACAGTCATATTAGGTCCCTGCAGAGCACTTATCATCGAAAAAACTGAATGAAAGAAATCAAAAGAATAAACTTCGCAAGCGATTCTCTAGACTGAAAAGAAGACAAACAAAATGATGAACAGAATAGAATTGAAGAAGAAGAGACAAGCGGTTATGGGAGAATGTTATCTCCAGCAAGTGCTGAGGAAGCGGACAATAGACATTCAGATGACAGTCCAAAGGTACTTGTCAAACTTTCGTCCACTTCTTCTAGCAAAGGTATAGGTGTGAGGAGAAGGAATGGTCGATATCTCTCCAGAGCTAACAGAATAATCGTGTCCATCAAGACAGAACTATATATCGACCCTGAAGAAAACATTGGCAACAAACAGCCGACAGCTGCGGCGTTTGAAACAGATGAAACCTCAAACAACAGGGGACACACCATCAAAGCAAACAGAGTCTGATATAAGAGGCCTGAACATCACTCCAAAGAGCAAACAAACAGTCCGCAAAAAACAGTTTATTGCATATGTAGTCATGGCAGAGATTGGAGCCTCCAAAGCTGCAACCAAAACAAAGCAAAGACATATTTTGCACTATGTCATAGCTGGTCGCATTGTAAGAAAATATAGATGTGCTCATGGTGTCAGCAGAGCAACTGGCTTTAGCCGTAATGTTATTGCAAAATGCAACATGAAGCACTACAGTTATTGTCGTGAGACACGCAATTGTGTCTCAAGGCGTGTTGAAGAAAAGGTCATTGAGTTCTCACGGAGATGCAACCTGGGAAGTCAGATGCCAGGACAGATGCATCAAAGGGCAAGAACAAAGTCCAGTGCTTAGTTTTCACAGACTATTTAAGGATTCTGCATCTGAAATTCTTGGCGGAAAACACAGATATCAAACTCTCGTTTGCTACCTTTTGCAGACTTCTTCCTAAAAACATCTTGTTGGCTGCATTTATTCCCTGTAATGCTTGCCAGTGCTTACGTCATCAAAACATGGCATTGAAGGTTCAGGCTTTAAGGAAAGCTGGTATCAAGTTGAGTGGGAACCCAGAGGCACTGCTTCAACGTACAGATGTTGATTAAGTCCTGCAAGCACTACCTGATGTTGTAGGATGTAGAAACGTGTCCAAATGGAAAATGGTACACAAAAAACTTCGCTCCTTGAAGGATAATCTACCATAGCATGAGTTCATGATTTTGCCGAGAGCTTTTCTTGCCGTTCTTTGGATGCAGTTCAAAATGCCTGTAATGTGCCAATGTGTGACTGGAAGGATTTCTGTAACAGTTGGCAGGAACATCACTCAGGAAGTTGCAGTGGAGTGAAGCACATCTGCTCTCGTCAATGATGTCGCCAATGCTCTTGCACTTGAAGGAGTTCCTGGTTTCCAGCCTACCCCTCAACATGAAGGCACTTCTACTGGTGCATGCAGCTCAGATGCTCTGAATGATCACACACGTGTGAATGATATTCAATCATGATGGTGATTGGTACATTGGTGTGGTTGAAAACATTGACCATGAAGAAGGGATTATGAGGTCAAGTTTATGCAACATTCCAAAGGGTTAGAGTGGCGGTGGGGTAGCCTAGTGGTTAAAGCGTTGGCTCGTCACACCGAAGACTGTAAGGTTCGAATCCCCACATGGGCACAATATGTGAAGCCCATTTCTTTTGTCCCCGCCGTGATGTTGCTGGAATATTGCTGCCACTTGAAAAGCGGCGTAAAACCTAAACTCAGTCAGTCAGTCAAGTGGCCTAGTAAAGAAGACAAAATCTGGCTTAGCAAAAGATATCATCTGCAAGGTACAGCCATTACTTCCAACTGGAAATGATGACACGGAGCGCATGTAGAACACTCTACAACATATGTACAGTCCGTTTGACTTCATTTGAGACCGATGAATTGCTCACTAACACAAAATCTAAGAATCAACAATATCAAACTTTGCACAGTCACATGAAATCGACAGACCAACTCTAATTATTTGTCTCATAATTTTGGACACCCGAATAAAAAGTTGTTTAACAAACGATTATTATTTGTTGTCACTTTTCGCTGTTTTTACGAGGGAGGACCACTGGCTGGTAGAGTGTGCCAGGTGTGCGAAGTTGTACGTGTGGAATTGAAATTTCACTGCACACGCTTGTTGATTACCTGGCTGTTCTACCAGCAAGTGGTCCCCTTCGTAACAAAAAGCGAAAGTGACAAACAAAATAATAATCGTGTAGCAGGGCGGATCATCCACAGATGACATCCTTACCTTGTCAGCTTGCTGACAGGGTTAACATCTTTGGTCATGTGAAAAAGGAGTCCGACTTCGGATTAGAACGTCCGTGGTTCGAATCCCAGCACGGGACTCGGAAATTTTATGGTCGCTACATAGTCATTGATAAAAGTATGATAAAGTGACTGATAAGGGTAGTGCCACCACTGTATTTAAGTCAGAGTGTCTTCTTAAATGCCATTTTAAAGTCCATTTTACTGTTTAAAATTGATATCTATGTTGCTTAAAATTATACTGATACTTTTGGTACAGTCTGTCAAGACGACAATGCCCAAACTGTATTGACAATCGACTTGGGTTGGTTTTCTGATAAATTACTTGAAGTTGTGATTGTGTGTCTGGCAATAAAACATTACTATGCCGATATGTCTTTAATTTCAGTCAGAGACAACACTTTTCTGTTGTGTGAATTGAATGAAATGTCAGGGGAAAGTATATTAAGTCGCTTTTAGTCGATTGTTTAAGACAATATAACCAATACTTCCCTGAGTACTTATAAACAGCTTCAACGCCAGCCGGGTTTAAGCACATAGCAAACAATAATACATTTGATGAAGACGCTATTGAAAACCTGTAACGTAGGTATCTGAGAGATTGTTTCACCAAGATGGGTCCTTTATTCACAACATCACAGCAACTTCAACATAAAACTGGTGTGGTGCAAACTTTGGGAAATCATACTTCATAATATTAGAAAACTAAACCAGGTCAAGTCAACTGAAAAGAAAATTTTGCACTTTTTTTAAGAATGCGTTTGCACCTTATAAGCGAGAACGGGTGTTTAGCTATAAGAACGATAACGCTACAGCGGCGTAAAACATCACTCACTTACTAACTCACTAACTATTTTCAGTTCCATTAAGAGGGCCCCTAAAACAGGGAGCGGTGTCGTTTCTATTGTAGGACGAACCGGGGCTGCATGTGCGTTTTGTAGACAGTAAATGGGCAGCAGTATGGTAGCAGGTAGCTTGGGCAACGTCGTTTAGTATTAACTGACAGTATTGTCGTACCTGGCAATTTGGCTTCAGTAAACCCTACCGCACTTACCTACTAATTATGGTCGTCCCATATTGTCAAGGGAGATGATAGCTCTGGCGTGAGTGAGGGGTCGGACGACCGTGACTACTCACTGACTGACTGAGTTTATTTTTACGCCGCTTTTAGCAATATTCCAGCAATATCACGGCAGGGGACACCAGAAATGGGCTTCACACATTGTGCCCACGTGGGGAATCGAACCCGGGTCTTCGGCGTGACTAGCGAACGCTTTAACCACTAGGCTACCCCACTGCCCGACTACTAACTAACCACATAACATTCAGGTACTGGCACACACACATTCAAAGATAAACGCAACACCAAGTTTATACTCACATAGTTTTTACTCTGTCTCCGCCTCCGTGGTGTAGTGGTTAGAGAGTCCGCGCGGAGAGCGGAAGATCGCGGGTTCGATCCCCGACCGCGTCATACCAAAAGACGTTAAAATATGGTACTTGTTGGTCCCTGCCTGGCGCTCGGCATTAATGGGTCCAACAAGGACTGGTCGGCTCGGAGTCAGTATAATGTGCCTGAGTGGGGTATTCCTGCTTCACTGCGGCATAGTATCTCAGTGGGCTAGCACTATAAAACCAGCTTCAGTTTGGGCTAGTACAAGCAGCCGCACATACACACACACACGCATGCACGTCGTCATATGAGCGAAATATTCTCTAGCACGACGTTAAAACCAATTTCACCTCACCTCACCTCACCTCAATCCATCTCTCTAACTACAACTTCACCAACAGGCAGGGTAGGCTCGTACCACATAGGCAACTGAGTGGCGTGGACTGGCTTCCGTCACTTAAAAGCGCGCACCCCTCGCTCAGTGCCAAACCTGTCTTTTTATATGGTTCGATCCTGGCCTGATCTTGATCACATGTTTCAACTCATCGTTTTATTTCGTTAATCCTGTATCCGACCTGACCCTCATGAATATTGTGTCTCATGAATATTGAGCAGCACCGTTCGGTCACTCACCCCTTTTAATTGATTTGTTATTGTACGATTAATCTGTTCTGTCTTTCATAACGGATGTGTTCATAGCCTACGGCTAAACGCCATTCTCTCGACTCCCTGTCTGCCTGCCGTGCCTAACCGTTATGACTCATGAGCAAAACTGTAACTCTAAATAGGGAATCTGATGCAATTCTCTCATGGTTTTGGGGATGCATTTTTACCCTATAACAGTATCATATTGCTGTTGTTGGTGGTGTAGTTTTGTGGTTTTGTACATCGTTCGTTCGACACGCCGGAGACCCGGGTTCGAGTCCCCAAACGAAGCCAATGTTTTTCATGGCCGTGGTGTGGCTGTTTATAGTGTTTCAAAAACGGCGTAAAACCATACTCACTCATTCTAGATTCATGTCCTGTTTGTGGCAGAGAAGCATTAGGATTTGTCAGTTATGAAATGCAGACACCAATGACTGGAGCTGGTTTTGTTGTTGCTGATGTTTGATAAGGGGAATAGATGTCGATTGGAAAGTAAACATCATCCTTGTTGTCACATATACAAATTTTAACTGTTTTATTTCGTCCAGTCTGAATCCTTATGCATTTATCTAAATATGACATACGAATTAAGCGGTCTCACTGGCCACGTTTAAAAATTATTTCTAGTCCGGGTGGAAATGGTGGATGGGAATTGGCTTTTGAACGAAACATGGCCAGAAATCCCTTGTTTTGATTATGCCAATCCGAGAAGACAGAAACATGGGGGACCAGAACAGGCGCCAGGGGGTGGGGGTGGGGGTGGGGTGGGGGTGGGGTGGGGTTGGGGTGGTGTGTTGTGGGGTGGTGGTGGTCTTTTTTTTGTCTTTATGTCATAATCCACAAATTTCACACTGATGTTGTCAGTGAGCAAGTCTAGCATTTCCCATATTGTTTTCTCAGTAAATGTCAAGAAGACATTATATGTTTTCCTTTTCTTTTCCGTTCAACTGTTTTAACTGGATCCCGCTAATATATATACCCCTCTTTCCTCATTTTAGAGAATTATGACGTCTTCAAGGGGTTGTGGGTGTAATGATTTGAAGGACCGCTGTCAAATCAAGGTCCAGGTTCGATTCTTCACAAAGGTAAATAGTGTGGAGCCCATCCAGGGCCGTGATAGTGCTGGAATGGTCTATAAACGGTGTGAAACCACTCACTCGCCTAGAAGGCCAAAATTAAACGAGCGAAAGCGAGTTTAATACTAAATCTTTCACGAGTTAATAAAAATGGTATTTCACGGAAGCGAGTTTAGTATTCTGTTTATTACCCTCCAACATAAATTGATAGAAACTGCCTACAGTGTGATGACTCAGCTAACACATTGGACAGAGGGATTAGCATTGTGACGTCATAACTGCAAACCATTATGAGGTCACGTCTAGCGGTATTACAGATAAGATAAGATAAACTTTATTGTCCCGCAAGGGATATTTGTTTTGCATTCAAAGAGCCAATACAAGCATATAACAACAAATAATGTAAAGTATAGATAAAGAATGCCAAGCTAATCAGAATATAATGTTGAATTATAACATAATCAAAGTTTATGATATAATCATCACTCGTGCCTCATCATAGATTTCACTATTACAATTTTGAAGGAAGATTTAGAAGTTTTATGCTGTATGGGACAAATGATTTTGAAGTTCTATTAGTGTTGTAATACATCTTTTGAAACGGCAACCAGAAGGCAGAAGTTCATAACATTCATTTAAAAAGTGTGATGGATCCAATTGAATGGCCAGAGCTTTCTTCTTAACTTTTGACTCATTCTGAAAAGGTAGAAGTTCGAAATTGAAGCCGCAAATTTTGCTTGATACGTTTACAATTTTGTCAAGTGTAATATTGCCGTAAAAATATTAAACTGCAGTATCTGAGACTTCTACGGGCTATACATTCAGATATACCCCGCCGTGACATTGTTGGATTATAGTTAAAAGCGGCGTAAAACCCACATTCTCTCACTCCGACCGTCATGCAGTCATATCAGCTCATTCCCAAACTGAAAACTGGTACACAGTCTGTACACCGTTGCGAGAATATGCGCTGCGCAAGACACAAAAGAATACAGTTAATTTTGCCAGTGCGCATTAATATGTCAAATGCTTATCTCACAATAATTAACATATGCCATCAGGACAATGCTAGAACACTAATATTTTTTTTGTAATATTATCTTCAGAAATCTACTGTATTTCAAGTTTAATCCTGTTCAGAAAGAATATATTGAACTATTTTGTTATATAGCCGTCATTTCCGGTTTATCGAGACGTGACAGGGCAGGATTGTTTACAGTGGTTTCAGGTGCGTGTGGTGTTCCTATTTCTGTGTATGTACTGTATACCGCTATAATGTATTACATTGTTTTAGCGGTATTTGACAATGTCAGGCAGTACACCTCAAATAGTTGTCACGCAACAAATAAACGAAATACTAGTGACTTTCACTTCGTTGTCAATAACATTTCATGGCTGCGGTCTGTTGAAATGAAACTCAATAGGATAATTAGGTGTCTTAGGTCATAGTTAATTTTAACGTCTTTAATTTGCTCTTCCATTGCTTTCTGTTTTTGACACTATTTTGTGTAATTTTGTTTCCCAAACAGAAACATTAGTATGATACTACTGACTGACTGAGTTTGGTTTTACGCCGCTTTTAGCAATATTCCAGCAACATCACGGCAGGGGATACCTGATATGGGCTTCACACATTGTGCCCGGTAAGAGTTCCTCCCGTTCCCCCATCCCAAATAATATGTATAAATATACTAAAATTATTAACAAAACCTAACACAACAATTACTAGAGAACTCACAAAATGACTAAAGGTTCAAAATTTAAGTTAGGCTTAGAGTTAGGTTTAGGGTTGGGGGAACGGAAGAAACTCTTTCCCTGTGCCCATGTGGGGATTCGAACCCAGGTCTTCGGCGTGACGAGCCAACGCTTTAACCATTAGGGTACCCCACCGCCCCAGTATGATACTAGTGTGTATGTATCTGGTTAACGGTTAACCACTGTAAACCTCGGATGATTCAAGAGCAAATCTGATAACATTTTCAAGGAATTATCTAGATTTGCACTGTACATTTTTTTCGGTTTCCAATGCACAGCAAATGTCAGTTAAAAATTCCAATTTGGAATCCTGAGTCATGTTACAAGTTATAGTTATTTTTAGTCCCCTCCAGTTTACCTGCAATGGCCATTTAGTTAGGCAAAGTTGTTCACAAATGTTCGTATCACATGATACTGAAATGTAGGAGAAAATCAGAGGAGAAAATAACGTGCATCACAACATTTAAATCGTACCAAATCCTTGACAAGAAAAGAAACATAACTGCAATTTGAGTCATTATGAAATGTTCCAGCACAATAATGCCGATGCGACATAAATTCAACTAAACTCAATAGTACAGTACAAAACACTATTCATTAATTTACATGACCCCCTGTATTCTTGGAAGAATATTTGGGCTCCAGTGAGCCCCTAGTTTTGTTAAAAGTGTACACGTATTCCTTGCTCCTTTATCATGTTATAAGTAACAGTAATGAGAACAAAAATAGGAAAAGAAAACTTAATTTCTTCTAATAAAGACCAGCAGACATCATGAACTAAATTCATGTCATCTGCACTCATGATTGTCATGAATATTGTTTTTGCAACACTACAATGAAATAACTCAATGAGCATATATTCTTACCTGCCTGTATAATTATGCAGGGGTGGAAATAACTTTAAAATTGCTAAGGTACTCCAGTACAGTGGCACATGTAAAATCACCTGCCCTGATCATTTTCCACTATACCGTCCGTTTTCTTGTTGAGTTTTTAAATAAACAACATAATTAACATTGGAAAGTCAACTGGTCACCGGTACAGTGTGATATACAAATTTGCTTGCCCGACAGAAAAAAACACTGGACTCGGACGTCAGGCAATGGGTTATTTCCACCCCTGTTATGTATGGCTGGTAACTATATATGTTGGCTAAAACCACTGAGCAGAGTTTGGAAAGCCAGAAACATATCATAGGTTCGCTTTTATTAGGTTTAAGGTTTGATATCACCATACCCCTGCTCCTGGGTTGCCCATGGTACTTTCATTTAATATCTGCTTCTCTTAATTCTTTTATTTTGACCGCCTCCGTGGTGTAGTGGTTAGAGCGTCCGCCCGGAGTGCGCAAGGTCGCGGGTTCGATCCCCGACCACATCATACCAAAAGACGTTAAAATATGGTACTTGTTGGTCCCTGCCTGCGCTCGGCATTAATGGGTACAACAAAGATTGGTCGGCTCGGAGTATAATGTGTCTTGAGTGGGGTATTCATGCTTCACTGCCGTATGGTATCTCAGTGGGCTAACACTATAAAACCAGCTTAAGTCTTGGCTAGTACAAGCAGCATACACGCATGCACGTCGTCATATGAGCGAAATATTCTCAAGCACGACGTTAAACCCAATTTCACCTCACCTCACTCTTAAGGCTTTCCTCACAGACCTTCCTCAGTAATAAGTGGAGAGCTGTTCAAATCATCACGAAAGCCAACTCACTCATTCACTCTTTACTCAACAGTTGAGACGCTCTCCAAGGATGAAGAGAAGAAAGGGCTGACTGCTTCCTGGTATGAACCAATCAGGTGACAAGACTGCAGCACTTCCCGTAGACGGCACATCACCGGACAACGACAATGATCGACAGATAAGTAGATCTTTACAGAATCTGACGTCCAGTGTGCTAGCCATGATGGAAACGACAGGGCTCAGAAACACAGGCGGACTCAGTCGCAATCAGTTGTTCCTCCAACCAGTGGTAATTTCCTGTCTGTGCCGGAACTACATTCCGGAAATGGTAGTCGTCAGGCAGACAGTGGGGACGATGATACGTACATTGTTGTCCGTGACAATGCAGTCGACATTGATGATATCTATGGTGGGAAGGACAAGCTGCCTCCTCGACTGCTTGTTGTCTCCAGTAAGATTAGGAACAGTTCCATCATCCGCAACGCCATCCACAGCAACATCACCTATGTGCAGTACAACTACGACACCATCACCCTTGACGAGCTGCGCAGTAAGTTGTGTAGCGATTTGTTGCAATTGTGATTCATGAATTGTGTTACTTACCAGACCCGTGAAGATCAAGGTAAGAATTGAATTGAGGCTTGTCCGGGATCGGATTGAGTGGTCAGGCTTGCTGACTTGGTTGTCACATGTCATCAATTCCCCATTGCGCAGATCGATGCTCATGCTGTTGATCACTGGATTGTCTGGTCCGGACTCGATTATTTACAGACTGCCGCCATATAGCTGGAATATTGCTGAGTGCGGCCTAAAACTAAACTCACTCACTATCTCTCACAAAAAAAGCGTATCAGTGTCATTTATATTTATTTTAAATATTAAAGTTCAATTGCTGACAAAATCTGGTCTAGAAATTCAAATTTACCACATGATTTTGTCCCACAAACAGCTGTGATGACCTCGTAGTTCTGAGCCATTTTGTAGGATTTTACTTAAGTCATGAATAAGATACACAATGCTATTTAGAGAGTGGTTAAATGTCACGTGTTATAATTGGGATTACACTTTCTATAATTGTATTCTAATTCTAAATTTTACTTAGTTCACAAATCAATTAAAATCACAACAATGGTATTATAATGGCAGTACACATTTCAAAGGTAATATGATACAAGAGAAGTAATTATAATAAGAATAATAGTAAGGATATTTGTATAGCACTAGTTCCACATCACCAGAGACAGTGCTCAAAGCGCATCATAGCACATGTTCATATGTATATATTCAGAAGACAGACATCAGTAAAAACAAATAGTGGTGTTTTTATTCCAGATTTAAACACAGATATTATAGGTGCACTCTTGAAGTTAAATAGGAGAGAATTCCATAATGAAGCAGCTGAATGAGACATGGAATTATAGCAATAAAGATGCACTGGTAATATTCACAATAACAATAACCCAACTTGGAAGCAAGGCAACACAGAGAGTATCTAGGATATGATCATCACATGCAATGCTGGTCTTCGTGTTGCTTGAGATGTAAAGGGGAGGTGGGGTAGCCTAGTGATTAAAGCGTTAGCTCGTCACGCCGAAGACCCGGGTTCGATTCCCCACATGGGTACAATGTATGAAGCCCATTTCTGGTGTCCCCGCCGTGATATTGCTGGAATATTGCCAAAAAGCGCCGTAAAAAAATACTCTCTCACTTGAGATGTAATGTGAGATCAGAGACAAGAGACAACTCCCCTTATATACCTAAGAAAAGGTTATTAGTAAATTCTACACTAAGGCAGATAATTCTGGAATGGGCATCTTGTAGCACTTTCCAGATCGACACTGTTCTCAGTATCACTGGGGATGCCCATTACGTTGTAGCTCAAGTCGAAATGTAGCCCCTGACTGAATATCATTTGTACAGAGGGCGGTGGGGTAGCCTAGTGGTTAAAGCGTTGGCTCATCACGCCGAAGACCCGAGTTCGAATCCCCACATGGGCACAATGTGTGAAGCCCATTTCTGGTGTCCCCGCCGTGGCTGGAATATTTAAAGCATTTGTCAGTGTACTGTAACACACTGGAACATTTTACAAATGACCACCTGAGAGGGGGTCACTCATTTGAGTGATGCTGGACCACAAACAGGAAATTCTGTCACACAAAAAGGCCACACACAAAAGTGGTATTTATGAACATGATTAGACAAAATTTGATGTAGTCATTGATGGTTGTTCAAGATGTTGATTGATGTGAATTAAAAGCGTAAAAGAAGAACAATCATATAGTCAAATTTTCACCCAAATATGCAAAATTTAACTATTTGAGTTTTTGATGATTTTTAATAGCAAATTTCACCTATATGCATATATTTCAGAAACCTAAATTTAGTATTTAGTGAAAGCGCATTCATCGTGGATTCCAACGCACACCTGTTTGTCACTGCGTTGAAACAGTTCTAAAGTTATTAGTTTAAAGATGTATGCCTTGATGCGTTATTATGCACAGATAGAGACCAGTGTGTTATGGAAGAAAGGGCAGATAGTATCCAGTGTATACCGCGGTAAAGATCTTCAGTGTACGATAGTGTATTGCTCATGTCTGAAATTTCAGCTGAAGGGGTCGTTGTCGGCACAGGTACTACAGGCATGTACCCCATACAGAAATGTACTCTAAACAAAGTCAAAATACAGAAATGTACCCAATACCCTTATCAGTTGAGTTGAGTCCGTCTTCTGCAAGTGCAAACCATACCCATATCGTTGCTGTTTCTTGCCTGATTGTGAGTGAGTGGTGTTGTGGGAGCTATGCCGATTTACACTTGTCAGAGGGGTGCGCAAAGTATGTGGTCTAGACAACCAGTTGTCCGTAATTAGATGCCTGAATCAGAGGGTGGGGGTTTGAATTGTGGAGGGCACTCATACAGAGATGCCAACCCAAAATAGTTTTATTGTATTCGTTACGAAAAAACAACACAAAATACGCGACTACGATAGCAGTAAAAATATACGATTTAAAAAAAATGCTACATTAAACTAAATTATTAAATAGCATCCGTACCATACACAATGAATTTCGATCACATTATATTCAGTATCAAGCTTTATGTTGAGTTACTGATTCTACGTGAGTATAACGTTAATTTCAAGGTCTTAGACTATATATTTAAATTTTTTATTTAATATGAAAATTCTTTGGAAAAGTTAATTCTAATTTTTAATCAAGTTTTGGGCCAAAATACTAATTGGGCTAAATTAGGGTTGGCATCTCTGATCACGAAATATTTGTTACAGTGTAAGCTTGTTTCTTTTGGTTTGGAATCAAATGCATCTCCTACAACAGTGTGACAGTTCAAATTAAGAAAGGGGCAGTGGATAGCTTAGTGGTAAAGGTGTTCGCTCGTCATGCCAAAGATCCGGGTTTGATTCCCCACATGGGCACAATGTGTGAAGCCCATTTCTGGTGTTCCCCGCTGTGATATTGCTGGAATATTGCTAAAAGCAGCATAAAATTAAACTCACTCACTCCACTTAAATTAAGAAAACAACATAGTGCGGAATGGACTCCTCCTAGGTAAATTTCTGTTTGCCGACAACGACCCCTTCAGCCAAAGTTCAGGATGAAATATAGTCAGTGGAGATCAGTTTGTTATGATGTTGGTTCATTAGAAATTCCTTCAAACATTATAAGGTGTTCACTGGTCACGAGGGCGTGGGTTGATGTACCCTCTATGTTTGTTTATGTTCCCTGAACCCTAAACATAGAGGGTACATCAACCCATGATTCCCGAGGGACTAATGAACAACATATTTATCTTACCGAACACCTCAATGTTAATTTTGAACTCTTTGAAGTACGGGTACTGGATCATAATAAGGAGTACCAGAGTTAGGCAACAGCCCAAACACTACTAACACGAAGTACCAAACGAATTCCCACAGTTTGGCATTTCCAGCAGGTAACATAGAAAATGTTACTCGCTTGTAAGTTGGGTTACATTGATTGGCTCAGCCAATCAGAAAACGAGGTAAGATAATTACTGTTATTCCTTTCAGATCTGATCGGGCAGACTCTTGGGGGGAAGAAGGTTCACAGTGTGGCCTGGATCCTCAGCTGCTCCAATCATGCTAACTCCGCCATATACATATGCTCTAAGGACGATCGGGTAGGAACTCATTCTTCATGGGGATCAACAGTGTGGTTTCTGGTTCTGACCCCAATGGCCAGCCTGGTCGTAAGAGGCAATGCAATAGAACATGCTAGTTAATCTCGAAACATTTGTAGCCCTACGAAGTTCTTAAGCCCATTCTTAACACATTGGCTATGATCCAGTAAAGAATTCGTGGGGCTACAATTTCGTGTACAAATGTTTTGAGCTAAGGGCCCTGCTGGTCAGACCTAGTAACCTAGCTGATGTGAATGAACTTAATGTTTCCCAGATGTTTCAATCTGCTTATTATTATTCTCTGATCATCATTTTCAGTAGATTTTAGCATTATTATTTTGACGACTATTAGCCCTTTTTCTTGAACCAGACTTGGACATGATTAATTACATAGAGAATCTCCCCCGAGTGTCTTTTGATATCAAATATATCATCACGAGTTGATAAAGTAACAAAATATCCAAGGCTTGCCGAGGATATTTTTACTTTTATCAACGAGTGTTGATATAATTGATATCAGAAGACACGAGGGTGAGATTCTATTTATCATCAAAAATCACTCTTCATTAGTTTTCAATGAAAAATGTACATCTCTGAACACAGTACTGCTTTTAGATTTGCAGTGCAGCGATGTCATAGCATTGTGATGTCATTAAGTTCATGACGTCATAGCATTGTCAGGGCATTGTGCAAATCCTACTGTCAAAACCATATCTCCTAGGAGATATCGTCTGATCTCACACAAGCGATATCGCCTGTGGAACACAGTTTTGGATGATAATATACAATTATCAGAGGTCGATATCGGTTTTATTGACCTGAGTAAAACAATATCGGCCTGAGTAAAACAATATCGAGATATTATTTTCTCAGGTCAATAAAACCGATATTGACCTCTACAAGAGTCTATAATTGTGTTATTATATAATGAAAAGAGAAACGGGTTTTAACATAAACTTTTAATGCACACACTGTGCCATCTATCCGGAAAGTGATCTGATTATGGCGGGGAAGCCTCGGTGGAACAATATAAGTAATTTATCAGAAAGTCAATATCGTGTTTTGTAGTCAATTGGATGATAAAGTTTATTATCATACAGGTTTTAGACAATGTTGATAGGCCTGGTTAATTTGAAGCGGGCTGGTAGGTTTTAAGAGTTATCAGCCAAGTGGTCTGGTACAAATCTTAGAGGGAGTTTCATACACTGTTGTTGCTATGAGACTGTGCTTACAAGACCAAACTTTGCTAGTTTCATGTTTCAGTCAAGGGATTGAAGTCACTGAACGTTGGAACCTTTTTACCCATAATCCACCCTGTTTGTTTCAAGGTGCTGAGCAGAGAGAGCTTCACTGACCAGTCAGCCATTCAGGAATTTTTCACCATGATCGTGAAACAACACATGGACTGTACACAGACTGGCTCCAGGCTGGACTTCCTGGCCTGCACAGTCTACCAGCATGGGGACATCAAGCTGTTACTGGAGGACATGGCCGGGGTCCTGGGGGTGAGTTACTGGAGGACATGACCGGGGTCCTGGGGGTGAGTTACTGGAGGACATGACTGAGGTGCTGGGGGTGAGTTACTGGATTACATGACTGTGGTCCAGAGGGTGTTTGGAGGTGTGGGGACATCAAGCTGTTACTGGAGGACATGACTGTGGTCCTAGGGGTGAGGTGACTGGAGGGACTGTGTTCCTAGGGATGGACATGACTGTGGTACTAGGGATGAGTTACTGGAGGACATGACTGTGTTCCTAGGGATGAGTTACTGGAGGACATGACTGTGGTACTAGGGGTGAGTTACTTGAGGACATGACTGTGGTCCTAGGGGTGAGTTACTGGAGGACATGACTGTGGTCCTAGGGGTGAGTTACTGGAGGACATGACTGTGGTACTAGGGATGAGTTACTGGAGGACATGACTGTGGTCCTAGGGGTGAGTTACCTGGAGGACATGACTGTGGTCCTAGGGATGAGTTACTGGAGGACATGACTGTGGTCCTGGGGGTGAGTTACTGGAGGACATGACTGTGGTCCTGGGGGTGAGTGACTCGGGGAGGACATGACTGTGGTCCTGGGGGTGAGTTACTGGGAGGACATGACTGTGGTCCTGAGTGGGCTGTGTGGTCCTGGAGACTGACATGACTGTGTGGTCCTGGGTGACTGGAGGACATGACTGTGGTCCTGGGGGTGAGTGACTGGAGGACATGACTGTGGTCCTGGGGGTGAGTGACTGGAGGACATGACTGTGGTCCTGGGGGTGAGTTACTGGAGGACATGACTGTGGTCCTGGGGTGAGTTACTGGAGGACATGACTGTGGTCCTGGGGGTGAGTTACTGGAGGACATGACTGTGGTCCTAGGGGCTGGGGAGGGGACATGAGTTACTGGAGGACATGACTGTGGTCCTAGGGGTGAGTTACTGGAGGACATGACTGTGGTCCTGGGGCTGAGTCACTTGAGGACATGACTGTGGTCCTAGGGGGTGAGGACTGGAGGACATGACTGTGGTCCTGGGGGTGAGTTACTGGAGGACATGACTGTGGTCCTAGGGGCTGAGTTACTGGAGGACATGACTGTGGTCCTGGGGGTGAGTTACTGGAGGACATGACTGTGGTCCTAGGGGTGAGTTACTGGAGGACATGACTGTGGTACTGGGGTGAGTTACTGAGGACACATGACTGTGGTCCCTGGGGTGTGAGTTACTGGAGGACATGACTGTGGTCCTGGGGTGAGTTACTGGAGGACATGACTGTGGTCCTGGGGGTGAGTTACTGGAGGACATGACTGTGGTACTGGGGGTGAGTTACTGGATGACATGACTGTGGTCCTGGGGGTGAGTTACTGGATTACATGACTGTGGTCCAGAGGGTGTTTGGAGGTGTGGGGACATCAAGCTGTTACTGGAGGACATGACTGTGGTCCTGGGGTTGAGTGACAGGAGGACATGACTGTGGTCCTAGGGGTGAGTTACTGGAGGACATGACTGTGGTCCTAGGGGTGAGTTACTGGAGGACATGACTGTGGTCCTGGGGGTGAGTTACTGGAGGACATGACTGGGGTCCTGGGGGTGAGTTACTGGAGGACATGACTGTGGTCCTAGGGTGAGTTACTGAGGACATGACTGTGGTCCTAGGGGTGAGTTACTGGAGGACATGACTGTGGTCCCTGGGGGTGAGTTACTGGAGGACATGACTGTGGTCCTGGGGGTGAGTGACTGGAGGGACATGACTGTGGTCCTGGGGTGAGTTACTGGAGGACATGACTGTGGTCCTGGGGGTGAGTGAGACATGACTGTGGTCCTGGGGACTGAGGACTGGGAGGACATGACTGTGGTCCTGGGGTGAGTGACTGGAGGACATGACTGTGGTCCTGGGGGGTGAGTGACTGGAGGACATGACTGTGGTCCTGGGGTGAGTGACTGGAGGACATGACTGTGGTCATAGGGGTGAGTGACTGGATGACATGACTGTGGTCCTAGGGATGAGTGACTGGAGGACATGGCTGTGGTCCTGGGGCATGAGTCCTACTGGAGGAGTGACTGGGTCCTGGGGGACAGTGACTGGAGGACATGGTCCTAGGGGTGAGTGACTGGATGACATGGCCGTCCTAGGGGGTCCTGGGGGCTGAGTTACTGGGAGGACTGGAGGACATGACTGGGGTCCTGGGGGTGAGTTACTGGAGGTCATGACTGGGGTGCTGGTGCTATATGAGTCTTAGATAGTGGGTAGAGTTGTTGGGAGGGTGGGGACAGCTAGCTGTTACTAGGGTACATGACTGGTGTCCTGGGTGGGTGGGGGTGAGTGTTGGGAGGGGTGGGGACAGCTAGCTGTAACTGGAGGACATGACTCGGGTCCTGGGTGGGATGTGTGCTGGGAGGGGTGGTGACAGCTAGCTGTTACCAGAGAACATGACTGGGGTCCTGGGTGGGGGGGGGGTGGGAAGAGTTGGGATCAAGGGGTGGGGACAGAGTCCTAGCTGTTACTGGAGTGGGACATGTACTGGAGGACATGACTGGGTGGGTGTGTGGGTGAGTGTTGGGAGGGGTGGGGACAGCTAGCTGTTACTGGAGGACATGTCTGGGGTCCTGGGTGGGTGGGTGGAGGGTGGAGGACAGCTAGCTGTTACTGGAGGACATGGGGACCTGGGTGGGTGTGGGTGAGTGTTGGGAGGGGTGGGGACATGACTGGGGACCTGACTGGTGTCCTGGGAGGTGAGTGTTAGGAAGGGTGGGGACAGCTAGCTGTTACTGGAGGACATGACCTTGTGCTCTGAGGCTGTAGAAGTTTTAAATTTATGTTTGTTTATTTTAAGACTGGTGGGGCATCTTGTATCTTGGATTTGAATTTAGTAAACACCCCTCTAAGGAATATTCTCTTATATTCAGTAATCTAGTTGGGCAATGTCGTTTATTGTATGAATAACTGTATTACTTTGACAGGTGCCTGTGTCAGCCTACAAGGACTTCGCTGCAGTGGATTCCTGTATGAAGAGAAGTGAAGAAAACCTCCGAGTCAGCAGGTATACTTAGTCATTCATGACTGATCCTTGTTTCTTGTACACGTTGTCAGTTGTGTGTTGTTCACACAGTAGGGCTGGGACGGGTACTCGGGTACTCGAATCCGGGTCGGGTACAGCTGGAATCGAGTCCTATTTCTAGGAATTGAGTACCCGGAAAAGGAGAGAACTCTTTAATGGCAAGGGTACATAATAACTTGGCTTTTTCATTATTGACGTAACACACATTTGCATCATTAGCATTGTCCGATTAATGGAGGTTATTATAATGACTGTAATATATCTGAGCATGAGCAGTGAGGAGTCAAGTTACAGTAACAGCGGTAATGGTTAAACCAGGGATAATCTACAACACATATAGTCTCCCTGGTTAAACCAGGGATAATCTACAACACGTATAGTCTCCCTGGTTAAACAGACGTAAAATAAATAGCCCATGTTCAGTTTCAGTGTCTTATTGACAGCATTTCAAGTTTTTCTATAAAAATCTCTGTCAACTCGTGATTGGATATTCAGAAAGTTGACAGAAGCGCTTTATTCCTTACATTTACGGGTACTTGATTCCGATTCGGGTAAGTACATGCGGGTACTCGATTCCATTTTTTCCTACCCGTCCCAGCCCTAATGCACAGTAGTGACAAGTTGGCATCAGGCCTGCAGGAACTGATCCAAATTACAAACTTGATCTTTCAGGGCTGGATTTAAGTAGTGGTGTTCCGATTAATTGAAATAATCGAAGATTGGTCGCAGTGACCATACTACTCTGCAATTGATCACATTTTCTCTTAATCTAACACAAACGATGTTGGCACTACTGTTTTAGTGTTTGAAACAGTTGACGGTGGAACACATCTTAGTTGTCAGGGCCTGAAAACGTGTTTAATTCTTAGAAAACTCGCTTCACTGACTGAATATTTCTTGGGAAGTTTATGTTCATGATATACTGATCACTTTCAAGTAGCAAGTTGTATCATGTTGTATATAGCTGCAATAACAACCTGGATAGGAAAATCTGAAAAATGTCGCTAACCAATTTTTTGTGATGATTGCTCGCTGCTAATGAAGCAGTCATCAATTGTGAGATTTCAATCAACACTAGATTTGGTGCAACATGAAACATTGTGAAAGATTAATTTTGGTAAATATATTGATTTTGTTATTTAGCAATCAGTGAATTAATTGTGATTCTGTTTTGATAATACTCTTCCAAATGATTTGTAAATGTTTCCATACATGACTGTGTGGCTTCTTTTTCCACACACACACACACACACACACTCACAACTACACTCAAAAACAAAACAAAACGCCACCCCCACACACAACCCCCAGACACACCGTTGTTCAAAGAACCGTGGAAAGGGACTCTGGGAGATATTATAAGTGCTGTAAATGTTAAATTCTGTGTTGCACAGTGTGGGAGAGATGTACTTCCGCCTGGAAAAGCTGCGAAACTGGAGTGGACGACATCAACAGACTCTGGCTGGATTCGAGAAGATCAGGACTGTTGGCAAAGGTACATTGGAAGAAATATATGAACAGCGTTTTTATGTGTACATATTCTAGTTGAACAACAGGGAGAGTTCTAAATGCCACTCACAGAAGTCATATTCTAGTTGTTCTACTTGTTTCTTGTGTGTAACACCATGCTCAGCAACATTCCAGCTGTGGAAATAATGGAGTCTTGGCAATCCTGTGAGTGACATCATGAGCGTATTACAACAAGTATTTGTTACTGAATACCACTTTGAACCCAGATCTTCACTAGGTCTTGGAGTTTTTAAACAGATGTTACGGTGTTTCATACTTCAGCTTCAAGGAAATTTCAGTTCTGTTTAAAGGAACTTATGTCAGTGTTGTAAATAATCAAGCCTGACATGAAGTCAGTATGTGTTTCTGTCAAATGACACATAACTGCTTCTAGGCCAATTTGGGCGGTGGGGTAGCCTAGTGGTTAAAGCGTTGGCTCGTCACGCCGAAGGCCCGGGTTCGATTCCCCACATGGGTACAATGTGTGATGCCCATTTCTGGTGTCCCCTGCCGTGATATTGCTAGATATTGCTAAAAGCGGCGTTAAACCATACTCACTCACTCACTCACTCTAGGCCAATAATTCTGAAGAAAACCCACTATATTATAAAAACATTTCTTTAAGTTATATTCCTGTTAACAGCTAGTCTGTATATTACTTACAGGGGCATACGGGGCGGCAGTGTTGTATAAGAAGAAAGATGACGACTACCTGGTGATCTTGAAAGAAATCAACATGCACGACCTGAACGCTGCTGAACGTCAGCTGGCCCTCAACGAGGTCAACGTCCTTGCGATGCTGGACCACCCAAACATCATCAGCTACTACGACAGCTTCGAGGAGGATGGTGTGCTGATGATTGAGATTGAGTATGCAGACGGAGGGTAGGTCGGATTATTGTGGATTTTGTATTAGATGGTTTCAGTTTGCAAGTTTGTTGTCAGATATAATCAAATTATTTTCAACTTGGAAATTTTCTTCCAAAATCTGTTATAATCAACGTGGTTTTGAAAATCTCCAGTCATTGCGAAATCAAACAAAATGTTTCAGGGAATAAACAGTTTCAAAACGATCTTGTTTGAACAGGACTCTTGCACAGTTCCTGTCGTCCCAGGAGAAAGCTCTGGATGAGAAAGATGTTCTGACGATGTTCCAGCAGATAGTAGCAGCAATCAGGCATATCCATGAACACAATATTCTACACAGGTAGGTGTTCTTCATGCAAATTCCTTCAAGCATGTCAATGAACATAATATCTTTCACAAGTAGGTGTTCTTCATGCAAATTCCTTCAAGCATGTCAATGAACATAATATCTTTCACAAGTAGGTGTTCTTCATGCAAATTCCTTCAAGCATGTCAATGAACATAATATCTTTCACAAGTAGGCGTTCCTCATTCGAAGTCCTTCAAGCATGTCAATGAACTTAATAACCTTCACAAGCAGGCATTCATCATGTGAATTCCGTCAGATATATCCATTTATTACTCGCCCGTGGAAGATACTGCAGTGTAATATTTTTACGCTCATATTACACTAGTGTAATACCGCTAGACATGTGATGTCATATTGGTTACTGTTATGACGTCACAGTGCAAGTGCCTCTGTCGCAATGGTATTAGACCTTGTTTGACTCGCAGAAAATTGACATGAGAGTCATCACACTGTAGGTAGTTTCGATCAATTTATGTTGGAGAGTAATAAACAGAATACTAAACTCGCTTCCGTGAAATACCATTTTTATTAAACTCGTGAAAGATTTAGCATCAAATTCGCTTTCGCTTGTTTTATACCAAATCATTAACTCGTTTAATAATATTGGTATTACACGAAAGGTCGTTTAGTATCCTCTATGAACACAATATTTTACACTGGTAGTATCCGCATGGCTATTAGGTTGCGGGTTCGATCCCTGACCGCGTGATACCAAAAGACGTTAAAATATGGTACTTGTTGGTCCCTGCCTGGCGCTCGGCATTAATGGGTACAACAAGGACTGGTCGGCTCGGAGTCAGTATACTGTGTCTGAGTGGGTTTTTCATTCTTCACTGCGGCATGGTATCCCAGTGGGCTAGCCCTATAAAACCAGCTTCATTCTGGGCTAGTACAAGCACCCACACATACACATGCACACACATATGAGCGAAATATTCTCAAGCACGACGTTAAACCCAATTTCACCTCACCTCACCTCATGCCAATTCTTTCAGGCATAGCCATGATCACATTTACCTTCAAATTTAGGTCTTCATCATGGCAATTTCTGTCAGACATACCCATTGACATACTATTTTACAGAGGCAAACATTCTTCATGTGAATTCGTGTTGTGGTAGGGTAGCCTAGTATTATAATGCATTGGCTTGTCATGCAGTAGTGCTGGGAAATTGCTAAAAGTGGCGTAAAATCCACCTCACTCACTCCGCCCAGAGAGCAGAAGGTCGCGGGTTTGATCCCTGACCGCGTCATACCAAAAGACGTTAAATAGAGGATATTGTATGAGTGCCCATGTCATACTATGTTTACGACACGAGTGCCTAAATGTTATTACCGAAGCCGGCGAGAACAAACCGAAGCCGTCAAATTGAGGAAAATAAACCCAAATCTACTTTCAAACACAGGCTGGATACCCGCTAACGCCGCATGTAGAAGGCAACGTCACAGAAGAAACGTGACGTCATAGCCTTGTTCATGACGTCAGGTCACCATGACAAAGTGATATTTTGCCCTAGGGCATCATATGAAAATATGAACCCCGATATGTGTCTGAGTGGGGTATTCATACTGAACTGCGGCATCGTATCTCAGAGAGCTAGCACTATAAAACCAGCTTAAGTCTGGGCTAGAATAATACAAGCAGCCACACATACACACGCATGCACGTCGTCATATGAGCGAAATATTCTCAAGAACGATGTTAAACCCAATTTCACCTCACCTGTATCAAGGTACACAAGTTATCACCACCTCGGGAGACATGATGTTTGACTTTGTGTGGCATATTGTGTTACTGCTGTTTCAGAGACTTGAAGACGGACAACATCTTCCTGACGAAGGAGGGCATTGTGAAGGTTGGGGACTTCGGCATATCAAAGATGATGAGCTCTGCCCAGAAAGGAGCCCTCACCGTGCTGGGTACACCCTACTACATCAGCCCGGAGATGGTGAGGACATAACGAAGAATGTTGCTGCATAGAATGGAATGTTGCTCAGTCTGATCAGACGTGAGAATTTTCCGCAGATCCACGGATTTCCGGCATTTTGGTTTCATTTTGAACGTTTTTGAGATTGATGTAAATCTGCACAAAAGACCCTCAAGACCCCCTTCTAAAATTTCAATGTTTTTTGTGCTTTGCTGTTCTCATGTCTGTCTGATGTTCAACAGCAATCACAATGACAGAGTATCTGGCATCCTCGATAATCTCCAGGGTATACGTTACGATCACTCTCCTCTATACCCTGGGTGCATCCATGGCTTGGCCAGATAATTATATTACCTCCATTTGCTGGCTCCGCATTCTCACAGTAGCCAATCAGCTAAGCCGCCGTTACATCCGAGCTTGCCAGTGTCAACAAAGATAGCAGTCGCAGTCGTGAAGGTTTGTTCGCAGTACCACTCAGATTTGGGGGGAAATAATACAGACAAATTGACAGATCTGAAACTTTTACAAAATATATAAAAGAACTCCTTCTACATCTTTCAGAGTACCTCTGCATCAATTGTGTTGGCAAGTAGAAACGGTTAGATAATTTAAGAAGCGAAAGTGAGTTGAGATTGGTTTGCTCAACTTCCCAGCGTAGACACCTGATTGGATAAAAAGCCAGCCAAATAGGTAATAAAATCACCGGGCCAAGCCATGGATGCATCTAGGGTATAGTGGAGAGTGATTGTAGCGTATACCCTGGAGATTATCGAGATGAGTATCTGGATGCTCATGCTGTAAATGAACCCGTGAAGGTCCGGGTTAGAATATTGATCTTCAGTAACCCATGCTTGTCGTAAGAGGCGACTAACGGGATCGGGTGGTCAGACTCGCTGACTTGGTTGATCATCGGTTCCCCATTGCGCATATCGATGCTCATGCTGTTGATCACTGGATTGTCTGGTCCAGATGTCCAGACTCGATTATTTACAGACCGCGCCATATAGCTGTAATATTGCTGAGTGCGACGTTAACCTAAACTCACTCACTCACTCATACCGTAAATGACTAGATTGTCTGTTAGTGACAGACCACATTCATAGTAGTGATATTGCGTTGTTTTGTTGGTTTGTTGTTTAACACCGTACTCCCTAATACTACATGTATTTTGCATCTGTCTGTAAATAATCCAATCTGGACCAGACAATCTAGTGATCAACAGCATGAGCCTCAATTTATCAATTGGGATACAATGACATGTGTCAACCAAGTCAGCGAGCCTGACCACCTGAACCTGTTAGTTGCCTCTTATGACAACATGGTTTGCTGAAAACCATTTCTAACCCGGATCTTCACGGGTCCGTACTGCTGAGTGGATTATTAAAAAACAAACAACAAATTACAAACTTCTCATTGCTGACTGGGTTTTTGTGATTTTACTCTCACTTGTTGTTGTTACAGTGTGAAGGAAAACAGTACAGCTTCAAGTCGGACATCTGGGCGCTGGGCTGCATCCTGTATGAGATGGCCTGTCTACAGAAGACATTTGAAGGTTCCAACCTCCCGGCGCTGGTCAACAAGATCATGAAGGTAGCTCCTCCCAACCGATGTAGACATTGGTGGGCACCTAGTAGTTCTACTGCATGACGTTGATCACTGGATTGTCTGGTCTACACTTCATTATTTACAGACTGCTGCCATATAGCTCCTCAACTCACAAGGGTATAGTGTGTAGAGTCCATTTCTGGTTTCCCCATCCATCAAAGATTCGGATCAGAATTGGTCGTCAGCAACCCATGCTTGAGGGGTGACTAACGGGATCGGGTGGTCATTCTCGCTGACTTGGTTGACATGTGTCATCATAACCCATTTACATAGATCATGATGTTGATCACTGGATTGTCTGGTCCAGACACGATTATTTACAGACCGCCGCCATATAGCTGGAATATTGCTGAGTGTTGTGTTAAACAAACAAACAAACAAACAAATCCAGTGTCCCCATCCCCGTAGTGATGTTGCTGGAATCTTGCTGAAAACCATACTTCCTCACTCATTCATTCACATACTATGGACTCAAATGCTGAAGGGTTTCCAGATACCCAATCCTTATTCAGGGTTTGAATAATTGTTTAAAACGTTTAAATAAATGCGGTTTCTCATCTAATTTAGTGCATGGAAGAGCTGGACGTGCGTAAAGAATCTTTGAAAATGGATAGAATTTTAAGAGGATGACACCCCCATGTTCTGACATTTAATAATGTGTATTATACTTGCCAAAGTCTTGCATGATGCAATAATTATTCATAATGTATGCTATTCACGTTACATAAACATGCTTGGCAAATTATCTCTATTACATTTTACCTTAAATACATTTTGCACCTGAAGCCCGCTCTGTCTGAATGCCAGTTTAATTTTTAACAAGGTTAATAATTTGGGATCATTTCTCTGAATACAATTATTCACTACTAACATTCTCTTAATAAAAGGCTTAATTATTCCATTTAAATGACGATGTGTACCTATGCTTGAAATCCATGTTGCAGGGCCAGTTTGCTCCTGTGAAGGGTAATTATAGTCAAGGCTTCAAGGACCTGATCATGGATATGTTAAACAAGGACCCGGAGGAGAGACCATGTGCCAATGACATTATGTATCAGCATGTACCAGAGGTAAATGGGGCGGTTGGGTAGCCTAGTGGTTAAAGCGTTCGCTGGCTACAACGAAGACCCTTGTTTTATTCCCCACATGGGTACAATGTGTGAAATCCATTTCTGGTGTAAAACATCCTCACTCACTCAGAGGTAAACACACAGGATTTCCAGCTCTGGCAATCCTCTTGAAACTTAATTATCCACTTTGTAATTCCAAGTGAAAACAATTCTCTTAGTCTGCTGATCCAGGGGACACAGTGTTTGACCTGGCTTGTAGTGGGTCATCATGCCATGGGTCAGAATTTGTAATTTCTTGTCGAGGATTGGGTGGTCAGTGATAGTCATTTTACTAACAGTTGAGTGTTGTTTTGTCTCTCCCTTTTGATTGTTGTTTTGTCTCTTCCTTCTGACTGTTGTTTTGTCTCTCCCTTTTGATTGTTGTTTTGTCTCTCCCTTTTGATTGTTATTTTGTCTTGCACATTGCATTTGTCTCTCCCCTTTGAGGTGTTGTTTTGTCTCCCTGTATATGCTGCTACCAGTCCGTAGCCGTTAGCTACATAACTTGGCGTGTTTGCTTTCAGAGTAGGTTTTTTGTCTCCCTTTTGATTGTTGTTTTGTGTTCTCTCCTTTGACTGTTGTTTTGTCTCTCCCTTTTGATTGTTGTTTTGTCTCTCCCTTTTGATTGTTGTTTTGTCTCCTTTTGATTGTTGTGTTGTTTTGTTTTTGTCCCCCTCCCGAGAGTTGGCGCAGGGATTCCCTTTTGATTGTTGTTTTGTCTCTCCCTTTTGATTTGTTTGTCTCTTTGTCTCCTTTGACTTGTTTTGTTCTCCCTTTTGATTGTTGTTTTGCAGAACACAGTCTCTCCCTGTTCCTTTGACTGTTGTTTTGTCTCTCCCTTTTGATTGTTGTTTTGTCTCTCTTTTGATTGTTGTTTTGTCTCTCCCTTTTGATTGTTGTTTTGTCTCTCTCCTTTTGATTGTTGTTTTGTCTCCCTTTTGATTGTTGTTTTGTCTCTCCTTTTGACTGTTGTTTTGTCTCTCCCTTTTGATTGTTGTTTTGTCTCTCCTTTTGATTGTTGTTTTGTCTCTCTCTTTTGATTGTTGTTTTGTCTCTCCCTTTTGATTGTTGTTTTGTCTCTCTCTTTTGATTGTTGTTTTGTCTCTCCTTTTGATTGTTGTTTTGTCCCTTTTTGATTGTTGTTTTGTCTCTCCTTTTGATTGTTGTTTTGTCTCTCCCTTTTGATTGTTGTTTTGTCTCCCTTTTGATTGTTGTTTTGTCTCTTTTGATTGTTGTTTTGTCTCTCCCCTTTTGATTGTTGTTTTGTCTCTCCCTTTTGATTGTTGTTTTGTCTCCCTTTTGACTGTTGTTTTGTCTCTTCCTTTTGATTGTTGTTTTGTCTCCCTTTTGATTGTTGTTTTGTCTCTCCCTTTTGATTGTTATTTTGTCTCTCCCTTTTGATTGTTGTTTTGTCTCTCCCTTTTGATTGTCATTTTGTCTCCCTTTTGACTTGTTTTGTCTCCCTTTTGATTGTTGTTTTGTCTCTCCCTTTTGATTGTTGTTTTGTCTCTCTCAGCTGATTGTTGTTTTGTCTCTCCCTTTTGATTGTTGTTTTGTCTCTCCCTTTTGATTGTTGTTTTGTCTCTCAGCTGATTGTTGTTTTGTCTCTCCCTTTTGATTGTTGTTTTGTCTCTCCTTTTGATTGTTGTTTTGTCTCTCCCTTTTGATTGTTGTTTTGTCTCTCTCAGCTGATTGTTGTTTTGTCTCTCCTTTTGATTTTGATTGTTGTTTTGTCTCCTTTTGATTGTTGTTTTGTCTCTCTCCCCTCTCCCCCTTGACTGTTGTTTGTTGCCCCCATTGAATGTTGTTTTTTCCCTCCCCAGATGACTGTTGTTTTGTCTCTTGTAGGTGATTGTTGTTCTGCCGACCATTGATGTATGTTCTATTTGTTTTAGTTGATGAGCCAGTTTAAGGAAGAGACGTCTGACCCTGAAGAAGAACTCATGATGTCAACAGAGAATATCAGCAAAAAGATCAAAATCAGGTTTGTCAAAATACCTTTTGCCTTTACCTGACAATCCGTGAAATGTGTGGCTGCTCCCAAGGGAGACAACTACTACTGTTTTGCCTCCCCTCGCTTCTTTAGACATGTTTATCTTTAAATGTTTTGATTAACATTTGCAAGTTTATTTATTCAGTGTGAAGCTTTTTCACTTCTCAATATCATGTTTATGCAAAACATAAATCAAAGAAATATGACAATCCATATTTGCTTGAAGAAATATGACAATCCTGTGCAGAGTGGTGTCCCTTCAGCGGGCCAGAATCCTATGACCAGTTGTTTGAAATCCAAACTTGCTCTGATTTGATTCTTTAATTGTCGGTCATCTAAGACAAGAGTAGTGTCCCTTCAGCGGGCAAGACTCCTATGATAATGGTTTTGAAACACATAAATCAGGCTTCATTTTAAGTTTTTCCTGTGATATAATACGATTTAATGTGTTGAGTGGACAGGCCGAGAAATTTGGTTGATTGTCATTGTTCCTTCGTTCTCTTTATAATATCAACCTCTATTGTATGAAAGGGGCGGTTGCGTAGGCTAGTGGTTAAGGTGTTCGCTTGTCACGCTGAAGACCTGAGTTCGGTTCCCCACATGGGTACAATGTGTGAAGCCCATTTCTGGTGTCCCCCATCGTGATATTGCTGGAATATTGCTAAAAGTGACGTAAAACCCAACTCACTCACTCTATTGTATGAACCAGACTGGAATATTGTGAGAGAAGAATGAGGCAAGATAGCAACAATGGGGATGCTTATTACTGAAATACTGTTGAAAGTGGAATCAAGTCCGGGCGGTGGGGTAACCTAGTGGTTAAAGCTTTCACTTGTCATGCCAAAGACCCGGGTTTGATTCCCCACATGGGTACAATATGTGAAGCCCGTTGCCCGTTTCTGGTGTCACCAGATGAAATTGATGGAATATTGCTAAAAACAGTGTAAACCTCACTCACTCTCTGTATTAAGTCCAGCTCTTTTTTCGACAATATAATGAAAATGCATGTTATGTATACTAACAATCAGATCCCAGTCCTTTGGGCTTCAACTGTGTGTTACATTGAATTATCTATGATTCAAAACTAAGTGTCCTTGGTTGATTTATTGGGAATTTCTACTCAATTTTGTTGCAAATTGGGGTTTGTTAAAGTTCTTATTGTTCCTATTTTGTACATGTTATTTGTATATATTTATGGCTGTGTATTTTTTTAATGTTGTATTCGCGGGGGTGGTGGGCGCGGTGGGCAAGCTGGTTAAAGCGCCAGGCTAGTGATCCAGCGAGGTTGAGGTGTCAGGGATCGAGCCCACCTGTGACCCGGTGTACAAACCTTGGAGTTAACTTTGTGTGCAGACTCTTTCAGTGTTGTCACAACCCCTAGTGTACAGTACACAACCCTGTGCACTTAAAAGAACCCACGAATCCGTTGGTATATGACCAGATGGCGGACACATGAATAAGTGCAAACACCTAGTTGCGGGTACAGCAACGTACAGTAAACTTGGACAAAGTACTGTGACTATGTGTCCCAGTCCACCCAACTGTGAATGGGTACCTCGTTGGGATGAGAAAGCCACAATACCTCGATGCGCCTAGTGGCAGCAAGAGTTGTATACTCCCCAGGGAGTTGAGATTGATAATACAATGGCCGTTGAGATTGACATCCAGTGATCGAGGGTAAAATACCAGCGCCTTGAGCATGCACCAGTTGCGTGGATATGTGCGCTATATAAATATACTATAATATAAAAAAAAATTAATAATAATAAAATTCCATGAAAAATATAAATTTAAGAATTATTCCTCTTTCTTTATATTGGAACCGTGAAGATCCGGGTTAGAATTGGTATTCAGCAACCCATGCTTGTCATAAGAAGCGACCGGATTTGGTCGATCAGGTTTGCTGACTTGGTTGACACATGTCATAATATCCCAATTGATGCTCATGCTGTTGATCACTGGATTGTCTGGTCAAGATCCAATTATTTTACAGACTGCCGCCATATAGCTGGAGTGCGGTGTTAAACAATAAACCAACCAATCCTTTATGTTGGTCCTGTTATCTGTGAAGGACAGGACAACTCGGAAAAGCCATACCATCAGGTAGAAGCAGGCATAAATATTTACCATATTTACCTTCTAGCACAAATTGTGTAGAAATGGAAATTTTTCCTTATCCTGACTCATGATATTTTGCTTATCTCCCTCTTCTATGAAAAATGAGATAAGCAAAAGATGATGAGTCGGGATAAGTATAAAATATCAATTTTATTTAAAAATTACATATTTTTCCTTATCCTGACTCATGCTCTTTTGCTTGTCTTCTTCTTCTTGCGAACATAGTGGAAACACTTGTATCTCCTTAATTGAAGCTCCCTTCAATGTAAAATCACTAATCAGTATTCACCACGAGTTGCTCCCCTTTGATCCCTTTTGGCGGGAAAGGTGTCGCCACCTCATACCTCGTGCTACACTCTCTCCTTCTTCGCCCAGTGAGCAGGATGTGAGAGCGTAACTTGTACGACGACAAGTGGCACAGTTTCGAAAATTATGCAGCTAATAAAGGATTTACAGCGAGAGATGCTTCACATCCTCAAGTGGCAGACTATTTGTGTTACCTGCGGCAAAACAAACATTTAAGAGGTTCGACGATATCAACATATCTTGCCGAGCTTAGCTCTGTGATTACTATGAGAACGGGTGTCAAGCTGACAAAATCGCCAGAGTTACTGGCCTTACTACGTGCTTTCCGATTGGAGGACCAAAAGCGGAAGTTCCATGCCCCAGCTTGGGATCTGAATATAGTGTTACAACACCTCACAAGTGAGGCTTATAAACCCTTGGAATCGACAAACTTTGAATTTCTCTCACGGAAAACACTATTTCTGCTATCTCTAGCCATGGCAGCAAGAATATCTGAAATTCAGCTCTGGATTACGAAAGGATACAGTTTGATGACAATCAGAACATAAGCACCTCGGATTAAGATGGGATTTCATAAGCTAAAATCAACTACCAGGTCAACCAGACAGGTTATTTCATGTACCGGCGCTATCCTCCATTCGGATCACAAGATACACAAGACTTGTCACTGTGTCCAGTCAGAGCTCTCAAAGTTTACCCTCTGACCCGATCAAAACAAAGTGAAGATTTCTCAAAAGATTATTCATCCCTTATAAGCCAACGAATCAAACAGAAGTCTCGCATACTACCATATCTATTTGGATAAGGACTGTCATGCCAAGCGCATACAAGGCAGCAGGCTTGGACCCACCAACAGCATCAAATCCATGAGATTAGGGCACTGGCTTCCACCCTCGCCCTGCACGGTAACTGTTCATTGAACACTATTATGGAAGGATGCTTTTGGAAATCGAACATGGTGTTTGCGAATCACTACTTGAGAGATATCACCACAGAAGATGTCTCTGGCATTCACCATTTCGACCCTTTGGTCCTCGCTCAACAGCTGACAGTCCCTCGTAGGCGTTAAAATATTACAATCACAAAGTTAATATGTATTATATACATAATTTAGTTAGCTTATAACTCTGAGGAGTTCTAGAGCTATGTATATATATTTAGCTTAGGTCTTTCACCCCTAAGTATATATGGACATTATCTTTAGTTGTACAGCGACTCTATCAGAGTCACTTATGTATATATAATTTAGGTAATGGGTTTTTTCTATATATATCAATGTAATACACAATTATGGCATTATAAAACCTATGGTTTTATACAGAAATATCCTAAGTCTATGCCTTCATGAAGTTCCCATACCAGTTATTACAGTTATATTTATACAAAATCACTAATTATAAATCCAAAGTATTCTGTTACTCCCTCCTCCGTTCCGTAGGATTCTACAAGCAAAAGAGCATGAGTCAGGATAAGGAAAAATATGTAATTTTTAGAGTAAAATTGATATTTTATACTTATCCTGACTCATGAGGTCAGCCCTCCCATCCTCCCCACATAACACTTTGGATTTCCCTGTAAATTCAAGTGTTGGGCTCGCAAAATCAGGAGAGAGTGAAGCCACGAGGTATGAGGTGTGCACACCTTTCCGCTAAAGGGATCAAGGGGGAGCAACTCGTGGTGAGTACTGATTAGTGATTTTACATTGAAGGGAGCTTCAATTAAGGAGATACAAGTGTTTCCACTATGTTCGCAAGAAGAAGAAGACAAGCAAAAGAGCATGAGTCAGGATAAGTATAAAATATCAATTTTACTCTAAAAATTACATTTTTAAATTTTATTATTCCTTAGGATGCCTTTGACCTCAATAAGAGTGGTCAGGGGCAAAAGCTAGTTAACATTATTAAAGTACATTGTATTTTTTAATGGATCAGACTTTAAATTGCCGAATCTCTACAGACATTGATGCTGACATGGAGCCAAATATCGACCTCTGTCCACGTTTAGAGTTTTCAAAAAGACAGCTTTACAATTTAATAAAATTTTCCAGCATTTACTTTTGTTCATAATGCAGTTAAAGAGGGAGGGCTTATGTAATAGATAAGATCCAGTAAATTATATTTTTGGACCCACTCAGAGGCCAAATGTGTTGGGATTAGAACGTTCCTGTTTCCTGTAACTATGGTTACTACCAGAGTTACTATCTCTGTTACTACTAATCTAATGACTTGGTTGGGGACACTTGTATTCCAGTGATAACAGGACCAACAAAGAGGAACCAGTCTAATTGTACATTATTGTATGATTATTGTATGAATTGTATGTTGTAAAATATTCAATTTTTTTTTATTAATATGAACTTTAATAAATCCCACCTTTGAACAAAACAACATTTTTTCCCAAATTGCCAGCCAAGGACACTTTGTTTGGAAGCTGAATATATTCACAGCTGAGCCTTCTACAGATTGTTTCATTGTGATTGCTAACCCTGTTTGGCTTTTGCTGTTGTCATCCATATTCAGCTTGTTTTATTCTTCCCTGTTTGCATCAGCCCGAAAAGAATGGAGAAAAGGTATATAATGTTTTCTGTGCCTCTTCCGATCCATCCTCGATAATCCAGGGCTAAATATAATTTCCCTGCTCTGTTCCCTGGACACATTCTCCTCCTTCAGTTATGCAAGTGATGTTGCCATTTCGAATATCCTTATTGCCTGTCTTGTGTTTGATAGATATCCAATCAAATGTCAATGTTCATGTACGATCGAACATGCCACGAAACCGACCAGTAAGGATTCGTTGTTAGATTGGTTTTCGTCAACCTAGCTTGTCGTAAGAGGTGACTATCGGGATCAGGTGGTCAAGCTGCTGACTTGGTTGACACTATTGTGTACAACGATACTCATGATGTCAATCACTTGATTGTCTGGTCCAGACTCGATTATTTACAGACCACTGCCATTTAGCTTGAATGTGCGGCATGAACTCTTTCTGTACTCATCCACTAAAATTTATGAACGTCTTCTAATTTGATTTTAGAAATCAAGAGCCCAACAAGGCCATTGATGTTGAATGTAAATCCATTCCAAACCCTTGTTCATTATTGGTATTTTGATTGGTTGTTCGTTTCAAACCCATGAGCAGCAGAAATTCTGCCCAAGTGTTATTGATATGCAGGATAGAGTAAATTTGTGGTTAAAGCGGTCGCTCGTCACACCAAAGACCTGGGTTCCATTCCCCACATGGTAAAGTACGAAACCCATTTCTGGTGTCCCCCGCCGTGATATTGTTGGAATACTACTATTGCTCAGGATAAAGCTGTAATGACATACAGCTACAGCTTGTTCAGCTTGACCTGATCAAGCTAATACTAATGCATTGCGTGACCGTGTCACAACTGGTTCGGTCTATTATTGTCAAGGGGTGCACCTGAGTCTTTTGATTGTCAACATGTCCGAACAACCGAGACAAGGTCGCCGTTTGAATCGAAAAATCGTCAGCAATGTCCTAACTCTCTTTGAAAAACAAGCTACAGATGGTTTAATTTTTCCGATTTGGTCTGTAACGATTCCATGTATGCATGCTTCGCACAAAGCAACATTAATAACATTCTTTGCTCCCCTATTTAATAACGTTAGCTCGACCAGCCGTTTGTGCCATTTGACCTCCTAGGTCATGAATATGTAGAGTAGCTCAGGTCAAGCTGAACAAGCTGTTTAGTGGGGAATAAGTCCAAGGTTTATAATCACAAGAGGAATTTTAATTCCCTGGGTTATCGAGGATATGTCATGTCTGTTGTTCACACTTCACCTGTCCTGACATTATTGTGATTCTAGGTTCAGTACATTACACGACTCTTTTTTATTTGAGGTTGTTTAGTTTTAGATCAGTGTCAGAGATGTTGTAGTATGGTTGAGGCAAGTAGCAATATGCACCCTGATGCTATGGATGCAGTGCTGCTACTCGTATCACAAATAACTGCGTAAACCAATAAATGTATTATCATTTAAAAAAGCATAAATTAAGAACCACCTGAAGCCAGGGCGGTGGGGTAGCCTAGTGGTTAAAGCGTTAGCTCGTCATTCTGAAGACCCGGGTTCGATCCCCCAAAATGGGTATAATGTGTGAAGCCCATTTCTCGTATCCCCCTGCCATGATATTGCTGGAATATTGCTAAAAGCAGCGTAAAACCCAACTCACTCACCTGAAGCCAAGGTCATTTTGTAAACTTTGCGTCCAAACACTAGCATACATATGCACCTAGTTCACACAATACCTCAAAAGCAGTGGGTCGCATACTGAAAAGCACATTAGGGTCTAAATTTCATAATTGCAGCAGTATGTGCACTATAGTTTCCTGAAATGATTAAAAAGATCAAGGCACACACAATGACCATTGTAATCAATGGGAAGTACTGGATATCGGGATCGTGCCACATTTTTATAGCCATCCCTAAATGTACCAAATTTCAGTTTCAATTTTGTTTTAATTAAAGTAAACTATGTTACGGTTAGCATTTTAAGATGCAGAATTTGGTTTTTAAAGCATATACAACATTTAGTAGTTTAGTATGTATCTTTGAAAAAAATTGTGAAGGTCCGGGTTAGAATGAACCTTCAGTAACCCATGCTTGTCGTAAGAGACGACTAACGGGATCGGGTGGTCAGGCTTTCAGACTTGGTTGACACGTGTCATCGGTTCCCAAATGTGCAATTCGATGCTCATGCTGTTAATCACTGGATTGTCTGGTCCAGACTCGATTTATTTACAGACCGACGCCATATAGCTGGAATATTGCTGGGTGCGGCGTAACATGTGACAGATTTGACAGGGTGTACGGTCCATACACCCTGGCAAATCCGCCGACATGGTTACACATGCTTTGGCTATTGACCAATCAGTATTCGACAAATTTATCTTAAGGGTAATAAAATACTGTATCACCTTATCACACAACAAGTCAATCTATCACCTATGTGAACATTTCTGTTAATTATTATCTGATTATAGAGTAACAGTCACGTCATCGTTTATGACCCCACCATTTGCTGTGCAGTGTGAATGAGAGAAGCACCAGGGTGTCATTATATTATTATGCATCATTATACTGTAACCACCCACAACAATCCAGGCTAGACTTGATCTCAGCAACCCATGCTAAAGGCAATGGGTGGTCCGGCTCACTGACTTAGTTGACTTAGTTGACATGTCATCACATCCAGATTGCGTAGATCCATACTCATGATGTAAATCACTGGATTGTCTGGTCTGGTCTGATTATTTACAGACTGACATTATATAGCTGGAAAATTGCTTATTGCGGCATTCAGCAACAAATAAACAAACAAATTATTTTGTAACCTGTTTGATGTCATACCACAGTATGGCATTATTAATGCAGCACATTAGAAATTGCAGTAAATATGCTTATGTTTCATAATTTTTTAAAAAGGTACATCACTTAGCTACAGACATTTTTATGTTGTCATGTGTTTCTTGATGAAAGTTTTAGACACATGTGATCTTGTTAATTGTAATATTTCGACGACAATTTGTGAAGATACTGTACCAACCTTATTGAAACTTTGTGCACCAGTCAAAAATTGCACAGGGCTGCGCTCCACAAATAGATTCTGGCATTAAGGTTATCACAACTCTTTCGACCCATGAAGGTCCGGGTTAGAACTGGTCTTCAGCAACCATAACTCTCTCTCTTTGACAATGAATGCTTGTCAAGTAAGAGGCAACTATCGTTGCAGGGTCCGTCTTGCCGGCTTGGTTGATGCTCATGCTGTTGATCACTTGATTGTCTGGTCATTTACAGACCACCGCCATGTAGCTGGAATATTGCTGAGTGCGGGGTTAAACAACAAACTAACCAACCAACCATAACTCTCCCTCTCTTTGACAATGATTGACTTAATGCTATATTGCTGGAATATTGCTGAAAGCAGCATAAACACAGCTTACTCACTCACTCAGGTAACCATCACTTTGTACAGCTGGACACTATTGCAACAAGTTACCAAGGCCCCGTTCCTCAAAGCGATCAAAGCGCTAAGATGATCACAACTCCCATACTTTAGCATAGACTTACAACTGCTGTAGCACCACAATCACTTTCAGGAATGGGGCCCAAATCCGTAACAACCAAGTCAACAGTTTGTGACAGTCATGTGATAGACATGTGACAGCCATGCAACAGTAAAAAAATAAAATTGTAGAAAAAACATAAAATATTCAAAGAAGTTATGTATTTTCTCATACTTTCTGAAACACCTTTAAGACAGTGATTTACCATGTTCTAGTCTAAAGTGTTGTTCATATGTTTGCCAACGGTATGCACACAAATGCTTTCTTTTTGCAACATGGATTTTTTATGGGCGATTTTTAATTTTTCTTTTCTTGCTTTTTCTTGTCTTTGTGGAGGTGAACAACATCATTGTATTTTAATCTTTAAATAACCGTTTCAACAAACTATAATATGACATGATGTAGCATTGTTTTCACTTTGCATCCGTAACACATGGAAAACACATCTATCTTTTTTGTATGCTGCAACCATGATGAAACAAATGTGTTCTAAAGTATATTAGCTCTTCCAAAATCTCTGTTCATGTACAGTGTTCCTCTACATTATTGTTCACTGGTCACGAGGGGGGCATGGGTTGATGTACCCTTGATGTTTGTTTATGTTCCCTGAGCCTGAAGGGACCAGTGAACAACGTATTTATCTTACCGAACACCTTAATGTTAATTTTGAATGGTTTGAAGCACGGGTACTAATCTTTTTGTAGCCATCGCTAGATTTTGCTGACAAGAAAAACAGATTTATAATTATCTCCCTTCCATCGATTTGCATTAAAACATCGATAATTTCCATACATCATACATGAAAGTACCAAATGAGTTGCCATTAACAGCAGGGTACATTGAAATGTTACTCATTTGTAAGCAGGGTACATTGAAAATAATAGAAGAGCGCTCAGCCAATCAGAAAGCAACATTTATGTGTGAGGTAAGATAAAATCATTTATATTATGTTGTTATGTATTCATAGTACTGATAGTTAACTGTCAATCTTATCATTACAATGATAATGTAATCATTCAGATTGATGAACTGTGTTCTCTGGGGCTGATTTGGCTGTTTCTTGAAAACAAATTTACACAGACAGTTCTGAATGTTGATAATAAAGGCTGTGCCATAATGATGTATCCTATCACTTTTATAACATGTACATACATTCAAGTTTTCTAGTGATGGAATATCTTTGTTTGTCATTGTTTTGTTTTCTTTCATAAATGTCAATCTTTTAAAATTTAGTAGATAGAAAAAGACATATTTTTTTTCTTAAAAAAGAGACTAATTGGCCCAAGAGTCACCACATCTTTGATTTAGTTTTGTTGAGGTTGGGCTGTTTGCTGATTATTTTTGAAAACCTTACAAATGTTAGACCACAGTTATTGAGATCCTTAAGTTGACATCCCTGAAAATGGGGTCATTCTGGCGTCAGTGTCATTAAATCTGGACTTTTACAATACCATACCTCTCCACACGAAGATCTGAGGATGTGTCCATGAGAGGTCGTGTCAGGTGAACTTGCTGATTAGCCTGTCTGTTGGGGCTTCTAACTTGTGAAGGTCCGGGTTAGAATATTGGCCTTCAGTAACCCATGCTTGTCGTAAGAGGCAACTAACGGGATCAGGTGGTCAGGCTCGCTGACTTGGTTGACACATGTCATCGGTTCCCAATTTTTTACAGACCGCCGCCATATAGCTGGAATATTGCTGAGTGCGGCGTATAACTATACTTACTCACTCACACACTTACTTCTCAATATGAGTGTGTGCAGCATTCAAATCTGCATATCCAGTTTCTGCGTCACGAAAATGAAATATACACAAAGAACTTAATTTAAGCACCCCCTGTATTTTTGCAATGATAGGTTTTCAACATGTACATAAAACTTCTTGTTGTGACCACGATGGAACAGTCTTAAGTAAACGTTACACTGCTATACTGAGTCTAACAAAACATAGTAGAAGGTCGCGTCAGGTAACCTTTGAGCAACCTATGACCGTCCAATCAAACGCGAGACGGCTGAACAGATTTAACCAGTCAGACAACAGCTACTATTTAAGTTTCGGCGGGACTTACAAAATGTATTTTCTCTTCCCCAGTCGCCAACACTGATCTCACAACAAATGAAAACCCGCATAAAACATAGATACATTGAATAGCAGAATATACGCTTTTGGGTTTCTGTTGACATGGTTATCATTAGCTAATATTTCCGCAAGCTGACATCCTTGAATACTTACCAAACGCTATTTTCAGCGACTGTTTACTCACTGTTGTGGCGTGCTCCATCTGCAAGCGATCATACGGAAAATAGCATTCAGAATCGTTCGGGTACAAAACATTTTCGAGGTAAAAGTTCAAAAGGTATGCGCGAATGTCAACTTTCGCGATTTGGTAAGCTGTATTCTGATTGGTCAGTTGAAAAGGTTACCTGACGCGACCTTCCACAAGGTTTTGTTAGACTCAGTATAGCAGTGTAGAGAATAATACTGAGCCTAAGTTTACTTAGACTGGCACGATGGAAAAAATGATTTTTTTCTCATGGAGTTTTTCTGACCCACGTGATCCTTTGACTCAAAAACGACAAAATGTTTGGAATCCATGTTGCTTTTTTTATGATAGTTGCTCATTTTAAAAAAAACACTACTGATTTTCATACAAAACCATGTCTGTACAAGTGTGGCCCTGCAATGTTTAATGTTGAATTTATTAGTGAATGTGAACTTTCAAAATGTCGTTTTGCGTGTCTTACACGATTCAAGGTCAATACCGAGTGTAACCTCCATGTGACTGTGTGACAGCCAGCACTCCTCTCCTCCTACCCCCTGTCCGCCTCCTGATCCTCTGAAGGGCAGTCTACTCCATTCCTCGTGTAAAGCAGCTTCCAGTTGGTCCAGGTTCTGTACAGGAGGGTCCCTGTTCACAACCCCACAGCCTCCAACTCTGAAGGGGCAGTCCAATTATGTAAAAGCAGCTTCCAGTTGGTCCATGTTCTGTTACAGGGAGGGTGCCCTCCAGATGCAATACAAAACAATCATGTCAGATATGCTCCAAAGGGTTAAGATCGGGACTCATTCATTCGTGAGATATGTCAGGGGGTGCTTAACTAAATTCTTTGTGTATTTTATGAAAGTGGAAGTTAAGTGGTGCAATCAGATTTTTAAAACTCAAGTGAAGTGTGCCACATTCTTCCAGATAGCATTTGCTCCTGCTTCAGACCAAAAAATGTGTCACTGCAAGATCGATCTATGTCCATCTTTGTGTAGAATAAATGTTAGGGAAAACACATTTGATTTAATGCACGCATGTGAGATATTGTTGTCAGCTTGCTTGCTGCACAATGTGAAATGCACACGCCTGTTACGTAAAATAATTATACACATGGTTAGTAGATTGTAGTTGTTACATTGTAGTGATGTCATTGTTTTTTTATATGTTGATAATCTGTTGATAGAAATTTCACAGTTTACAGTCTAAGTTTATAATTCACTGTGACAGAAACATTCAGAATGATTTAGCCATGTTTGGGGCGGTGGGGTAGCCTGGTGGTTAAAGCGTTTGCATGTAATGCTGAAAACTCGGGTTTGATTCCCCACATGGGTACAGTGTGTAAAGTTCATTTCTGATGTTCCTTGCGGTGATATTGCTGGAATAGTGCTAAAAGTGGCGTAAAACCATACTCACTCACTTACTCACACCTGGTTACGATGAAATGGTTGCAGCAGAATCAGTGAGCTCAACTCTTAATGCTTCTCCGCCTAAGCAAATGAAGTAACTCACTCACTCACTCACTCCCTCATTCACCTGCAACAGATGGTGTAATTACAGTGTTGTGTCCAATGGTCTTCTAACAAACAGTACTTAGTCAGGTGTCATCCGATCGCTATGCAGCAACGATCTCACTTTGTCATAATGCATTGTGTTTTGAAGTAATTTTGATAAATTTAAACTGTTGTTATTTATAGTATTTGATATAATTACAATGATAGCATCAGTATTGTATGTTTATTTATGTTTACATTTTGCTTACTTTTCGTACGTAGAAAAAACTCTGAGTTTTATATGTTTTTCTTTTATTATGCCTTTGAATTTGGATGGATTTGTAAACCAAAGTCTGGCGCTGATGATGCCATGTCCTACATTGCCAGACTCTGTATATTCCAGGTCGGTGCTGTACTACATGGAATCGGCCACCGGGAACCTGACGTGTTTCACGGACCTGCCACCACGAATGAAAATCAGACAGGTAACAGTTATATTGGAAAAAGGGGTGGTGGGGTAGCCTAGTGGTTAAAGCCATCGCTCTTCACGCCGACGGCCCGGGTTTGATTCCTCACATGGGTACAATGCATGAAGCTCATTTCAGGTGTCCCTGTCATGATATTGGGGGAAAATTGCTAAAATCAACGTAAAACTAAACTCATTCAATCATGTGCTAACATAATATTTTGTTCAGACCATTAGATTTTAGTTTTTAGTTTTTATGTTGCGAATATTTGATGAGTGTACTGACTGTAACTACTGTGAAGTGTCTGCCTTTGCTGACATTTTGTATCAAGGTGAGCTTCATCATCAGCAGCATTTCTTTACCGGAACCTCGTTAATATCCGGGTTAGAATTGGTCTTTTGCAGCCTATGCTTGTCGTACCCGTGAAGATCCAGTTAGAATTGATCTTCAGTAACCCCATCCTTGATAATCTCCAGGGTATACGTTACGATCACTCTCCACTATACCCTGAATGCATCCACAACTTGGCCTGATGATTTTATTACCTCCCTGGGCTGGCATTTTATCCAATAAGGTGTCTACGCTGGGAAGTTGAACAAACCAATCACAACTCACTTTCGCTTCATAAATTGTCTAACCGTTTAAACTTGGCAACACGATTGATGCAGAGGTACTCTGAAAGATGTAGAAGGAGTTCTTTTATATATTTATTTAAAGTTTCAGATCTGTCAATTTGTCTGTATTATTTCCCCAAAAATCTGAGTGGCACTGTGAACAAACTTTCTTGGCTACAACCGCTATCTTTGTTGACACTGGCAAGCTCGGATGTAATGGCGGCTTAGCTGATTGGCTACTGTGAGAATGCGGATCCAGCCAAGGGAGGTAAAAAATCATCGGGCCAAGCCATGGATGCATCCAGGGTATAGTGGAGAGTGATCGTAGTGTATACCCTGGAGATTATCGAGGATGCAGTAACCCATGCTTGTTGTAAGAGGCGACTAACGGGATCGGGTGGTCAGGCTCGCTGACTTGGTTGACACGTCATTGTAATCCCAATTACGTAGATCGATGCTCATGCTGTTGATCACTGGATTGTCTGGTCCAGAGTTGATTATTTACAACCACCACCATACAGCTAGAATATTGCGTCTTAAAACGAAACTCAGTCACTCACTCTTTTCCAATCAACTGATCTTAAAGATCAGCAAGTGGAAAAGTAAAATTCCAGTTGAAAGATTCTGAAAGCTTGGTGACAAGCATCCCTGACAGGTATCATATTATTGGGCGTTAATGATATGATGGAAATTATGTTGAATATGACAATAACTCACTCACTCACTTTGACTGCATTGCAGATGGCAGTAGGACCAGACCATGTGATCGTCGTGACAACTGAACGTCAAGTGTTCACGTGGGGTGAAGGGTCAAAAGGTCAACTAGGACATGGGGACATGGCAAGTCGATCTCGGCCAGAATTAGTTGAAGCTTTGAAGGGGAAATCAATATCAATGTAAGAGGAAATCAACAACAATATCATCCATTGATATAGTTTGAGAGAAGGGCTTAAATTAATTGGGATCCTGGGCCTAGTTTTTGGAAGCTCTCTTAGCGCTAAGATAGTCGTAAGTTAATGTTAATGTATGGCACTTACGACCATCTTAGCGCTAAGAGAGGTTAAAAAATCTAGACCCTAGATCTTTAATTTGATAATTAATCATTGTATGTCACCCCAAAAAAGTTACAGAACATCCAATAGGTAATGTTTTATTGGAAGTGGGTATTGAATTATTGGTGTTTATAAATTCATTTTGACTAGCTCATCCAGGAACTGCTGAGGTTCAAATCAAAATTTAAAGTCAGCATATAAAACTTCATTTCTTAAGCTTCTAGAAATCCCATAGATCGTAACTGTGAAGTTTATAAATGGAAAGCTTGTAAATCTGTTTCGAATTTCACTTTACTTAAATGACTTTACAAATAATGACCAACAATGTTTTTCATGTTACAGTACATGTTCGTTCATTCATTTGTTTGTTTGTTCATTCATTTGGTTCGTTCCATTGGTCCATTGGTTGTTTGGTTGGCTGGCTCGTTCGCTCACTCACTCACTCACTCACTCACTCACTCACTCACTCACTCACTCACTCACTCCTCACTCACTCACTCACCACTCACTCACTGGCACTCACTCACTCACTCACTCACTCACTCACTCCCACCCTGTCTGTGATGTGTTTTCAGGGCATGCTGTGGAGATGGCTTCAGCCACTCACTCACTCACTCCACCCCTGTCTGTAATTGTGTTTTCAGGGCCTGCTGTGGAGATGGCTTAAGCCACTCACTCACTCACTCCCCCTCTGTCTGTGATGTGTTTTCAGGGCCTGCTGTGGAGATGGCTTTAGCCACCCACTCACTCACTCCACCCCTGTCTGTGATGTGTTTTCAGGGCCTGCTGTGGATTGGCTTCAGCCACTCACTCACTCCACCCCTGTCTGTGATGTGTTTTCAGGGCCTGCTGTGGAGATGGCTTCAGCCACTCAATCACTCACTCCCTCACTCCACCCCTGTCTGTGATGTGTTTTCAGGGCCTGCTGTGGAGATGGCTTCAGCCTGTTCACCAGTGACAATGGACTAGTGCTCACCTGTGGTGATGGGTCAAGAGGTTGTCTCGGACATGACGATTGGCTGTCCGCCTCCAAACCTCGCCTCATCGAGACTCTCCTCAGGTAGGAAGTTATTTGTTTGGTTGCTTGCTGTTAAACTTTCAAATGTGCAAATTTCCAGCTGTATGATAGCATTCTGTAAATAAACAAGTGAGTGAGTGAGTGAGTTTTAGTTATACGCCAATTTTGGCGACATTCCAGCAATATCACGACGGGGGACACCAGAAATGGATTCACACATTGTACCCATGTGGGGAATCAAACCCGGGTCTTTGGCATGATGAGCGAACACTTTAACCACTAGGCTACCCCACTGCCCCTAAATAAATAAGTCTGGAACATAAAATCCAGTGATAGGCATGATGAGCAGTGGGATACAATGACATACATCAGCTGACTCAGTGAGCCCGGCCACCAGGCCCCGATTTCTCGAAACAAACTTAAGTCTAAGTTTTGACTTAAGTTCAAATCTTTACTCAAATTTCAGAAAATGCATTTCCCAGAATGAACTGAAATCGATATTAAACTCAAACATAGTAGACAACTTGAGTTTGGTGAATAGAAGACTTAAGTATTTTGGGATTTTTCTTAAAAAATGCAACTGAGTTCAAAATTCAGCTGTTTCAAATTGTCCAACTCAGTTTGAAATTTGAGTAAAAAGTTAAGTTTGTTTCGAGAAATCGGGGCCTGATCCTGTTAGTGGTTTGGACAAGATTTTGAGTTTGATCTTCACTGGTAGCTTCGAGTGTGAATCACACAGTTAGGATGATAATAGCATAATTAGCAAAGGTTTCTGGGAATAATTCTGAGCTTTTATATTTTTTCAATATTTGAAACTTAGAAGACAAATCTCAATTTACCTCATTATTGTACATTCGAAGTTTGATTGTATTCATATTTCAGTGTTGACGTAGTTGCGCTCGCCTGTGGTCCAAGTCATGTTGTTGCTGTAGGCAGCGAAGGGGAAGTCTATGCATGGGGTGACAACAGTTCTGGACAGTTGGGCCTCGGCAATGAAGTCAGCATGTGAGTGGTCTATTACTGAGAAGTTTTTAACGGTTCCCCATTTTCAATCCATTCACTTGAAAAGTGAAAAATAAAACGTTAAAGTGCATGGGCCAATTGAATAAAATGTTTAAGTAGAATATAATAGCATGTTGATGCATGGCAAATTTGGGCTAGTTTCACGCTGACAGTGTGTGGTTTTGGATAGGTAGAAATTTTGCACCCTTGTACCTGAGGTCGCGTTACTTGACCTGGGTACGCGTTACAGCTTATTTAGAGTTAATTCCATAAGTGACATGACAGTCATGGTGACTGAAACTAGGTGAGGTGAGGTGAGGTGACGACGTACATGCGTGTGTATGTGTATGTGCGGCTGCTTGTACTAGCCCAGACTGAAGCTGGTTTAATAGTGCTAGCCCACTGAGATACCATGCCGCAGTGAAGCATGAATACCCCACTCAGACACATTATACTGACTCCGAGTCGACCAGTCCTTGTTGTACCCATTTATGCCAAGCACCAGTCAGGGAGACTGAAACTAAAAAAAGGTTGCATTTGATCAACAACTGTGGTGTGTGTGGTCTTGTGCATAGACTTTGGCAGCTTGACTCCTGAGAGTTTCTAGGACTTCTGTCCTGCACCACAACGAAGCATGTATGTGGCAAGTGAGTTTGTTCAAAATTGCCTCTATTCACCCAGCAGAAAAAGGGTACCCGGTGGGATAAGTCATGTGACTATTAACCTTGTAGTGCCTCAAAGGGGTAATAATGTCCGTCATCTTGTATGCGCGTAGAGCATGCCTGTGTGGCGTGGAGTTCAGCGCTGTGTAAGTTATTATTATTACTCAAAAAAAGGGAATGGAACTTGTGCAGTGTGGTACTGAATTTTAAGGGTGGTGGCAAGTCCTCTATGTGGTAACATCTGACAAAACACACTTGAAGGTTTAACATGGAAGTTTATGTCCAATACTTTTGTTTTAGTTCAGACACACCCTTGCATAATTGCACCAATTCTTAATAATGTAACACAAAGTCTTATGTGAGTGAGTGAGTGAGTTTAGTTTTACGCTGCACACAGCAACATTCCAGCTATATGGCAGCGGTCTATAAATAATCCAGTCTGGACCAGACAATCCAGTGATCAACAACATGAGCACCGGTCTAAGCAATTAGGACGACATGTGTCAACCAAGTCAGCGAGCCTGACCACCCGATCCCGTTAGTCGCCTATAACGATAAGCATGTGTTACTGAAGACCAATTCTAACCTGGACCTTCACAGTTATATAAGCAAAAAAACAACATTGAATTAGAATGTTATTCAGTACTGATGTGTAAAACCCATAACTCACTCACTCACTGATTGTTCAGATGTCAGCCAGAGGAAGTGTCCATTTCGGAGCCAGTGGTGTTCCGTGACGTCCGCTGCGGCAACGATGGAACTATGCTTCTGTCCGACGTCGGCAGTGTGTTTGCCTGCGGAAGTAATGAGAACAATAAGTTGGTTTTTCCTTATCCTGACTCATGCTCTTTTGCTTGTCTTCTTCTTCTTGCGAACATAGTGGAACACTTGTATCTCCCTAATTGAAGCTCCCTTCAATGTAAAATCACTAATTAGTACACCACGAGTTACCTCCCTTCCACAAGCGGAGGAGAGAGCCACCCTCTACCCATGTGCCTCACTCTCTCCTTCTTAGCCCAGTGAGCTGGGCGTGAGAGCGCCTGTGTCTCCGACACACTATATCCTTGGATTATATTTAGTTAGTTACCTCGTATAGACATCTATAGAGGTTTAGCTAGTATCCTTCAACAATTATATATTGATATTTAGTAGAGTGTTTCTACTGTTTATTCACGGGGCGCCATGTTTGTTCTGTGGATTACGTTGATGAAAATTCTGTACTGTTGCAGATTCGTTTTTATTCTGCTGCTGATCGCATTTAATATGCCCTAGCTGTACTGCGCCATGTTCATTTTATTCCGCGTGGCAGTTCGCGGTACTAATTTATCAATTCTGCCTTTAATAAATAAATACTTTATGTTTGAGGCAGCGCAGCAGATGGAGTCGCGTATGCAGAGTCTAGCCATGACTGATACACCTGAACCCTCGCCAGTCTACTGCTGTTGGTCGACCCCCTCCCGTCTGGTATTCGCTAGAGTGGTGGAGGCGTGGGGCGTAGTCCGCCGCCTCAAGAAGCGTCCTGCTTCCCCAGACATCCCATCGTCGCGGCCGAAGACTAGAGGGCTTCTACTGCATCTCAGCGCCAGACTTCACACCCCAGGGCAGCGTCGACCTCTGAGGGAAATCAGCGAAGTCTACTAGAACTTTCTCAGCCGAGATTGTTCCGTCGCAGAATTTGGGCCTGTATGATGATCAGCCGATCATCATACCTGATAATACATCAAAGAATGACCGATGTCGGCAACAGTGATGTCAGCGCAGATCAACATGCAGCCTGATGTACTAGCGCTGATATTCGATGATCTTCCTGAGGGTCCGTCGCTACCAACACTCAGCGCGGACTTAGCACCCCAGGGCGGCGTCGACCTCTGAGGAAATCAGCGAAGTCTACTAGGACTTTCTCAGCGAGATTGTTCCAGCCGCTGAACTGGGCCTCTCGATGATCAACCGATCATCATCCCGGCGTCGCATACAAGAAGCGACCAGTGACATCAGCAGAGATAAGCCATGCAGCCTGATGTCTCTACACTGATGTCAGGCGACTTCCCTGAGGGCTCAGCAGCTGTCGCCAGCAGAGAGGGCACCGACCGCCGTCGCCAGACCATCCCAGGCGAGCTGTTGCGGCAGATCATGACCATGATGGAGGGCCACTACAGGCGGGGAGAAGCAGCCAGCCCAGGGCCTGAGCAGCGCCAGACAACACCCAGAGGCACCCCAGTCAGCGTGGCAGCCACGCGAAGAAGCAGCCGAGAAGGAAGTCACAGACCACCTCGGCGAAGGACCCAGATGTACAGTCTTCGCGAAGGCTTTCAGCGAAGAGCGGGGAGATCGTCACCGTCCTCGGCCTCATCCTCAGATGCGGACTCAAGGTCATCCATAGGCGCCAGATCACCTAGGCGATCTCCGCCCGTTCACCACGGCGATCTCCCGTACATCACCGCGTCGATCACCTCGCGGGTCACCACAAAGTCGGCAGCGTCACCCGACATAGAGATAGCAGCACACAGGTCACCATCAGAAGAGCATCAACCTCTCATCACCCGATGCTGGTACAGAAGATGATGGAGACATCATCTTCTCAGGCGCTGAGATAAGATATTGGATGGTAAACAACCTAGATTTATCTTCACCGTCCAAGAGTGGCAACTCAGCGCAGACATACCTGATGAAGGAAGGCGATGTAGGCGTCGTCACCCTACCTCCGATCGACCCGATTGCTGCGGTGCCACAGAATGTGGACACAGCCTACCATAAAGGCATGTAAGTTCAAGCGCCAGGCGTATGTTCTTTGGCCTTAATAGATCTAGAGCGATCAATGAGATTCTTATCACCAGATTTGGTGACCACGACTTCTGAAGATGATAGGATGATCTACTTCGGCTCTACTTATGCAGAACCAGCAAGAACCACACCCTGTATGAAGCTAGCGGCTCATATATTGATGGGACTCTAGACGCCCGATAAGGAAGTCCCAGGCGCCTCAGCGAAGGAACTAGAGCCTCACCAGTTACAAGGGGCGTCCGCGGAGGGTAAGCGCCGCCGACCCACATCCTGTTGAACACAGAGGTGGTTCCGCGAAGCAAGCATGAGTCAGGATAAGTATAAAATATCAATTTTTACTCTAAAAATTACATATATATATACTGATCGGGCTCTGACTCGATACCAACCAGCGAAGGTCGCGAAGGCTAAGTGGCTCAAGTCTGCTTCACCCAGAAGATCTAGAAGGGATACTTGAGAGCCGTGAAGTCTCGGCGTTCACCGAGGAAGTATCCTCAAGGTCTCCATATACTAGCCACTTTCGTCATATATAGCTACTTTCGTCAGTCCGTTCAAGACATCGCATAAAGTGTCTATCAACTGTATGCCATATGCGATCTATAAGCCTCGCGAAGACAATTGCACAGGCTATTTACAACACAGAGCGTAAGCTATATTAATTAGTCAGCGGCGTTTCATAGATATTCACAGAAATCAACTTTCCGTATAGATTGCTAGAATATGCTATCCCACACTACGATCACGATTATCTACATGCGTGACCATTCGCAGATCTGCGAACAATTCAATATCGAAATTGAACAGCAACCTGTTACAGCGAGTATAACTCATAATGTCGTCAGCGTTTCTGAGAAGTAATATGTACAACAAGTTCAGCTTTAATTCTACAATTATGGCGATACATTCATGTATACAGTCTACAAGCTGACAACTTGCAAGTTTATTTGTACCTTTATATAAGGAAGTCGAATTATATTCAAAACTGAAGTTACTTTCCGACGACCAGGAAAATAACCTACCCAGCATTAATATTACAGGCGAGGTATTTGGCGGCGGAGTTTGTAGCGTTTACCATTAACCCTCGAAACCGTGGTCACTTTCGGGTAACCCGGGAAAGCTACGGTGAAGACCGGCGATTATGCTAATATAAGCGGCGGCAAGATTTTATACAAGGTTTTTCCTGCTACACGGTGACATCACTGGCGGGTATTCTACAGAATCAAAATGCCTTGTTCTGATTGGACGCGATGGACAGCGACCTCGCATGAGAGGTCGGTCTTAGTTCACAGTTCAAGACTCGCGTTACAAGTGACAACTATATATCAGTGAGCGAGCAAGCCTCCTTACAGTCCAGTTAATCTGAACCTTCATGATTGGGCTGCTTTCTTCAGGTTAGAGACCTCCCTGTCAAGTTAGGGCGAGGGGCACGGCAGTCAGGCGATTTTACATAAAGTTCAGCGAGGACAGACACACCTGGTTGTGCACCTACATCGTCAAAGGACTTAGGCGAATTTACCTAGGCGGCGGAATACAAGTGGATCTAAATCCACAGCGTCTCAGTCTACAACTGAATTTCATCATCAAACTACTAACACAACTAGATGGTGAGTAAACCTACTTAAGCTTTCTGATTGGAGGATTAAAGCGGAAGTTTCAGCGCTCAACCGGGATCTGTATATAGTGCTCCAACACCTCACAAGTGAGGTTTATGAACAACGCCTGGATGACATACTTGGACTTCATGATCACGATGATTCTATCACGATGGCCAGCAAGAGCACTGTAAATTTATCTCCACCGAACCAAACAGGGAGGAAAAATGCATCAGATTATTTCCTCTATATTCAAGTTCATGAGACTGAAGTCTCATGTACTACCATCTCCTTGGATCAGAACTGTCATACTATGTGCCTACAAGACTGATGGACCCGATCCGACCCTCCATGAGCTTCTAATACTCATGATATTAGGCTAACTTCTACAATTGATCTACACAAATGTTATTTGAAATTATGGAGGGTTATTTCTGGAGATCCGATATGGTGGTTGCCAACCATTATCTGAGAGATATCACCGTCAAGGGCGTCTCAGGTATCCACCAATTAGGTTCCAGGGTCCTCGCACAACAGTTGACAGTTCCTCGGGAGAAGATAAGTCAATCTTACAGATTTCTACTTATCTTATAACAGTACTAAATAGCTACATGCTATATATAATTTGCTTAAGTTCTTTTTATCATCACAGTACTATGATTATTACATCATACAATATATAAGTTAACAACTCTACAGAGTTTGTTATTATATATTTACCTTAAGTTAATCATATCTTAAAGCGTAGTACTATGGTTGCATTATAAATGCATTAGCTAATAAACTCTACAGAGTTTTGGCTATTATATCACGTAGCTTAAGTTAATTATATCTTAAGCATAGTACTATACACATATTATAAAAATATATTAGCTTACAAACTCTCACGAGGTTTTGCTATTATATAGGTAGCTTAAGCTTATTCATATCTTAAGCTCAGTACTATGTTTATATCATATAAGTATATTAGCTAACAAACTCTAAAGAGTTTTTTGCTAATTGGCTTAAGTTTCATCATATCTTAAGCATTATGGTTACATTATAACATGTATTAGCTAACAAACTCTACGGGTTTTGCTATTATATATGTAACTTAAGCTTATTCATATCTTAAAGCGCAGTACTATGTTTATATCATATAGGTATATTAGCTATCAAACTCTAAAGAGTTTTGCTATTATATATTTGGCTTAAGTTTCATCATATTTTAAGCTTTATGGTTACATTATAACATGTATTAGCTAACAAACTCTACGAGAGTTTTGCTATTATATATGTAACTTAAGTTTCCTTCATACTTAATTATGTTTATATCATATAGGTATATTAGCTAACTCAGTTTTGCTATTATATATTTGGCTCATCATATTTTAAGCTTTATGGTTTTAGCTAACAAACTCTCTGAGGGTTTTGCTATATATGTAGCTTAAGGTTTTCCTTCATATCTTAAGCTCAATACTAGGTTTATATCATATAAGTATATTAGCTAACAAAACTCTAAAAGGTTTTTGCTATTATATATTTAGCTTAAGTTCATCATATCTTAAGCAGTATGGTTACATTATAAAATGTATTAGCTAACAAACTCTCACAGGAGTTTTGCTTTTATATATATAGCTTAAGTTTAATCATATCTTAAGCTCAGTACTATGTTTTTTAACATAAAAAGTATATTAGTTAAAAAACTCTAAGGAGTTTTTTTTGCTATATACATTTAGCTTAAGTCTAATCATATCTTAAGCTTAATACTATGGTTACAATATAAGTCTATTAGCTAATAAACTCTACAGAGGTTTTGGCTATTGTATATGTAGCTTAAGTTAATTATATCTTAAGCACAGTACTATACTCATATTGTAAAAATATATTAGCTAACAAACTCTACAGAGTTTGCTATTATATATGTAGCTAAAGCTTATTCATATCTTAAGCTCAGCACTATGTTTATATCATATAAGTATATTAGCTAACAAACTCTAAAGAGTTTTGCTATTATATAATTAGCTTAAGTTTAAGCATATCTTAAGCTTAGTACTATGTTTATATCTTAAAGTAATTTAGCTAACAAACTCTAAGGAGTTTATACTAGCAATTTAACAAGCTTAAGTCTATTAGTCTTAAGCATTGTATTAATGTTATATATACTTTATCATAATAAGTACATTGTAATAAGTACATTGTAATAACCTTTATATGGCAGCTGATAAGTTAGCAGCAGGAATTCATCAGTTCAGTGCCTTTATGAAGTTCCCATAGGGTTATTACAATCATCACAGTTCAAATCACTAATTATTAAAATCCAAAGTATTATATATTCCACCTCCTTTTTCGTAGGATTCTACAAACAAAAGAGCATGAGTCAGGATAAGGAAAAATATGTAATTTTTAGAGTAAAATTGATATTTTATACTTATCCTGACTCATGTAATGCTCTCCTCCCATCCTCCCACATAACACTTTGGATTTCCCTGTAAATTCAAATGTTGGGCTCAGTATATGAGGAGAGAGTGAGGCACATGGGTGGAGGTGAAGCCCTCGTTCAGCTTGTGGAAGGGAGGTAGCTTCGTGTGTACTAATTAGTGATTTTACATTGAAGGGAGCTTCAATTAGGGAGATACAAGTGTTCCACTATGTTAGCAAGAAGAAGAAGACAAGCAAAAAGAGCATGAGTCAGGATAAGTATAAAATATCAATTTTACTCTAAAAATTACATAGGCTGTGACTGTGAGGATGTCATCCTGTTGCATTTCCATGGCAACAAGTTAGGCTTCAACTGAATTTGGTGGTAGTGCTCCAGATAACCTTTCAATACTCTCCTTCCTCTTTGCTGTATACACTCCAAAACATTTGACATAATCATAACTGGTAGACATATTCATAAAGAGTATTTTGCCTTTGCCGGGGATATTGATGACTTTGTTTTCTTGTTGTTCTCGTGTCAGTGACCTCGACCATCAGTGACAGTCCTTGTATGATATATTATCTTACCTTCATGTAAAATACTTTAATTTCATTGGTCAATGATGCTTTAACAAGTTTCCATGTCACCCCTCCCAGGAGGGTGACAACTTGAAAACATATTACCGGCTGCCACCGTAACCACCGAAAAGCTGAATGGCTAACAATCATGTGACTTCATAATGATGCATGCAGTGCATGGAGTTCGAAAGCCTTTGGATTAGCTGTTTTTCAGTTCACGATGTACACATTTATTTTACAGACTTTCACTGCTTTATTTAAACTATTTTATACATTGAATCATTTGCGCATTCAACTAACACATAATAAACATTTTTATAGCAGTTTTAAGCTTGTCAGAATATGTTTCACTGATTTTAAATATCATGTCGAGAGGCAGACGCCATTTTGTTTATATGTCATATAGTCGGTAGCGATCTTCAAAATGAAATAAAATGATATTATTTAACATAATGGTAAGATAAATATGTTGTAAACTTCTCCCTCAGGTTATTCCGGCTCGGGTAACATTGCTACAAAAAGGCATTACTACCCTCAAGAGAAGCATACAACTTATAAACTGAATGTGTCTTTAGTGGGGGCAGTGGGGTAGCCTAGTGGTTAAAGCGTTGGCTCATCACACCCAAGACCCAGGTTCGAATCCCCACATGGGTACAATGTGTGAAACCCATTTCTGGTGTCCCCCGCCGTGATGTTGCTGGAATATTGCTAAAAGCGGCGTAAAACCAAACTCAGTCAGTGTCTTTAGTGGTGTTCTCCACAGTTTACAGTGATTATCAAGCAAAATTCTATTGCAGAGTGAAGTGTAGCAAAGATAGTTCAATGACAGGGATGATCTGAATTGGTACAGGAACTTTGTTTTTATTCTGTTTCAGACGGAGGTTGAAGGTCGAAATGTTTTGACCCCGGTGAGGGCGTTGGCACGACACCGCGTCCTTGACATCTCTATCGGCCCGCACCACACTGCCGTGCGTGTAGCATCTGGTCACGTGTACACGTTCGGGCGCAACACCGAGGGTCAGCTGGGTGTGGGGAACACCAAGGCATCGAACACCCCAGTAGAGGTCAAACCCCTGCAGGACAAGTGTGTCAATGTAAGGAAACGAAAAGACTCACCTCATATCAGAAAATGTGTAGGAGATACATAAATCGGTTCAAGTTGAAATGCTATATTTTTTCTGGGTGAATTTGTTTTATACAGTTGAGCTCTGTTGTCTCGATATTCATGGGACCAAGAATATCCGAAAAGTTATCCGAACTTAGAGACATCCAACCAGGTCATATCATCACATATCACTATGAAAGAAAACAAAACACACCTCAGTATGTTTTAATTCGAAACTATAATCCATTATCAGTAGTGTTTAGTTGTAACAGTGAGTAATCCTAATTAAATACCAAACAAGTAACACTTTCAACTCAATTAGCCTTAATTAGTTTACACTACCGCATCCCTTTGATTTCATGCTGCACCATGTGTAAACATATGGAAACAACCTCAATCCACAGGGATACTTGCCCCTGAAAGGCAGGTGAATATCAAGTTTCTTTGCAAACAACGAGTTGAAAGGGTCATTTTGCTTGTTGGGACCATGAAATTATATCGAGATATCCGAAATATCGAGACATCCGTATCGAGTTAAAAGAGCTTGAATAATTATAAATTATGAAGGATTTTGCTGGGACCAAAATGTATATCGAGACAACCGAGATATCAATTTATCAGAGTTCGACACAATGGTGCTCGACTGTATGTTTAATGGATTTGTTAAGGATTGCAGACTGGTGGAAGAGTAACTTCTTTGAGAGGCAGGGCGGTGGGGTAGCCTAATGGTTCAAGCGTTTGGCTCGTCACGCCGAAGACCCGGGTTCGAATCCCCACATGGGCACAATGTGTGAAGCCCATTTCTGGTGTCCCCCTCAGTGATGTTGCTGGAATATTGCTAAAAGCGGCGTAAAACCAAACTCAGTCAGTCAGTCAGTCTACAGAGGTAGGGGCGGTGGGTAGCCTAATGGTTAAAGCATTGGCTCATCACGCGAAGACCCGGGTTCGAATCCCCACATGGGCACAATGTGTGAAGCCCATTTCTGGTGTCCCCCGCCCTGATATTGCTGGAATATTGCTAAAAGCGGCGTAAAACCAAAACTCAGTCAGTCAGTCTTTGAGAGGCATTTAGTTTAGAAGTTTAACAAGGGAGATAGTTGAGGGAGAAACTTTTTTCAGTGTAGCTGCCGACACTGTTATCACTTGTTTAGTCTGGGCAGCTGGGTAGCCCAGTGGTTAAAGCTCTCTGCCCTCTAGCTCATACGACAAAAACCCAGGTTCTATTCCCCACATGGGTACAAAGTGTGAAACCAGTGTCTGGTGTCCCCGCTGTGATATTGCTGGAGTATTGATAAAAGCAGAGTGAAACCATACTCACTCACTCACGAGCTGCCAGATCCATCTCCCTCTGGGAAGAGTGTTCAGTGTCATGATGCCAATGGTCAGGCTGTTTCTATATGTACTGGGGCGGTGGGGTAGCCTAGTGGTTAAAGTGTTGGCTCGTAACGCCGAAGACCCGGGTTCGAATCCCACATGGGTACAGTGTGTGAAGCCCATTTCTGGTGTCCCCCTGCCGTGATATTGCTGGAATATTGCTAAAAGCGGCGTAAAACTAAACTCACTCACTTATACTGTCGTGTTACAGCGTATCCAGTGTGGGGAACACTTCACGGTGGCCAGTACCCGCGACCACGAGCTGTACTACTGGGGGCTGAGGTTCAAGATGCCGTCCCAGCATGCAGTAGAGGACAACACCAGTCGGTCCAGCACCAACGGCAGCATCACCAACGTCTCCTCCAGTGTCATCTCCAAGGACGACATTCGGCTAGAGAGTATCACACCAAGAAAAGCCTCGGCCACCAACTCGCGGACACACAGCTCAGCCAGCGTCACCAGCCTCAACAGCGGGAAGGAGCAACAGACAATGGCCAGTCAAGATGGTGAGTTGTTTGGGCCAGTAACCTTTGTCATTATTTGAATTTAGCTCTCCTCAGTTTGGAGATAAACATATATACACAGATTAAGATTACTGTGTGTATGTATCTTGTAAACAGAGCCGGAAATAACAATCAGCTGTTCACACATTCACTCATGATCTATTAAAGAAATACAGTTCGCCCTACCACCATGTATAGTGTAATAAAACACACTTTTGCCCTGAACTATTATAGTTAAAACACGAGTACGCTTGCGTCCGAAAGTGCTTTTAACGTTATAATAGTTCAGGCTTAAAGTGTGTTTTATTACACTATACATGGTGGTAGGGCTAACTGTATTTCTTTCTAAGATGCCAAATTTAATACTTTCTAAAGATAATTACAATTAATTTAAGGCAGAAAACAAACGACGGTGTAGGTGACCTAAATTAAGAATCCTCCCACAGGGCTAACTGGCGCTGGGCTGTTCTATTGATGTGTCTGCCCCCCTACCTTAAGACCGAACGTTACCAGAAAAACAAATGATAACAGTTTGATGACGGTTTACGTTCGGATTAAATATCTTCTCTGAATTATTTTAATTACATCTGTCATTAACGTAAACCATATGGGGCAATATGAGCGTTGCATTTCTACTACCAGCGTAAGTTTAGATCAGTACATCCAGAGGAAGTTGAGTAGTCAAGCGACATTCCACAATTGCATTGTGGGAATGTAAACATTACTTAAGCGCTACCGTGTCGCTGAAAACTTGTGAGTCGAAATGACACATTTTAACCGTTGTAAAACATAAGCGTAATGTTTCCACCAGTGATGTTAGCTGTGTGAAGCAACAGCAAACCAAGAAACTGGATGCAACGGTGTAGTTTACTGTAGGAGGCCGTATGAGGCGATGACAACTGACATGCATCGTGATGTTGCTTACATTGTGACGTAATGTAAAATGGTTCGATTACGAGGGGGCACACTAGAATGGCTGAGTGACGGGATAACGTCATTCAATTGTTACTTCATCAAAAAACTATACCTTTATTGTCTGATAATGTTTGTTTTTTTCGATTGTTCTAACCGCTAGGCATCTTAGAATAGTGATTAGTCAAAACATACCCATTAATATACTAACGGACAAAAAGGAACTGTGCATTACAATACATTACATAAATAAAAGTTATTTAAGAACTTATAACAATAACCCTAAGGGACCGTTCATAATTTATGGCTAGGGGGGTGGTAATGATTTTTATGGAGAAGCATTTACAATGTAAATGACACCACCACCCCCAAATTTATGTACAAAATAGTGACACCCCCCCAACCCCCCTTGCATGCCATGTACAAAATCAATACACCCACTGTCGATATAAGCAACCTTGATATATGCAGTTTTGGCCATTTTAATGTTTCCTCTCTGCTGTAGCTGGTGTTGCTGGTGCTGATGCTGATGCTGTGAAGGTCGGAGAAGACGACGTACCAATGTCACCACGTCGACAGATAAGTTGTGACAGCGTCATGTCTGCCGCTAATGACAGCGGAGTGCCCACAACACCCCAGGAAGAGTTCAACCCAGGCTTCAGACCTCTGAGTAAGTTCATACAAGCACCACGTAGCAACTTCAGAAAATAACTGTCATAACTCAGGGTCTCGACCTTACACTTCTGTTACCATGGTTACGTGCAGTGTTTAGTTTCCTCAGGTACATCTCATGGTCACAGGAGTGGTGGGGTAGCCAAGTGGTTAGAGTGTTCACTTGTCACACCGAAGACCCGGGTTGATTCCCACATTGGTACAATGTGTGAAGCCCATTTCTGGTGTTCCCTGTCATGATATTAGCGAAATATTGCTAAAAGCAGCATAAAACCATACTCCCTCACTAACTCACTGAAAAAGTTGATGCCAGCACCACAAGAAGTATGACTGTCAGCACTCTTTACCTTGAAATAATGTTGCTTTCAGTGCTTAGATCACTTTGTTGAATGTGTCCCCAGATACATCTCAGCCAAAGTTGTTTCAGTGACTCAGTGGTGTAAGAGTTACTTCCCCTTGAGAAACGTGTTGGAATCTTAATTTAACCTGATAATATTTGTAGGTATGTTAGCATTGTCTCTGTTATCAGAGAGCTAAGTATCTATAAACATGGGGTTGGCATACCACGTCTGAGTGGTTAAGGCCTGACCAATTTTTTTCTTGTTTTACAGATTTTTGTCCTTAGAAAACCTAAAGGCAGGAGGGAAAAAAAATAAAAAATAAATCCTAAAAGTATTATTTTTCCTTATCCTGACTCATGCTCTTTTTGCTTGTCTTCTTCTTCTTGCTAACATAGTGGAACACTTGTATCTCCCTAATTGAAGCTCCCTTCAATTTAAAATCACTAATTAGTATTCACCACGACAGCTGCCTCCTTTCCACATGCTGAACGAGCGAGGAAGCCCTCCCTCACCCATGTGCCTCACTCTCTCCTTCTTCGCCCAGTGAGCTGGACGTGAGTCGCCTGTGTCTCCGACACACTATATCCTTTGATTATATTTAGTTAGTTACCTCGCATAGACATCTATAGAGGTTTAGCTAGTATCCTTCAACGATTATATATTGATATTTAGTCGTTTTTTACAGTTTATTCACGGGGACGTGCATTTGTTTCCAGTGGATGCGTTGATGAAAATTCTGTACTATTGCAGATTACGCTTTTTATGCTGCTGCTGATCCACCTTTAATATGATGTACCGGCCATGTTTATTATATTCACATTGCAGTTGCGGTTACTAATTTATCAATTCTACCTCTTTATTAATATTTACTTTGGCGCTTAAGTAACGCATTGCAGATAGTTCATTAATGCAGAGTCTAGACTGAGGGCACGGAACCCCTCAGCCAGTCTACTGCTGTTGGCCTAACTCCTCCCGATGTGGTGTTCGCTAGAGTGGTGGAGAGGTGTGGCGTGAGTCCGCCATCTCCAAGCAAGCATTCTGTTTCAGACATCCCATCGTCGCGGCAGAAGACTAGAGGGTTTTCTTTACTACATCTCAACAACCGGCGACCGCTCCTGAAGTGCTTGGCCTGTATGATGATCAACCCGGTCATCATACCCGGATGTACATCAAAGATTGACCGATGTCGCACAGATCAGCATGCAGCCTGATGTAACAACGAGATATGCGATGATCGGGGTCCTGAGGGTCCCATCATTACCAACACTCACGCAGACGCCGCGACACCCAGGGCAGCTGCCGACTTCTGAGGGAAAATCAACGGTTCGGACTAGGACTTTTCAACCAGATTGTTCCAGCCGATGACCTGACCTCTACGACATGATCAGCTGATCATCACACCGACGACGCCACAAGAAATCGACGGGGACAGCTACAACGACATTATCAGCAGAGATCACCATGCAGCCTGATGCCTCTACACTGATGTCGACGATTTTCCGTGGACCTCCATTAACACCGCCAGATAAAGCACCCGGATCGCATTCTCGTCGCGGAGACCATCCCAGAAGACATGATGCGACAAATTATGAACATCATGGAGGACCAACTATCTGCGGTAGCAGGAGTCCAGCAACAGCGCTAGGCTCCAACGTGAACAGCACCCCAGAGGCACCCCTCAATAACGTAGCAGCCAGGGACGATGTCACCTTCGAAGGAAGTCAATGACCACCTTGACTTCGAGGACCTCCAGATGTACCGCAGCCCTTGAAGGCCTTCGGCTACGAAAGGACCTAGATGTACAGCTTCGCTGGCTACGGAAAGAACCTAAATACAGCCTTCGCTGCATGACTTGTGGCGAAGGCAGAGATCATCACCTTTATGCGTTTCATCCCCAGATGGACTGGACCATCAGACATCACGGGCGAAGCCTTCGCGAAGGTCATATCGCCGTTCCCAGAGGAAGCTTCGGCCAAGGCATGCGCGAAGCGACACCTGAATCCAGATCATCATCATCTAGAAGCGAGCATCGAGGGACTATACAAAGAGCTTTCGCCAAACTATCAACGTTCCCTCACTAAAGTCCTCGAAGAAGATCAACCCATAGACAAGTTGATCATGTCGACATCAAGCATAAGAACTACAATCGTGATATTGGTTCTGTTGAATCCATGACGAGACATTATGTTCGCTGGCCTAAATAGATCTAGAACGATCACTTGGAGACACTTATCACCAGACTTGTGAACACTCGACTTCTGAATATGATAAAAGATGATCCATGCGCCATGCTAGGCAAGCGCCGCATCCCACATCCTGTTAAACACAGAGGCTGTTCCATGAAACAAAGCTCCGCCATATATATTTATATATATATATATATATATACTAATCGGGCTTTGACTTCGACACCTTCGCGATGGTGGCTCGAAGGCTAAGTGGCTCCAAGTCTACTTCACCCAGAAGATCTAGAAGGGATACTGAGAACTTCATGAAGTCTCCTCGCGTTCACCGAGTGAAGTCTCCTCCAAGGTTTCCATATACTAGCCACTGGCGAATATAGCTACTTTCGTCAGTCCGTTCAAGACGTTTCGCGATAAGTTGATTATCAACTGTATGCCAGATGCCGATCTATAAGCCTACGCCGAAGATAATTGCTCAGGCTATTTACAACACAGAACGTCAGCTGTATTATTAGTCAGCGACATTTCATAGATCTTCACAGAAATCAACTATTCGGTATAAATTGCTATCAACAATCTCGACGACGATACGATTATCTATCATATGTGACCATTACGCATATCTACAGACAATTCAATATCGAAATTGAACAGCAGCCTTGTTACAGCCAGTATAACTCTTAATCGCCAAAGTTTCTGAGAAGAAATATGTACAACAAGTTCAACGTTAATTCTACAATTATGACGATACATTCATGTATACAGTCTACAAGCTCACAACTTGTAAAAGTTGTTTATACCCTTATATATAAGGAAGTCGGAATATATTCAAAACTGAAATTACTTTCACGACAACCAGGAAAATAACCTACCCAGCATAAAATTACAGAGCCTAGATATTTCGCTACCGGAGGTTTCACAAGCGGTTACCATTAACCCTCGAAACACGCGTCACCGGATAACTGGAAGCTACGGTGAAGACCGACGCTTATGCTAATATCAACGCAGCGTACAAGAATTTATTCAAGGTGGGTTTTTCCGCTACACCGTGACATCACAGCGGGTATTATACAGAATCAAAATGCCTTTGTTCTGATTGGACCATGAGGGACACCCACTCTACACAGAGGTCGATCTCTATTCACAGTTCAAGACTTACGCCAAGTGACAACTATATTTCAGTGAACGAGCAAGCCTCATTACAGTCCAGTTAACCTGAACATTCATGATTAGACTGCCTTTCTTCAAGATAGAGACCTCCCCCTGTCAAGTTAAGACGAGGGATCGGCAGTCAGGCGATTTTACATAAAGTTCAACGAGGACAGACACACCTGGTTTTGTGCACCTACATCGTCCAAGGACTGAAATGAGCTTAATTACCTAGACGAAGATACAAGTGGATCTAAATCCACAGCGTTTCAGACTACAGCTGAATTTCATCAAGTTTAATTAACACAACTAGATGGTTAGTAAACCTACTAAACTTCTGTTTGGAGAATAAACGGAAATTTCACTTGCCAACCTGGGGATATGAATATATAGTGTTCAACACCTCACAAGTGAGGTTTATGAACACGCCTGGATGACATACTTGGACCCCATGATACGATGATTCTATCAAGATGGCCAGCAAGAGCACTGTAAATTTATCTCCACTCAAACCAAACAGGAGTAAAAATGCAACAGATTATTTCCCGTATCATCAACTTCACGCAGAGAGAAGTCTCATGTACTATATCTCCATTTGGATCAGAACTGTCATACTACGCGTGCATAAAGGATGGACCTATTCCGAACCCTCCATGAGCTTAATACTCATGATATTATAGCTTAACTTCTACAATTGTTCCACACATATGTGATTGAAATATTGGAGGGTTTATTTCTGGAGATCCGATATGGTGGTTGCAAACCATTATCTGAGAGATATCACCACCGAGGACGCCTCAGGTATACACCAATTCGATCCCATGGTCCTCAGCACAACAGCTGACAGTTCTTCGGAGAAGATAAGTCAATCTAACAGATTTTTACTTATCTTATAACAATACTAAATAGCTTCATGCTATATATAATTTACTTAAGTTCCTTTTATCATCACAGTACTATGATTATTACATCATACAATATATAAGTTAACAACTCTACAGAGTTTGTTATTATATATATTTACCTTAAGTTATTCATATCTTAAGAGTAATATTATGGTTACATGATAAATGCATCAGCTAACAAACTCTACAGAGTTTTTGGCTATTTTATACATAGCTTAAGTTAATTAAGCTTAACAAACTCTAATGAGTTTTACTATTATATAGGTAACTTAAGCTAATTATACCTTAAGCATAGTACTATACTCATATTATTAAAATATATTGGCTAACAAACTCTAAGGAGTTTTGCTATTATATAGGTAGCTTAAGCTTATTCATATCTTAAGCTTAGTACTATGTTTATATCATATAAGTAGATTAGCTAACAAACTCTAAAGGTTTTTTTGCTATTTGGCTTAAGTATCATCATATTTCTAAGCAATATGGTTATATTATAACATGTATTAGCTAACAAACTCTACAGAGTTTTAGCTATTATATATGTAACTTAAGCTTATTCATATCTTAAGCAGTACTATGTTTATATCATATAGGTATATTAGCTATCAAAACTCTAAAAGAGGGTTTTGCTATTATCTATTTCGCATTTAAGTTTCATCATATTTTAAGCTTTATAGTTACATTATAACATGTATTAGCTAACAAACTCTACTGAGTTCTTGCTATTATATATGTAGCTTAAGTTTTCCTTCATAAGCTCAATACTAGGTTTATATCATAGCTAACAAACTCTAAAGGGTTGTTTTCGGCTATTATACAATTAGCTTAAGTTTTCATCATATCTTAAGCAGTATGGTTACATTATAAAGCAAGATAGCTAACAAAACTCGACGGAGTTTTGTTATTATATATATATAGCTTAAGTTTCATCATAACTTAAGCTCAGTACTATAAGCTTAGCAATTATGGTTACACTATAAACATATTAGCTAATAAACTCTACAGAGTTTTGGCTATTATATATGTAGCTTAAGTTAATAATATCTTAAGCACAATACTATACTCATATTGTAAAATATATTAGCTAACAAACTCACGGAGTTCTGCTATATATATGTTGCTTAAGTTCATTATATCTTAAGCACACTATATACTCATATTGTAAAATATATTAGCTAACAAACTCTACGGAGTTTTGCTATTATATATGTAGCTTAAGTTAATTATATCTTAAGCACACTACTATACTCATATTGTAAAATATATTAGCTAACAAAACCCTACAGAGTTTTGCGCTATATATATGTAGCTTAAGTTAATTATATCTTAAGCTCAGTACTATACTAATATTATAAATATATTAGCTAACAAACTCTACAGAGTTTGGCTATTATATATGTAGCTTAAGTTAATTATAGCTTAAAGCACAGTACTATACTCATATTATAAAAATATATTAGCTAACAAACTCTACAGAGTTTGGCTATTATATATGTAGCTTAAGTTAATTATATGCTTAAGCACGGTACTATACTCATATTATAAAAATATATTAGCTAACAAACTCTACAGAGTTTTGCTATTATATATGTAGCTAAAGCTTATTCATATCTTAAGCTCAGCATTATATCTATATCATATAAGTATATTAACTAACAAACTCTAAAGAGTTTGCTGTTATATAATTAGCTTAAGTTTAATCATATCTTAAGCTTAGTACTATGTTATATCTTAAAGTATTTTAGCTAACAAACTCTAAGGAGTTTATACTAGCATATTAACAAGCTTAAGTCTATTAGTCTTAAGCATTGTATTAATGTTATATATACTTTATCATAATAAGTACATGGTAATAACCTTTTATATGGCAGCTGATAAGTTAGCAGCAGGAATTCATCAATTCAGTGCCTTTATGAAGTTCCCATAGGGTTATTACAATCATCACAGTTCAAATCACTAATTATTAAAAAATCCAAAGTATTAGATATTCCCACCTCCGTTCCGTAGGATGCTACAAGCAAAAAGAGCATGAGTCAGGATAAGGAAAAATATGTAATTTTTGGAGTAAAATTGATATTTTATACTTATCCTGACTCATGCTCTTTTTGCTTGTCTTCTTCTTCTTGCGAACATAGTGGAACACTTGTATCTCCCTAATTGAAGCTCCCTTCAATTTAAAATCACTAATTAGTATTCACCACGAGTTACCTCCTTTCCACAAGCGCGGGAACGAGGGCGCCACCTCTACCCATGTGCCTCACTCTCTCCTCATATACTGAGCCCAACATTTGAATTTACAGGGAAATCCAAAGTGTTATTTGGGGAGGATGGGAGGGCTGACCTCATGAGTCAGGATAAGTATAAAATATCAATTTTACTCCAAAAATTACATTTTACTTTGGGCAATTTATGAAGTGTATATGGGGCAAAACACAATCTAAAAAACACTTTTCTTGTAAATTTACATTTTTGGCCAATAAATCATTAGGATTTTATTTTTGAGTGGGGAAAATTAACTTTCTTATTCTTGAAAAAATACGACCGGCGGGATCCGTAAACCAAGAAATAAATTTGGTGTGGCCTAAACAAGCACTGTAAAACCAGCATCTGTCAATTTTAAGTACAGCTAGCATGTTTGTATGCCACCTTTAGCAATGTTCAGCAAAGTAATTCTGGGGAGCACCAATAAATGGCTTCACTCAGTACTACTTGAACTCATATTGGGAATCAAACCATGATGAGCAAACACTTTAACCACTTTAACGACTAGGCATTCCCCTATGACTGGTACAAACAGACGTGTGAGGATGTTGCTGCTTGAGTGAAATAAACTTGAACACCACATGCACCACAACTCAAATTGAAGCCTCATATTTCCTTTTGTAAGTGAAACTATTAAAAGTTTCCCAAATGGAACTGAAAGGCCATCCTTTGATGAATGGTAAGGTGGTTTTCTGTCCTTGGTGCAGGCAGTGTACCCCGCCGATCAACCAGCGCCAGTAGCCGGGAGAACCTGAAGGAGAAAGACAAGGAGAAGGAGAGAGAGAAGGAGATCATGAGAGACGACTGTGTCGTTCTCCTGGAGCCAGTGGAGATCATCAGGTGGGTTACAGGGATGTGCGTGGGTGTGATATAGTTGGGTGTGGTTACAGGTGGATTTGGCTATAGTTATCTGGGTGGATATGGATAGAAGCGGGTGTACTTGCAGCGATACAGCTGGGTGTGTTTCCAATGACACAGATTGTCAAAGTTACAGTGATACAGATGGGTGTGGTTACAATGACACAGATTGTCAAAGTTACAGTGGTACAGATGGGTGTGGTTACAATGACACAGATTGTCAAAGTTACAGTTGTACAGATGGGTGTAGTTACAGTGATACAGGTGGGTGTGGTTACAGTGATACAGGTGGATGTGGTTTCAGTGATACCGATGGTTTTGGTTAGTCATACATATAGGTGTGGTAACAGTGATACAGGTGGGTGTGGCTACACTGATACAGGTGGGTGTGTTTACAGTGATACAGATGGGTGTGGTTACAGTGATACAGGTGGGTGTGGTACACTGATACAGATGGGTGTGGTTACAGTGATACAGGTGGGTGTGGTGACAGTGATACAGGTGGGTGTGTTTACAGTGATACAGATGGGTGTGGTTACAGTGATACAGATGGGTGTGTTTACAGTGATACAGATGGGTGTGGTTACAGTGATACAGATGGTGTGGTTACAGTGATACAGATGGGTGTGGTTACAGTGATACAGATGGGTGTGGTTACAGTATTGATACAGATGTGGGTGTGGTTACAGTGATACAGATGGGTGTGGTTACAGTGATACAGACGGTGTGGTTACAGTGATACAGGTGGGTGTGGTTACTTGGTGTGGTTACAGTGATACAGTGGGTGTGGTTACAGTGATACAGATTGGCATGGTTACAGTGATACAGGTGGGTGTGGTTACAGTGATACAGGTGGGTGTGGTTACAGTACAGATTGGCATGGTTACAGTGATACATGGGCATGGTTACAGTGATACAGGTGGGTGTGGTTACAGTGGCACAGATTGGCATGGTTACAGTGATACAGGTGGGTGTGGTTACAGTGATACAGGTGGGTGATTTACAGTGATACAGGTTACAGTACAGTGATACAGGTGGGTGTGGTTACAGTGGCACAGATTGGCATGGTTACAGTGATACAGGTGGGTGTGGTTACAGTGATACAGATGGGTGTGGTTACAGTGTTACAGTGATACAGGTGGGTGTGGTTACAGTGATACAGATGGGTGTGGTTACAGGTGGGTGTGGTTACAGTGGCACAGTGTGACATGGTTACAATGATACAGATAGGTGTGGTTACAGTGATACAGGTGGGTGTGGTTACTTGGCACAGATTGGCATGGTTACAGTGATACAGGTGGGTGTGGTTACTTGGCACAGATTGGCATGGTTACAGTGATACAGGTGGGTGTGGTTACAGTGATACAGATGGTGTGGTTACAGTGGCACAGATTGGCATGGTTACAGTGATACAGGTGGGTGTGGTTACAGTGATACAGGTGGGTGTGGTTACCTGGCACAGATTGGCATGGTTACAGTGATACAGGTGGGTGTGGTTACAGTGATACAGATAGTGTGGTTACAGTGATACAGGTGGGTGTGGTTACTTGGCACAGATTGGCATGGTTACAGTGATACAGATGGGTGTGGTTTCACTGATACAGACGGTGGCTATAGAGAATACTACACGAGGTCTCATAACATCTAATTATGGTGTGAAACAAGTGTCCTTACAGATGGTATCTGGTACACTACACCAGACGATTAATGACCACGTGGGTAATAAACAGTGATACAGATGGGTGTGGTTACATTGGCACAGATTGGCAAGGTTACAGTGATACAGATGGGTGTGGTTACACTGATACAGACGGTGGCTATAGAGAATACTACACGAGGTCTCATAACATACGAATTATGCGAAACAAGTGTCCTTCGTATGGTATCTGGTAACTACCCATACGTTGACCACGTGGGTAATAAACAGTGATACAGATGGTGTGGTTACATTGGCACAGATTGGCAAGGTTGCAGTAATATAGATGGGTGTGAGTAGAGCGATACAGATGTTGTGGTTACACTGATACAGATTGGCATGGTTGCAGTGATAGAGATGGGTGTGAGTAGAGTGATACAGATGGGTGTGAGTAGAGTGATACAGATGGGTGTGGTTGTAGTGATACAGATGTCTGTTGTTATGTTGTCTACAGGATAGAGCAGGTGAATGAGAAGGTGTTGCTTGGAAACTTCTTCTGTCACGGGGAGAATCTGTTTGTCCAGCTTGAGACGACAGCACCGCCACCCCGACGGAAGGCACTGAAGAAACGCAGCCTCAGGTGAGTGGGCTCTAAGACATGTAGAACCTCCTGAAGGAAGTGAAACATACTCACCTTGAGTAACTTACAGTGTTACATAATTCCAGAAGTACATGTGCCCTGTCACACTTTATTTGAATGAGTGTGTGAGTGTGTATGGGTTTACACCAATTTCAGCAACATCACGGCAGGAACACCAAATGCCGGCTTCACACATTTGTATCAATGTATCCAAGCGGGAAATCGAACCCAGGTCTTTGTTAAACAAGAAATAAGATTGGTTTGGCAATCAGTAGTGCACTGTCTTCGATTGTATATCTCCATGGCTGAGGTTTTGAGTCCATGAATTCATGAAATGTTTCTTTTGAAATTTTATGAAAGCCAAAGAAATTCTCAAAACATTTTCACTAAGATCAACTGTTTTAATGTCACGTTCACTCATGAAACAGGGCTGTTTTCTCTGACATAGAATAGTTGAATGTTCTCTGTGATACAGACCGTATAGCTGGACTATAGCTGAATGAGGCATTGAACAACAAACTAACGGGACTGAAAGATTGTTATCTTACCTTGATATAAAATACATAATTTCATTGGTCAATGACGCTTTATCAAGTTTCCGTGTCAGCCCCTCCAGAGTTCAAAAACCGTTCGATTAGCTGTTTTTGAATTCATTATGTAGACATTTATTTCACCGACTTTCACTACTTTATTTAAAGTATTTTATACATTGAATCATTTGCACAGTCAACTTAAACACAATTAACCATTCTTATAGACGTTTTAAAATTGTCAGAATATGTTTCACTGATTTTATAAATCCAGTCGAGAGGCATTTTGTTTACATGTCATATAGTCGGTAGCAATCTTCCAAATAAAATAATATGATAATTTGTACATTTAACATGGGGGTAAGATAAATATGATAAACACATAAATATCCCTTGGGTAATTCAGGTAAATATGATAAATAGATAAATATCCCTCGGGTAATACGGTCCGATGTACGCCTCTTTGTAGCAGTGTTATCCCTTGTCTACCGGCTTGGGTGACACTGCTACAAAGGGGCATACATCAGACCATATTACCCTCGAGAGAAGCATACAACGTACATTGATACAGCATTTAATTCAAAACTTTGATTGTAATTCTAAAGTGATATGTGATGCACCAACAGCCTTGTTGACAAAGGGCACTCGTGTGGACAAAAGGGCACTCATGTTAAACAGGAAGCGCTCCAAGAACAAGCCTCAGAGTGAGTCGAGTGACTCCCAGCAACACACAGCCTCCAGCAGGGAGGGCGGGGATGACTACTCCTCCGAGGCCTCCGACTCCAGGGGATCAGTGAGTTGAATTATCTACATCGTTCTCTGCACGGTAATTGGGAAAAAGCATCAGGGAAAAAGAATCAGGGAAAAAGAATCAAGTTTTGAAAAAGGAAATCAATTTTGCTAGGACAAAAAGAATCAGTTCACATGTATTGGTGGAATAATGAACCAATATCATAACCAATATAATCTCTATATATACTGACATGCTTTACTCTTATTATCCCCTGCAACGCGTTTTGCAGGGGGTATTAAAATGGACTCCGTCCGTCCGTCCATCCGTCTGTGCACATTTGTCTTTTCCGGAGCAGAACTCTAAAACCGTTCAATATTGCTTCACCAAACTTGGCACATACATGGATCTGGTGGTGTACTGGTGCCTTTTGGTAGTTTTGGAATTCTGAATTAAATATTTTTGGCGTTTCCATGGCAACAAGTTCGACTTTGACTGAAATTGGTGGTAGTGCTCTTTTCAGGAGCAGAACTCTAAAACCGTTCAATATTTCTTCACCAAACTTGGCACATAGATAGATCTGGTGGTGTACTGGTGCCTTTTGGTAGTTTTGGAATTCTGAAATAACAGAGGTTCGTATGAAGATATGACAAGTAACCTCTGTGGAAGAGAATGCAGTATCTCCACATCCATATCAGCATCTACATCCATAACCATCACTATGACCTGTGTCACTGAAAGGAATAACAGTCTTGTATGAACCATGTGATTTTAAGTAGACTTGTATGTTGTCATGGTGACTTGTGTTCCAGATACCAACATGGCTGCGGGAAGAGCTGGTCAGTCTGGAGGTGGACGCCAACGATGGGAACGAGGCAGACGACACAAGCGACCAATCAGAGGATGAGATGAGGCTGGTTGACAGTTCCATGTCCAGCATACAGATCAACAGGGAACTAACCCCTGGTAATTATAATTGTTATAATAACGATGATAATAACAATATCTCGCTTGCATCCCAAGTACACTGTCGTCAGGTTCCCCATTGTTCTTGGTGCCCTTGGTTTGGTACCTCCTGATCTCTTGGCGCAGATCAGGAGAGTGCTTTGGTTCTCCACCGGGAGCACAGCCCTTCTTACACTCTGGATAATGCAGAAGGCTGCAGTGTTGGGGAGTCTACATATTCTCCGGAAAGTTCTTGGTGGGTTCGACAAGGCAGCGTTTCCTGGGAGAAGTCCCATTCGCTGTCTGGGCTGCGTGTAGAGGGGGCAAGGGCCCTGAGCTGATGATGAGCCTTACCAGCCTGACTGTGCCAAAATCACCCGAACCCTCTCTGCTGCATACTAATTTTAATCTGTAAGACACAATAATAACATCTTTTTTTAATACTATTATGGATACAGGGGATTTTCCTCCTTGGTTTTGCAAATGTCAAAGAATACTTCTCCCAAAGAATGGTGACTTGAGTGATCTACAAAAGATAACAAAAGATGCCTTCTGTCTTTGCTCAGTTGTTTATTTGGTGGTGGTTGGTTTAACATGGAGGCTCTTCATGACAGAATATTATTGTGCACTTTTCACAAGGCATTCCACAGTTTGCATAAAGGAGCCAATGTTGATTTTGTTGATGGTTCAATATTGCTCGATGGTACTGGAATGAGTGTCAACCAAGGGAAGTTCAACATCAAATCAAGGAAAAGCGCTCTGAACCACCACTGAGTTCATGTGGAGTGTGTTGCGAAGAGCAACCCTGCTGACCCCTTCCATGGATGAAGTCAGTTGGCCTGAAAAGTGGGCTCTCTGTTGCACAGGACTTCCCAGTGTCTGCTGTAGGAAAAAGCTTTGCGTTCCTAAAACTCATAGCTCTTGGAATCTTGTGCGTGTGTGCACCGCCGTTGCATGCCCGAGTCACAAAGAGGCGAGGTGTCAAGGGGGTTTGTGGGCATAGCCCCCCCCCCTCCTTAATATTTAGAAATTTCCTTGCATTTCAGAGCATTTTATCATCCTTCACAAGACTGACAGAAACTTAATTTATTTTATTTTTTTGTTTCCTTGGGAAAATTTCACACATGATATTTTCTACCCGCATGTTCTGCACACAAAGCAATATGTGTTCTGTGTAATTACACTTCTAAATTACTTCCCTAAATTCTTAAATGTAACAACGCCCATTTTGACATGGTGATGTTACCGAAATTCCCCCGGTTTCTGAATAGCGACCTCGTCAGACGGTGTGCAAAAGTACAAACCGATAATATACAGATCGCCACCATATTGCTGTAATATTGCTGAGTGCGGCGTTAAACACCAATCCAGCCAACCAAATCCTAAGTGACATGAATGTTTGGTTTGTTGCCTTCACCGGCGTCGCTGTTTGGGAGCCTTGACAGCAAGTGGATCATAAGAAAGTCTGTTGTGATAGCAGAGGTATGGCAGTGGAGTAAAAGTGTGAATTGTTTTACAGAAGCTATGTGATTTTTTTTTTCAGTGAAGACTGTTGAAAAGCTGACTCCAAGACTGGGCCTCAGCAACAAGAGATCGGGGGATGAACAGGTGAGTGGTGATGACCTTGACCTTGAAACTAATTTGGAGACCAGAAGGTTCGCTTTCCAGTTGCTGATTGTACTTATATTTACATTACCTGGCACTTGGCATTAAGGGGTAATGTAAGAAATGGTTGGCACCAAGTGAGTGACATTAGCTTGATTGCACAAGGCCTGTCCTCTGTATAATAATCTGTCCTTAATCTGCAGCAAAAAGAATTCCCAGATTTGAATGAGAAACCTTTCCAATTCATGTTCTTTTAGACCCATGAAGATCCAGGTTAGAATTGGTCTTCAGCAACTCATGCTTGTCATTAAAGGTGACTAACGGGATCAGACTCACTGACTTGGTTAACACTTTTCATCATATCCCAGTTGCTTAGACCGCCATATAGCTGGAATATTGCTGAGTAAAATTGCAGCGTAAAACTCAACTCAACTCAACTCAGTTGCTTAGATTGATGCTGGACCAGACAATCCAGTGATCAACAGCATGAGCATTGATCTCCGCGATTGGGAACCGATGACATGTGTCCACCAAGTCAACGAGCCTGACCACCCAATCCTTGTAGTCGCCTCTCACGACAAGCATAGGTTACTGAAGATCAATATTCTAACCCGGCCCTTCATGGGTGGTTGTAGAGAGGGGTGGTGGGGGAACCAACCCGTTCACTCATCACTCAAAAGACTCTGAGTTCAATTCCCCACATGGGTACAATGTGTGAAGCCCATTTCTGGTGTCCCTTGGTGTGATATTGCTGGAATATTGCTGAAAGCGATGTAAAACTAAACTCACTCACTTACTCTGTGAGTCGTAATTCTGTGATAATGTGATGATAGTCACTTTTAAAACTGCATAGGAAGATACAGAGTCAACTGACCCATTTTATAGATGGTGCCCAACATGTGCAGCCATAGTTTAGTGCATTACCACTCAGTATGTCAACACCTCATCAATGTGAGGTTAGGTGAAATTGGGTTTTAACGTCGTATGTGAGAATATTTCGCTCATATGACGACGTGCATGCGTGTGTATGTGTGTGTGCGGCTGCTTGTACTAGCCAAGACTGAAGCTGGTTTTATAGTGCTAGCCCACTGAGATACCATGCCGCAGTGAAGCATGAATACCCCACTCAGACACATTAGACTGACTTCAAGCCGACCAGTCCTTGTTGTACCCATTAATGCCGAGCACCAGGCAGGGAGCAACAAGTACCATATTTTAACGTCTTTTGGTATGACGCAGTCGGGGATCGAACCCAAGACCTTCTGCTCTCCGGGCGGACGCTCTAACCACTACACCACGGAGGGGGTCACCTCATCAATGTACAAAGCTTACTAAAAGTAGTTCCTGTTTAGAATAATATTGTAATATTTATCAGATCTTCACAATAAGTTTATAAGATTGGTGGTATGAAAAAGAAAGCTAGCCATTTTATGATAAAAGATGTTTTTCTAAGTGTCTGAACAGATAAAATCAAATGGATCCACTTGTTTAGATCAAGAGTTGAGATTAGCATGTTCTTTAACAAGAAACATGAATGTTTTGTTTAAAGTGTATTTCCTTACTGATGATGTTCAGACATTGTGTTAATTAACCCACTTTTCACCACGGGGGTGTGGTGGGCGAGCTGTCTGAAGCGCCAGGCTAGTGATCCAGCAAGCTTGGAGGTGCCGGGATCGAGCCCACCTGTGACTGGGCATAAAACCTTGGAGTCAACTTTGTGTGCAGACTCTTTCAGTGTTGTCACAACCCCTAGTGTACAGTACACAACCCTGTGCACTTAAAAGAACCCACGAATCTGTTGGTATATGACCAGATGGTGGCCACATGAATACGTGCCAACACCTAGTTGTGGGTACATCAACGTGCAGTAAACTTGGACAAAGTACTGTGACTATGTGTCCCAGTCCACCCAGCTGTGAATGGGTATCTCGTAGGAAGGAAGAGAAAGCCTCAATAACTCGTTGCGGCAGCAAGAGTTGTATGATCCTCAGGGAGTTGAGATTGATAGTATGATGTTCTGTTGAGATTGACATACCCATGTGATCGAGGGAAAAACAAACTAAGCTTCCCACCGCCCTCGAAAAACAAAGAAGCGCTTTGAGCATGTATGTAGATGGGATGGACTATAGCGCTATAATGTTCACTGTTCGTATATGTTACAGACACCACGGAACAGGACAGCATCCAACAGCACTGAGAGCGTGGATCAGGCACTGGATCACCTGTCTGACAGCAGCTCAAGTGAAGCAACACTAGGAAAGGGGTCAGTCATTGTATAGTATTGAGGGGGCAACCATTATGTTGTATTCTAGGGGCAGTCATTTTGTTTTATTGAAGGAAAAGTATTTGTGTAGTATTCAAGGGACACTCATTTAGTTTTATTGAAGGGACATTCATTTAGTTTTATTGAAGGGACACTCATTTAGTTTTATTGAAGGCACACTCATTTAGTGTTATTGAAGGCACACTCATTTAGTTTTATTGAAGGGACGCTCATTTAGTTTTATTGAAGGGACGCTCATTTAGTTTTATTGAAGGCACGCTCATTTAGTTTTATTGAAGGGACGCTCATTTATTCTTTTTTATATATTCCTCCTTGGGGTACTTATAAGCATTTAAATGTCCATTTAAATTCCCTACGACAGTTGTAACAATATTTGAATAAAATATTTACAAAACAAAAACTACGTTTTGTCTTGTGAGACCACCCTTACAGGGCCTTCCGGCCCCCTACAGCCAAGAGCAGGTAACTCTAGACCGTAACCTCGTACCTCACTTTCCATGCTGTCGTTGTACCGCCAAGACGATGGGTCCATACCAGAAGGTTTTTCCGCTGACTAAGAGAGTTATGGAGTGTTTCAGAAACTGCAACTGTATGTATGGTTCTCTTTTTCCCTGCATGGGCTTAATTGGAGTTTTTTCTGAATTTTTCATTCATAATCTCTGTAACTTGGTACCTGTCATGGGTCGGCTCGCTCAGTGCGTGTCAAGATGGCATGACAGGTCCCTTCGCTTAGCCTTCCTGTTCATTGGTTTCCCATGTGGTTTTCAATGTTACAGGTGGTTTTAGTGGTTTTATTTGTATCTTTGTACGATGTAGGGCGATGTCTACTGCTCGTGATTTTCTATATTGGCGCTTAAAAACGTAATTGTTAGTTATGCTGCAGTGTGTACTAGGTTGTCAACTGCATGCCACGCTTGTCGCATTAGTTGTGTCGCCTACGCGCCTTTTACATGTATTTGTATGTGGGTATAGGGTAGATTGCTGCACAGGTTTTTTACTTGTTGCAGTTTAAACCCTGTACTGCCGTGGCCTTGCTGCAATTCCTGTACGGGATTCCCAATGGTCTGCTTACTTAACATGAGGAAGAGGGGTGTCGCGGCATGTGCCATGTTCTCGCTTAAACCATTGAGGCGCAGGCTTAATAGACACGCTGTTCTACAGCAACCTGCTTCGGGCGGGGTGATCTCTGGGCACAGGATCCCCGGCCAAGCGCTCCCATAGTAAAAAGTGTCCACGGGAGCCGCCCTTCCCACGCCTGAGTCCGGTTCCTCCCAAAAGTAAAGGCGACCAGCATGTGACTGCGTCTTCACGCGCGACTCATGCTCCCTTCTGCATCTCCTACTGCTTCCGGCTCTGTACCGGGCCACCCCCTCTTGATTCAGCACCTGTAAAAGCGCTCCTGTTGATTCGTTAACCGCTTTTTTCCAGGAGCAGATGTCGTCGGTCAAGTCCCTGATTGATCACGGCGTTAGCATGGGTTCCGTGGGGAGCTCAGCGCCCGGTCGTCGGGTACGGAGCTGACACATCTGGGGGTTGGCTCAGCCCGAAGCCGCCGAGAACGCGGCCTGGCTGTGCTTCTGATCCTGGCCGGCTGTGCCCTCCGCGCCTGGGTGGCGACCTGGCTTTATGCGCTTCGGTTCGTCACAGGTGCCTGGTGCCGCGATACAGGTTTGCCCCTGTCATTGCCTGGTGTCCCGACTGGCGGTTAAGCCTCTAGGCGCCGACCAGTTCGGGATACCGGGCGCCTGGCAGCCAGTCTGGGTTGCCGGGGAAGCCTGTTATGCAGGTTCCTCCTCGGGCGACTCGGCGACCTGGCGCCGGGTTCTCCCGCAGGGCGTGCTTTTCCCTGGCTCCTCTTGACCTTATGAGTTTTTTTCTGGTCCTGCCTCTGGCGTCTCTCTCGGCGTTCTCTCAGGAGTCTGAGATTATGGCGCCGAGGATTCTGCCGAGGTCGATATGGAGAGGAGGAAGGGACGGTGGAATCGGAGGCGGGAGTGCCGCACTCCTTTGCCTCGTCCCTCGCGGCAGGTTCGGGGATAAGATCGCCGAAGTCCTGCCATGAGGTGGCTGTTCCCGCCCCGGCACCCGACTCTGGCGGAGTTTCGCCCCGGGAGGCGTCAAGACCTAACGAGGTCGCAGAGGCACGCCTCGCGCATTCTCCCATCACTGGTCAGTGAGGTGGTGAATCCGGCTCCTGGCTGGTACCGCCGCTTTTGATTTACCTGGCGCCGGCAGGCGGTACCAGTTAGGTGAGGAGACGCTCTTCGAACCACCAGTGGTGGACGAAATCGCCTTTGCCTCAGTCATTAGGAGGGTCGTCTTCGTCTTCCCTGGCCTCGCCAGGCAGGGCAGGCGCACTCTTACCCCTTTTTCTCGCTAATGCGTCACTGCCGCTGAAGTTCGCTCTACCGGTCATTCGAAGAATGTTACCGGTGCGTAGCCGTCCATTCAGCCTACCTGTCCGCATTGCAGGGACAGCTGGTGGCTCACAGCGCTTGCGGTGCTGATTCATCGGAGTCGGTGCTTTCGCGGCTGCAGTTAACGGGACGTGACACTCGCAGATCTGGCTCGACAGCATTCGATTGCTGTGCCAGCCAGATGATGTGGTGCCGTCATGGGCTGCGCGGCGCCTGTGGCTGTCTGTGGCGCGGTAATTCGCCGGCCACACAGCAAGCTCTACTGTCATTGCCCTATACCATGGGATCTTCCCTGTTCCCTGGGGCCTTGCAGGTGGTAAGGGAGGCCACGGAGGCTGTCTCTAACTTTAAGGACTCAAAGCCTTTGTTGGAGCAGCCCTCCGCTCCTCGCCATCGGCCCTCCCCGCTTGCGTCCGCTTACCCTTCTGCCTCGGCTAAGGATGTTGTTATGGGCTGCCCTTTGCAGTCCAAGCGAGCAGGCGACGAGGCAGGGGGCAAGCTCTGCTCCAGCGCAGCAGTCTTTTTCGGGCAAGGGAAGCCAGCCCCGCTTCCCACTGATTCATTCCCCAGAGCCCTTTGTTGCTCCCCACTCACGCAAGCGGAGACTTGCCGACGGTGGGGTGCACCGCCTTTGCCACACGCCCCTGTCGGGCGTCGGCTGTCCCTATTCCTCCGGGAGTGGGGAGGCAGCCACCCAAATCCCTGGGTCCTGTCCAGCACGCCAGGGATGGCCATTTGCCACAGTGGAGGCAGCGATCCTCCGTTCTCTCGGGGTTCAGCACAGCGCCTGTGCCGCCGACAAGGCGAAGTCCTCCGTGCGAGGTTCAGTCTTTACTGACCAAGGCGCCATCGAGGTGGTTCCTGTGAGTCAGCGAAGAGGGGTTTTATTCCACCTACTTCCTCGTGACCAAAAGGACGGAGGGTTCAGACCCATTCTGAATCTCAGAGGGCTGAACAAATTACTGGAGGTGCCGTCTTTCAGGATGGAGACACTCAGGTCAGTGATCTCCTCGAGAGAGAGAGGAGAGACAGGGGATTGGCTTACGTCAATCGATCTCAAAGACGATACCTCCATGTTCCAATGCACCTCAATTGAAGAAGCTCCGGTTCTCCTTCGGACGGGACGTGCGTGCTACCAGTTCCGTGCTCCTTCTCGGCATCTCTATGCCAAGGGTGTTCACCAAACTTATGCTAATCCCAGCTCAGTTAGCCAGGTCTCAGGGCAGGTGTTGTCACCCGCATCTGACGCATTGGCTTCTACGGGCCTTAGGGCCCTCAGTTAAGCAGAGCCTCCACACTGTGCGTGCTGGATACTCTGGTGTCACTGGGCTTGATTATCAATCTCAAGAAATCAGACCTCGTTCCGACGCAGGATCTGATATTCTTGAGCCAGATTCAACACGGGCGCTTAGGGGATTGTTTCCCTTGCTCGGACCGCATCGTCAAAGTCCGGAAAAGGACTGTGTTACAGTTCCTCCAGTCCCGTCACAGGCCGGCCCGAACATGGCTTCGTTGCTCGGCAACATGGCGGCGACAGTGGACGTGGTTTGGCGTGCGCGTTTGAGGATCTGCGTTTCTGCGATTCCGCGTTTCTGCGTTTCATATTCCTGTTGACGGTGCTCTCTTGGGGCAGCACCCTCTTGTACAGCGCTTTTAGCAGGTGTGGATAGAATCCGTCGGGTTGTCCGGACGGATTAGTCCCCGATGGGACTTGTCAATCGTTCTTGATTGGCTGTCCGGTCCACTGTTTCACAATCTGTCGGCTCTTTCCCTCCAGCTGTTGGCGTGGGAAGACGGCGCGCTTGTGGCGGTGACTTCTGGCAGGCGGGTTGGCGATATTCACGCAATGTCGGGCCGATCCCCGCTTACTGTTTTTCACAAAGACAGAGTTAGCATTCGGCTGCCTGAGACTTACCGTCCTAAGAAGGATAGTCCTTCCATGTGACGGCCTATTGAGCTCCAGCTTTCACTCAGCCTTCCTGTCCGGTACCTCTCTCACGGCGTGTAATCACGTCTTTAGATGTCCGTGAAGACACTTCAGGCTTATATCAAACGAACAAGGGTACCCGTAAGGGTAACCAATTGTTTTGTTGTTATGGCGGGTTCAGGCTGGTCTTCCGGCGACCAAGCAGACCATTTCTCGGTGGCTTGTCTCTGCCATACATATGAGTTATATCAAACAGGGCGTGATCCCGCCTGTTGGGTTGAAAGCTCATTCGGTTAGGGCAGTAGCTACATCGACAGCTTACGCTGCAGCCCTGCCCATTGAGGAGATCTGCTCGGCGCTATTTGGAGCCGATCGAGTACGTTCATCCGTCATTACCAACTTGACAGACTCTCCAGTGAGCGTGCTCGGTTCGGTCAGTCAGTTCTCTCCAGTGGGCATGGTTCCACCTCTCTAGCCGATTGAGCTTTCGAGGTTTTTTATTGTGTGAACCATTATCTGCCAATTTTAACACTGGTGTTGGGTTTTACAAATCTTGTTACATTTTCCCTTGGTGATGGGTTTTATGTGGTGCTGGTTTTTTATTCCCATGTCTCTTGCTTTCTAACCCAGAAGCTCTAGACTAAACTGCCCTTGGAAACTTTGCTGTTCATATTCCGGCATTTTGGTTTCTGGGTTTATTAGTGGACCCCTTATCTTCACTTCCCAGTAGATTACGCGGAAGGAGGGAGGGTGTGTCTCGCGTTCGTTGCATTGAAGCCAGGTTTCACATGGACAAATTTGCATCACGCTTAACCCTGACCCTGGCTCATGCCCCGCCTGATTGGCTTTGGTGGACGCGTGACCGGGTAAGTGTGCCTTTTCTGCTATAATTAGCTTGGGAAATTCCACTTGTTGGGGGGTGTTTAAGCAGACAGAATGCCGCTCCTGAGATCCGTCTTTAGGAGTCTGTCTTATGCTTAAAAGTACCCCAAGGAGGAATATATAAAAGAATCGAACTAACCTGTAGAGGTTTCCAGATTCTTTGAATATATTCCTCCTTGCCAAGTCACCACCTCCCTTCCGCATTCTGTCTGACTCGCTCAGCATGGAAAGTGAGGTATCTGAGGTTACGGTCCAGAGTTACCTGCTCTTGGCTGTAGGGGGCCCGAAGGCCCTGTAAGGGTGGTCTCACAAGACAAAACGTAGTTTTTGTTTTGTAAATATTTTATTCAAATATTGTTACAACTGTCGTAGGGAATTTAAATGGACATTTAAATGCTTATAAGTACCCCAAGGAGGAATATATTCAAAGAATCTGAAACCTCTACAGGTTAGTTCGAGTTTTATTGAAGGCACGCTCATTTAGTTTTTTTGAAGGGACGCTCATTTAGTTTTATTGAAGGCACGCTCATTTAGTTTTATTGAAGGCACGCTCATTTAGTTTTATTGAAGGGACGCTCTGAAGGCACGCTCATTTAGTTTTATTGAAGGGACGCTCATTTAGTTTTATTGAAGGGACGCTCATTTAGTTTTATTGAAGGCACACTCATTTAGTTTTATTGAAGGGACGCTCATTTAGTTTTATTGAAGGGACGCTCATTTAGTTTTATTGAACGGACAGTCATTTAGTTTTATTGAATGGACAGTCATGTTTTATTGAAGGGGGCAGTCCTACCCAGAGTTCCATGCTGCCAGCATAGTACGTCCGCCACAGACCACAGAGTTGTGACTGTCACAGTTGTCGAAAAATACCTATATAACAATGTAAAACAATATAAAGAGCTCACCGAAAAGCTTGCAATTAGGGCATCCACCTACGATTAATGGATATGTTTACAAACAAGAGAAAATTCTGGTCACATGATATGCAAATTAGCCCGTGACAGTGATGTTATGTAAAGTCATCACTGCGCTGGAGTGTGTCTCTTTGCATTGTTTTGGAGGGAGAAGTAATTTTTTAAATTTTTTTAAGGGAACAGTCTTTGTGTTGTGTTGAAGCGAGCAGTTATTTTTATTTTTTTTAAGGAACAATCTTTGTGTTGTATTGAAGGGAGCAGTCATTTTGGCTTTTTTTTAAGGGAACAGTCTTTGTGTTGTATTGAAGGGAGCAGTCATTTTGTCTTTTTTTTTAAGGGAACAGTCTTTGTGTTGTATTGAAGGGAGCAGTCATTTGGGTTTTTTTTAAGGGGATTTTTTCTGTTGAAGGGCAGCGATTGTGTTGCATCAATGTAGGGTGGGGAGAAGCCATGATGTAGTATTGGAAGACGGAGAGTCTTTGCCATTGTGTTGTATGGAAGGAGTTAGTCGCTCTGTGATTTTGATGGGTGCAGTAATTTTGTTTTATTGAGCGTGCAATTATTGTATCATATTGAGGATATTTTTTCCACATTAAGGTCAGTAGGGTAGCCAAATAATTATCAGGACTATAAACTATGAATGATATGCTGTGATATATGCTTGAAACAGTGTTCAATGTGCTGCTACACTCAGTCCTAGTTACCCATGGTTCTCATTTTCAGAGATGGACCCGTGTTGGAAGCCAAGAAAAATACTCAAGGAAAAATACTCATTACGCCGCGGAAATGTTCCACACCACCTCTCAGTGTAAAGCCCAAACAGAGTGGTGGAACTGTGGCTAAACCCTTGTCACGAATACGTGGGCAGGGCAAGGGTAGGGGAAAGGGGTAGGTACAAGGGTAGGGTGTGAAGCAGAGTGGTTGAGCTGTGGCTAAACTCCTGTCACGGATACATGGGCAGGGCAAGGGAAGGGTAGGTACAAGGTAGGGTTTGAAGGAGAGTAGTGGAGCCGTGGCTAAACTCCTATCACGGATACATGGGATGGGCAAGGGAAGGGAAGGTACAAGGGTAGGGTTTGAAGGAGAGTAGTGGAGCCGTGGCTAAACTCCTATCACGGATACATGGGATGGGCAAGGGAAGGGTAGGTACAAGGTAGGGTTTGAAGGAGAGTAGTGGAGCCGTGGCTAAACTCCTGTCATGGATACATGGGCAGCAGGGCAAGGGAAGGGAAGGTACAAGGTAGGGTTTGAAGCAGAGTGGTGGAGCCGTGGCTAAACTCCTGTCATGGATACATGGGCAGGGCAAGGGAAGGGTAGGTGCAAGGTAGGGTTTGAAGCAGAGTGGTGGAGCCGTGGCTAAACTCCTGTCACGGATACATGGGCAGGGCAAGGGAAGGGTAGGTGCAAGGTAGGGTTTGAAGCAGAGTGGTGGAGCCGTGACTAAACTCCTGTCACGGATACATGGGATGGGCAAGGGAAGGGTAGGTACAAGGGTAGGGTTTGAAGATGAGTGGTGGAGCCGTGGCTAAACTCCTGTCACGGATACATGGGCAGGGCAGGGTAGGGGAAAGGGGTAGGTACAAGGGCAGCATAGGTATAAGGGATGGGGAAAAAGGTACGGACGAGGGAAGGGGAAAGGGTAGGTCTGAAAGTAGTGTTAAAGGTAGGTTTGAGGTTAGTGGAGGGAAGGGAAAAGGGTAGGTCTGAAAGTAGGGTAAAAGGTAGGTTTGAGGTTAGTGGAGGGAAGGGAAAAGGGTAGTTAAGAGAGCAGGGGAAAACAGTGAAAAAAACATGGAGACCAGGGAAGGAACTGAATGTTGTCTCACTAAAGTTGTAAATATTTTGCTCATCTTATGACAATGTCTTACTGACAAGTTTATGGCAATTTTTACACCTTGATAATGTCTCTTCAGCCATGATCCGGTCCTGAAAGAGCAGCTGGCTGCCCGGGGCTTTGTGTCAGACGTCACAGTCAAGAGGAGAGAGAAGGACTTGATGGTAAGTCAGTCGTCAGGATGGTCAGGGGCTTTTGTGTCGGACGTCACAGTCAAGAGGAGAGAGAAGGACCTGATGGTAAGTCAGGATTGTCAGGGGCTTTGTGTCAGATGTCACAGTCAAGAGGAGAGAGAAGGACCTGATGGTAAGTCAGGATGGTCAGGGGCTTTGTGTCGGACGTCACAGTCAAGAGGAGAGAGAAGGACCTGATGGTAAGCCAGGATGGTCAGGGGCTTTGTGTTGGACGTCACAGTCAAGAGGAAAGAGAAGGACCTGATGGTAAGTCAGGATGGTCAGGGGCTTTGTGTCGGACGTCACAGTCAAGAGGAGAGAGAAGGACCTGATGGTAAGTCAGGACTTCCTGGGGCTTTGTGTCGGACGTCACAGTCAATGTGGGGAGAATCACTTATGGTCGATTGGGACCTTGTTTAAGATCAGGAGTGAATGCCTGATAGTTGGCTTTTGCTGTGTGTCAGAGGACTAGAGGAAAGAGAATTAGGTCAAAGCTGTCTGAGGAAAGAGAATTAGGTCAGAGGACTAGAGGAAAGAGAACTAGAGGAAAGAGAATGTCAGAGGACTAGAGGAAAGAGAATTATGTCAGAGGACTAGAGGAAAGAGAATTAGGTCAGAGGACCAGAGCAAAGAGAATTAGGTCAGATGACTAGAGGAAAGAGAATTGTGTCAGAGGATCAGAGCAAAGAGAATTGTGTCAGAGGACCAGTGGAAAGAGAATTAGGTCAGAGTACTAGAGGAAAGAGAATTATGTCAGAGGACAAGAGGAAATCTGTTTGTCTCAGCTACAAAGTCACATGGCATCAAAGTTTCTACTATGAATTAGCCAATCTGCTGCAGATTTGAGAGCCACTGTAGTCCAGGGTCCCGAATCTACAAAGCAATCGTAACTCTATACTTTACCATAGGCTTACGATTGGTATAGTGCTACAAATATTTTGTGGATAGGGCCTCTGATAAGAAGCGTAAGTGGTAACAAACATGAGCACATGTGCATGTAGTGCTGGTTATCGCTCACAATATACAGATCAGTAATCGGGCTGAATAACTGACCAATAATCGATTATAATGGTAAACCCCAACACAAAACTCAGGAATAACTGACTGACTGAGTTTAGTTTTACGCCACTTTTAGCAATATTCCAGCAATATCACGGCGGGGGACACCAGAAATGGGCTTCACACATTGTACCCATATGGGGAATCGAACCCGGGTCTTCGGCCTGACGAGCCAACGCTTTAACCACTAGGCTACCCCACTACCCCCAGGAATGAGACACAACCATAACACTGTGCAACCAGGCCCCGATCATACCGAGATCAAGGTGATCGAGGATAGTTCCTGTTGAGATACCGACGCGAGTATGTTGTCGACACTGCAGTTTTACGAGTCATCAGTTTACTGCATCAGTTGTTATCTTAACCTAACAAATGTAATAATAAGAAACTTTCTTCTAAAGTTTAATTTGATGTTTCATTTTAATGAATATGGATTAGTCTCCCGAGCTCATCAATAATCGCTGATGCAAGCAAGATTGATCGATTGACTGATTATTTGTTCAATCTCTCAAGCACAATCTGCATGTGATTGATATTGTACTTCATTGTGTTGTGAATTTGTGTGTAAAAAGAGATGAAACTTTGGATCAGTTTTGCTTTGTATATACACTTGGTCAAAATGTTGTCTTGTCAGAGCGAGCTGGAGCAACTGAAGGCTGAAAAATCTCAGGCGGAAGAGAAGATTCGACAGATGGAGGCGGAACACCATCACAGACAGGAGGAGATGAAGCAGGAAGTGCAGAAACATGCCCAGGTGAGGTGGGAATGGCACCTGAAGGGCACCTGTTGTAGGATGGGAGGGTGCAAGTGATGGGCACCTGCAGGTTGGTGAGCCACCCTTAGTATTATAGCAGGGACACATGTTATAGGGGTGGGAAGAGTACCTGTGGGAGGGGCTCCTATTGTAGAGTAGGGAGGGTGCAAGTGATAGGCACCTGGAATGTGGTGGGCCACCCTTAGTATAATAGTAGGGGCACCTGTTATAGGGGTGGGAACAGTACCTGTGGGAGGGGCTCCTATTGTAGAGTAGGGAGGGTGCAAGTGATAGGTACCTGGAATGTGGTTGGCCACCCTTAGTATTATAGCAGGGACACATGTTATAGGGGTTGGAAGAGTACCCGTGGCAGGGGCCCCTATTGTAGAGTAGGGAGGTTGCAAGTGATAGGTACCTGGAGTGTGGTGGGCCACCCTTAGTATAATAGTAGGGGCACATGTTATAGGGGTGGGAAGAGTACCCGTGGGAGGGGCCCCTAATAATAATAATAATAATAAGTACATTTATAATGCGCCAAATCCAGACACAAAGTGTATGCTCATAGCGCTACATGAGAGATTCTGACATCACGAGGTTAAGGGATCGCGACTAGAAACAATTAGAGTCTATAGAACTGAGTGAAGAGAAATGTTTTGAGACTGTCTTTGAACATTTGGAGAGTAGGGAGAGGATGATCTGGGAGTTTATTCCAGAGAGTGGTGGCATTGTAAGAAAATGATCTGTGACCAAATCGTCTCAGACGTTGGGTTGGAAGAGATGAAGAGATATTGTTGGGCAGATCGGAGGACTCTAGATGGGTGGTAGACTTGTGTGAGTTCTGACAGGTAAGAAGGTGCTGTCTGGTGATAACACTGATAGACCAGTGCAAGCACTTTATACTGAACACGTGCATCAACAGGTAGCCAGTGCAGCTTCATCAGTACGGGATGTGGATGCACCGAGATTTTATTTTGATCGCGGTAACTATCCTTCGCGCAGAAGTCTGAATTCGCTGAAGCCTGGACATCTGGACATTTGGTGATGTTACATAAAAGACTGTTACAGTAGTCCAGCTTGGATAGCACTAAACTCCTGACAATCATATGGGCAGTATCTGTAGACAGCAGGTGCTGGATGCTGCCGATGTTCCTGAGATGATAGTGACAAGCTCTGCAGGTCATAGTGATGTGCTGATCCCCTGTTGTAGAGTAGGGAGGGTGCAAGTGATAGGCACCTGGAGTGTGGTGGGCCACCCTTAGTATAATAGTAGGGGCACCTGTTATAGGGGTGGGAACAGTACCTGTGGGAGGGGCTCCATTGTACAGAAGGAGGGTGCAAGTGATAGACACCTGCAGGGTGGTGGGCCATCCTTACAACGCTATAAGTAGGGGCACCTGTTATAGGGGTGGGAACAGTACCTGTGGGAGGGGCTCCTATTGTAGAGTAGGGAGGGTGCAAGTGATAGGCACCTGGAATGTGGTGGGCCACCCTTAGTATAATAGTAGGGGCACCTGTTATAGGGTGTGGAAGAGTACCCGTGGGAGGGGCCCTATTGTAGAGAAGGAGGGTGCAAGTGATAAGGACACCTGCAGGGTGGTGGCCAACCTTTAGTATTATAATTGAGGGACACATGTTATAGGGGTTGGAAGAGTACCCGTGGCAGGGGCCCCTATTGTAGAGTAGGGAGGTTGCAAGTGATAGGCACCTGGAGTGTAGTGGGCCACCCTTAGTATAATAGTAGGGGCACATGTTACAAGGGAGGGAAGAGTACCCGTGGGAGGGGCCCTTGTAGCACAGGTTGCAGGCCATCTTTAAAATAGGCGGGATGTTCCCCAAATGCAGGATAGTAGATGCATTTTTAGTCTTGATGGAAGGGTCACGTACAGGAGGGGATGTATGGGCATTTGTAGTTTGTAAGGGGGAAGCGAGGACACCATGGAACGACATTGGTCATGTTAAAGAGAGTGTGTATGTTATGTGTTGTAGGAGAGAGAACAGGCTCTACAGATGGAGATCTCCCGCTTGAAGACAGAACTGGAATCTCAGACATCAACACTGCAGGACAATCAGAAGGCTGTGCAGAACCTTCAGGTCAGTGTGGAGAGGTATATGATTGTGTACAGAACCTTCAGGTCAGTGTGTAGAGAGGTATATGATTGTGTACAGAACCTTCAGGTCAGTGTGGAGAGAGGTATATGATTGTGTACAGAACCTTCAGGTCAGTGTGTAGAGAGGTATATGATTGTGTACAGATCCTTCAGGTCAGTGTGTAGAGAGGTATATGATTGTGTACAGAACCTTCAGGTCAGTGTGTAGAGAGGTATATGATTGTGTACAGATCCTTCAGGTCAGTGTGGAGAGGTATATGATTGTGTACAGAACCTTCAGGTCAGTGTGGAGAGGTATATCATTGTGTACAGAACCTTCAGGTCAGTTTGGAGAGGTATATCATTGTGTACAGAACCTTCAGGTCAGTGTGGAGAGAGGTAGAGAGGTATATGATTGTGTACAGAACCTTCAGGTCAGTGTGGAGAGGTATATGATTGTGTACAGAACCTTCAGGTCAGTGTGGAGAGGTATATGATTTTGTACAGATCCTTCAGGTCAGTGTGGAGAGGTATATGATTGTGTACAGAACCTTCAGGTAAGTGTGGAGAGGTATATGATTGTGTACAGATCCTTCAGGTCAGTGTGGAGAGGTATATGCTTGTATGGAGAACGTTCAGGTCAGTGTGGTGAGGTATTTAATTGTATAGGAACCTTCAGGTCAGTGTGGAGAGGTATATAATTGTATAGAAAACCTTCAGGTCAGTGTTGAGAGGTATATAATTGTATGGAGAACCTTCAGAGAGAAACCTTCAGGTCAATGTGTGGAGAGGTATATAATTGTATAGGAACCTTCAGGTCAGTATGGAGAGGTATATGCTTGTATAGGAACCTTCAGGTCAGTGTGGAGAGGTATTTAATTGTATAGGAACCTTCAGGTCAGTGTGGAGAGGTATATAATTGTATAGAAAACCTTCAGGTCAGTGTTGAGAGGTATATAATTGTATGGAGAACCTTCAGGTCAGTGTGGAGAAAACCTTCAGGTCAATGTGGAGAGGTATATAATTGTATAGGAACCTTCAGGTCAGTATGGAGAGGTGTATGCTTGTATAGAGAACCTTCAGGTCAGTGTTGAGAGGTATATAATTGTATAGAAAACCTTCAGGTCAGTGTGGAGAGGTATATAATTGTATAGAAAACCTTCAGGTCAGTGTTGAGAGGTATATAATTGTATGGAGAACCTTCAGGTCAGTGTGGAGAAAACCTTCAGGTCAATGTGGAGAGGTATATAATTGTGTAGAGAACCTTCCAGTCAGTATGGAGAGGTGTATGATTGTATAGAAAATCTTCCGGTCAGTGTGGAGAGGTATAGGTATACCTTCGAGGTTAGTGTGGGAGGTATATAATTGTATAGAAAAAAACCTGGTCAGTTGTATAATGACCTGGACAGTTGGTATGCAAGTAGTTTTGGAGTGTATGCAGGCAGATTTACTGGACAGAGCTGTTTGATAACTGTTTACAGTACCAAGGATCAGTGTGCTTGCATAGCTGTTTGATCATTGTTTATGAATGTGCAGGGAGTTTGGAAGTGTGTAAAGGCCCTAAGGTGTGACCTTCATCTTCATTCAATCTTTACAGACCCAGCTCAATCAACTACAGGCGGAACAGCAGCGAATGCAGGCAAATGGACGTACGCCTCAGTTGCCGGCAGCTCCCCCCACCCCCAGGAGCAGTAAAGTGTGTGTCATCAACTGATGATGTGTTCATTTCACAATTTGATGCCTTGACAACCTAGCTCAATGGACAACTCATCTTGAGCCTCCACAGGGATGTCCTGTAATGAACCTTTGGGAGTGATCCAGTGTAAGGTGATTCTGCCCTGAGTGATCCTGCACAGCCAGTTCTTATGGTGTATTAGTAACACTTTGCAGATAGATTTTTTGGTCTTCGAGTGATCCAGTGCAAGGAGATCCTATGATCATGCACAGTGACACCTTGTAAGGGTGACACTGTACAGAAAGATTGTTCCAGTCGAAGGAGATCCTGTGATCCTGCACAGGGACACCTTGTAGGGGTGACACTGTACAGAAAGATTCTTCTGGGAGGTTCCAGTCGAAGGAGATCCCATGATCCCACACAGGGACACCTTGTAGGGGTGACACTGTACAGAAAGATTCTTCTGGGAGTGTTCCAGTCGAAGGAGATCCTGTGATCCTACACAGGGACACCTTGTAGGGGTGACACTGTACAGAAAGATTCTTCTGGGAGTGTTCCAGTCGAAGGAGATCCTGTGATTCTGCACAGGGACATCTTGTAAGGGTGACACTGTACAGAAAGATTCTTCTGGGAGTGTTCCAGTCGAAGGAGATCCTATGATCCTACACAGGGACATCTTGTAGGGGTGACACTGTGCAGAGAGATTCTTCTGGGAGTGTTCCAGTCGAAGGAGATCCTGTGATCCTACACAGGGACACCTTGTAGGGGTGACACTGTACAGAAAGATTCTTCTGGGAGTGTTCCAGTCAAAGGAGATCCTGTGATCCTACACAGGGACACCTTGTAGGGGTGACACTGTACAGAAAGATTCTTCTGGGAGCTCCAGTAGAAGGAGATCCTGTGATTCCAGTCGAGAAGGAGATCCTGTGATTCTGCACAGGGACATCTTGTAAGGGTGACACTGTACAGAAAGATTCTTCTGGGAGTGTTCCAGTCGAAGGAGATCCTGTGATCCTACACAGGGACATCTTGTAGGGGTGACACTGTGCAGAGAGATTCTTCTGGGAGTGTTCCAGTCGAAGGAGATCCTGTGATCCTACACAGGGTCACCTTGTAGGGGTGACACTGTACAGAAAGATTCTTCAGGGAGTGATCAGCTCAAGAAGATCTTGTGATCTCAAGCTGGGAGTTCTTGTGTGAGGAGAACTTATTCAGGGAGATCTGTACTAGGAGAGCCTTCATGGTAATCAATGGGGGGTTGTTTCTGCAGGAACATCCTTCGGGGAGCACCTGTTGGGCATTTGATCCTGAAGGAAGATCCTGGGGGGAGCACCTGTTGGGGGTCAACCCTATGCAGAGAGATGATGTTTAAAGAGATCTGTTAGCCAATGTTGGGAGATCCTGACGGTTGATCCTTTGTGGGAAGATCCTGTGCAGTGAAATCCTTTAGGATGATCTTGGGGATGATCCTGCATTGGAAAATCTTAGTGCCATGATCCCACCTTATTCTATGTCCTTTAACCTTAATCCATGTCACTCCATGTTATTCCATCTCATTCAACCGTAATCCATGTAATTCCATGTTATTCCATCTCATTCAACCTTAATGAATGTCATTCCATGTTATTCCATCTCATTCAATGATAATCCATGTCATTCCACATTATTCCATCTCATTCAACCTTAATCCATGTTATTCCTTCTCATTCAAACTTAATCCATGTCACTCCATGTCATTCCATCTCATTCAACCTTAATACATGTCATTCCATGTTTTTCGATCCCATTCAACCTTAATCCATGTCTCTCCATGTTATTCCATCTCATACAACCCTAATCGATGTCATTCCTTGTTATACCACCCTGTTCCATTCCATATTATTGTAACTATTCCACCCAGCGTTTTACCTCAAACATATGCTACAACTGCTGAATTTAGTATCTTACATCACCATTGACTGGATAATGTTTATATGAAGATATGACTCTCCATGACAGGGGACCACATGTTTTAGAAAGAGCCCTCAACTGGATTTTAGAAACAGGAAATATTTGAGTCATCGATCATGCATATCTTGATTTATATTAGGTGATATGTTCAAATTTTATACCCCATGACCAATCTGTTTTATTGAGAGAGTCCATGAAATGGAATGGACAAAAAAATGTTTTGTTACAGGCCAGGGTGCCGTTGTACAAAACAACCTTAGCGCTAAGGCTACCTTAAGTCTATGTTAAGGTACGGGAGTTACGGTCACCTTAGCGCTAAGATCGCTTAGTACAACGGCACCCAGGGGCTCCTTTCACGAAGCAACCTTTACTAAGGTTAACCTTAACTCCCATTCTTTAACATTGCACTAAGGTTACCTTAGTGACTTGCGATCACCTTAGTGTTTTGTGAAAGGAGGCCCAGGCCAGAAGCTTGTTTTTGTCTAAAACTAACGAGTCCTTTGAATTTCTAAAAAGTAAACAAAGTACAAAACGTATATATCCTAACATTTTCAGTTATGTTGTGACTTTGGTTTCAAGATTCGATGTGTGAAAATGCGTCCTCCATCATACATGAATACAGCTGCATTGTCTGAACTGTTTATATTAGATGATGTAAGCAAGGGTAATCAGAGTCTAAGTAAACTTAGGCTCATTATTATTCGTTACACTGCTATACTGAGTCTAACAGACCCTAGTCGAAGGTCCCGTTAGCTAACATTTGAGCGACCTATGACTGTCCAATTAAACGGCGAGACAGCCAAACAGATTTAACCAATTAGACGACTTCTACTATTTAGTGTTCGGCAGGACTTATTGTTCCCTTTCAAAATCACCAATGACGAGTTTAATCTTTTCAATTCTTCACAATTCAGTTTGAGTTTCTGTGTGAAGTGTTTTTGGATATTCCCTTATTAGCTTATATTTCCGCGAGATGACATACTAAAATATTTACGAAAACGCTATTTTCAGCGACTGTTTACTCCCTTTTGTGAATAATGGCGTCCTCCATGTGTATCACTCAAAAGCGATCGTGCGTAAAAAGGATTTGTAATCGTCTAAGTACAAACGTTTTCAAGGTAAAGGTTAAAACGGTATGTGCGAATATTGACTTTCGCGATTTGGCAAGCTGTGTTCTGATTGGTCAATTCAAAAGGTTACCTGATGTGACGTTCTACTGGGGTTTGTTAGACTGAGTATAACAGTGTAACGAGTAATACCGAGCCTACTTTACTTAGACTGGACTGGAGTAATCAGTGTCTCTGAGGAAACACATTCCATGTGGCATAAGTGAGTGGGGATGGTTTTACACCGCTTTTAATAAAATTCCAGCAACATCACGGCAAGGAACACCAGAAACTGAATTCACACATTGTCCCCGTGTGGGAAATCAAACCCGGTTCTTTGGTGTGATGAACAGACACTTTAATCATGGGGCTAGTGTCTGTAGTTTTACCCAATTCCTCCTTACATCTCCTACCAAACCAGTGTGCGAAATAGTCACTGGCCCGCTAGCCCATGGCTACTAACGATCCAGTCGGGACAGTTAATCTTCACAGTCACTGACCCGACTGGCTAGTGAATTGCCATGGGGTCATATTTTAAAAATATATCACTCTCTCCGACTTCTTAACTTATAAGACACTTTTAAATCATGCAAGATAATGACCTGATAAATGATGGTATTTTACCATTTTGTAATCTTTTGCTTAGTTTCCACATTCAAATTTCGGGCTTGTGAATTATTGTGTGGGCTGGTAACCTTCAGACATTGCAAGCCCGACTGGCTAGCTAAATCTCGAAACCATTTCACACACTGTACCGTATGTGTGGGAGCGGTGGGGTAGCCTAGTGGTTAAAGTGTTCGCTCGTCATGCCGAAGACCTGGGCTCGATTCCCACATGGGTACAATGTGTGGAACACATATCTGGTGTTCCTGACGTGATATTGCTGGAATATTGCTAAAGTGGCTTAAGCCATACTTTCTGAGTTACTTCTTTTACTCTTTAATAATAAGTGTCCCAAATGATTGATCAAATCATGTTTTTACAAATGTTCAATATATGCCCATAATCAAAACATTCACATTAGCTTGAGAGAATTTCCATGTATGAATAAGAGCACAATGTACTGTACATAGTACTCAAATTGCTGGTCAATTTTAGATTATTAGAGATATATATTTTTGTTGAATGATGTTTGATATATATTGCAATATGCTGTAAATTTTCAGAACATTTTCTGTAGAATATTTTGAGAACATTCTTAGTACTGCTTTTAATGAACAATTTATACATTCTGTGTTTGTTATTGTGTATTTTGTTCCGAGCCATTTTAATTGCAAAATGTGTTGTCAAGTTATGAATATTGCAATTATTGAGCTGTGTGATTTGTCAAGTGGATAGCCTTGTGGTTAAAGCGTTTGCTCATCTCACCTAAGACCTAGGTTCGATGAAATATCTGCTTGATTATATCATTTGTTAGTGGGGCAGTAGGATGGTTAAAACATTCGCTTGTTACACCTGAGACCTAGGTTTGATTCCCTATAGGTACAACGTGTGAACCCCATTTTGAGTGTCCATAGTAGGAGTGGGTATTGCAGAAAATTTTCATATTGCGATATATTGCGATGCGAAAGCATGTATTGTGATATGTATTGCAATATATTGCATGAAGTATTTTTAAACAAAAACTACTTATAATCGAGTTACTTCTTGATTTATAGAGCAAAAACACAACAAAATCACAAGGCTTGATTAAGCTTTAATAACAACTTTTAATCATGATAAAATAAAAATGTGAATAATATTTGGCACAAAGGAAACAAGAAATTATTCGAAGATTTCCGAGTGTAACAAAGTTTTCCGAATGCAAATGAAAGTACCGTTTTTTTATCAGCCTATCGCAATACGTATCATATTCATGTCTGAACCAGTTGATACCGATAAACCGGTTATATTGCGCAGCCCTAATGTGTACTATAACGCCCCTACATAGTAGATCTCATTATGGCAATCACTGGATTGTCTAGTCTGGACTCCAGAATAGGTCTGCCTCCAGGTATTTTTTCAGAAAATACACTGTAAAATAGTAATTATAATGGTCTTGCTTGTTGTAAATATTTTGTAAATATGTCATTAGAAGTGGTCCGTCCTTGTTTGAGAATGCATTGCAATTGATCAAAGGGTAAATTTGTAAATAGGTTGTCAATGATCTCAGTTTTCGTGCATGTCAATAACATATTATCGACTATTTTGTTTTAATGTATTTGTACATACATTTTACAGTG